TTCATGTATTTGTCTTTATTGATCTATAATAGATATATTTATATTCTTATCAATTCAATATATTTATAATGTTATCTATATATTGTTTATCAATTCCTTAACAAGGATCAAGGCTGCACTCCCAACACAGATGTGCTTGAAGCAAAAGGGAACCACCACGCACAAACTCACAAAATAACATTTTTATTAGGAAGGAACCCAACGGCAATGTTTCAGCCCCAGTAAGGGCTTTTCTCAATCCTGAAACATTGCTTTTTTTGGGCAGTTTGTGTATGCTGATCCTTTTTGCTTCATGTACATTTATAGTGTGAAATATTGTGGCTCAGATGCTGAAAATAAAATGACTGGAACCTTTAGAAGCACATGGCATTTTCTTCACAGATCGGGAAATTTGTCTATTAAAGAAGTAAAAATAAAGTTTAGTGTCACGTAATCTGTATTGATTCGAATTTAAAGGAGGAAAGAAAGCCAACCAAAGAAAATGAATCTGCAAGACGAAAAAGGAGAACCTTCAAATAAAAGACCCAAAGGTTCCAATTCTCATAAGAAGAGGAGAAAGAAGTACAAAGGTAATAACTTAAACTAGGGTTATGCACTACACAAGGAATCAACAAAACTAACAAATGGCTTGTCAATGGGACATTAATAAATTCATTTTGTGCGGCCAGCTCTTTGTAATCCTCATTGTGACTCACTCGTGACTTCCACGTTCAGTGTAAATTCAGACTTTGTCCTGCAATCTTATAAAACCAAAATTCTTTGTTTTACTAAAGTTGATGAAGTCTGTTTTAAACTTTGCATTCTAAGCAGCTTTGTATTAAAGTAACATTATTTAAAAAAGAACTTAAATTTATTTAAATAGCATCGTTGTTTGACCATTTAAATTTTGTTTGATTCAATGTTAAATAGCATAGTTGCTGATGTGGGAAACAAATTGTGTTATTATAAGGTATGAAACCTATATCAGAATATAATTATTAGGGTTGGTGGACTGTGTGAATCAATTGCTCCACATCTGCATTTAAAACAAGTCACAGGGATTTAGAGCTGCCAGCCCAATCACATTCCACATCTGGCTATTCTTGTAGTTACTGAAGTGAGCAGTATTTGGTGGTAACTGGATTGTGGGTCAATTTTAAATTGGCTTTTGTAACTTTTCTTTTTTTTTCTCCCTGCAGCATCATCTTTAGATAAGAAAGACGAATCAACAGAAAGTGGTAAAAAAATAATTATGTTTGGTTTGCAGATCTCAATTCCTTCCCATCTTTCTTCTGTATCTGGAGTAAGAGAGAGAACTAGCCCCTATATTTGATATAGTTCTCTTTTATGGCCTTCATTAACTATAGTGAATTTCAACCAATTTAAGGGACCAACATGATCCATTTCTCATGGCCTATTTTAATTTATGCTATGCTAACAACATAGAGGTAACCCCTAACGCAATTAAGAAAACAAAAATAGGAATACAATTTATTTTTCACAATGTCTAGTTCAAACTGTATGTGATATAAAGTACATGTACTTTTACTTTTTTCCCTTTTATCATTTGAAAACAAGGATGATGAACAAAAAAGTGCATCCTCTTACAATTTAGAGACATATTTGTTCAAGGACATGTGTTCTATGCCTTTATGGGTATCTGGATCTCTTTTAGACACAGACGAGGAGGAAGAAGATGGTAAATCTGATGCGGACTACTGGAAGGGCCCCCAGCAAGAGCCTGACGAAAAATCCCGGTTAGTGGCAGCATACAGAACTTCCACATGCTTTCCTGTATCAAATAATTTTATATATTCAGATAACAAAGCTTTTATTGTTCTGGCATGGACCCTGTAAACACATTGAGTGTATTTGTAATTCTTGCCCAATACATTATGTCAACATTTAAACACAAAAGATTCTAGGTGGAGGCTTGTAATATATAAACTATAACTTCCTTCTGAGTCATAAATGTTATTGGCTTACAATCACTATTGGGTTCTTAAAAGGCAATAACCAAATTCTACCCAAGCCCATGCAGTAGCAGCTTGTTTTATTGTATATTAATTGTATTTGTATGTGTCATTTTTGTTTCTTTGTGTTTTGCAGGGAAGAGGAGTTTGATGAATACTTTCAAGATATGTTTCTGTAACTTTTGGGTCTAACTGCAATATTAAAGCTTGCATTTTTTTATTTCTTTATTTTTATTTCAAAATGATCACAGCAGTGATGTGAATAATATAACTTTATTTTATAGAGTGGATCTATTTTACTGTTTTTAATAGGGATGCACATTGTTCTCACATAAATTCAATTTGCAAAACCGCTGTACTTACCACACTAAATAAATCGGGTTAGTCACTAAAGTTTGAACTGTTATGGGCCAAAATATAGGCTAATATAGTCAAATCGAAAACATTTGCTATTGACAATTTTTGAAGTTTGGCTATATTTTTCTAAAGTTTTAAATTCACTTTGAAGTCAATATGAATTCCTGTCAAGTCGCACATTATTATGAGTTAAATGTCACTTTTTGGATAGTTTCTAATGTGCTGCTGTATGTCAATGAGGTTGGTTTTCCAAGTAATCTAGTGTTGGAAACCTCGAAAAAAAATATCCCAATACTGCGTTGTGCAACAATGTTAAAAGAGCTAGCTGGCCTTTTTTTGTTTTGTTTTTAGAAAGTAGCTGTGGTTTCACTGGTGTATGCACGCAGTTGTATATAACTGTACTAAAACAATAGAACAAATAATGACTAGTTTTAGATGATGAATTTAAAATTCTCATAACAAATGTCACAGATTGAAGATGGCTCAGAGAGCAAAATAGCTTCTAAGGAGAACTTGAGGTTAATTCTTTTACATCTCAAAATCTCTAGTAAATGCAAATCCAATATAGCACAAGCAGCTTATGTTTATACAACCAGAGAAGAGCTATTTCTGCATATGTAGCCTCTTTATATGGGGAAATATTTTGTGTGCGCTTTCTGAAATTATAGTCTGTTTACAACAAACGTTTTACGTTGCATTCAGCTGCTGCTACTTTTAAGTATAAATCTGCCATATCCAAAGGTCTGTGCTTACTTACTTTATACAAACAGTCACACCGTGTTTTCAAACATTTACGTGAAGATTCACTATGTAAAAGTGAAAGTGATGTTTAAGAAAATCTCCTGATCTTGAAACTGATGTAAAACCATCACATTTATCTCATATTATATTCACGTCCTTTTTTTTTTTTTTTTAACAAGCATTGCCAGGTTTGCTTTGCTCTTTTTTTCAATTAGAATAGCATTTTGTTTTTCGGTTGTATATTTCTCATGCAGTTCTTAAACCCTTCGAATTTAATTTGCAATCTGTTCCCTGTTCATGTCCCAGGAAGCCGTGCCAGCGCTACCATTATAGCACCGGCTCTTTTGGGAACCCTTGCAGCTGCACGGGCTGGTGGGAGATCTAAAGATCTCCCTGATTGGCCTAGTGCTGCTTCCCTAATTGAGTTTAGCACCAGGTCTGCATTTTCAGTGAGTGCAGAGTACTGCCGATGCTCCCTGGCAGTCACAGTGTGTATGTATGTGTATATAATATATATGTATGTATGTATGTATGTACACACACACATGTGTACAGACAAGCAAGTACTGGCCAAGCCTGACAACGTGGTGGTAGACAAGGAACAGAAGACTACAGTGGTGGTGGATATGGCAATAACTAGCGACTATAACATCAGGAAGATGGACAAATACCAAGGACTGAAAGAACAGCTAGAAAGGATGTGGAAAGTGAAGGCAGTATTAGTCGCAGTTGTGTTAATAGCACTCAAGGCTGTGATCCCCAAGATGGGGGAGTGGCTTCAAAAAAATTCTAGGTGGGACATCCAAGATCGCTGTCCAGAAAAGTGAGTTCTAGGAACAGCTAATATACTGCTCAGAACCCTCAGACTCCCAGGCCTCTGGTAGAGGACCTGATAATGAGGAATATGTATTTTTATATATAGATTTTGTGAGAATAGATATATCTGTGTGTGTATGTGTGTATATATATATATATATATATATATATATTCTCCTATATCCTCCTGTATGAGAACATATAGGATAATAGAATATGCAGAAAAAAGTCTGTTACATATTCAGCAATGTTTTTGCTAATTTGTAATTTATTTACAACACTTTTTTTATCTGTAACTTCATAATTTGGTAAATTGTTTTTTTGTTGTTGAAAGTTTATTGGTCGAACCAAATCTTTTTTTATTTAGTCTCTCTCTCTATTAAAATGTTACTATAAACCAATGTTTGGTTTTTAACTTTTTTTATGCCCTACTGGGTACTAGTACTATTGACCTTGTCCACAGTCTTAAAAAACAAAACAAAAAAACAACTATTTAAATAGATTAAAACTTACCATAAATCTAGCGCTGGGCAATGTCCTCCTCGCTTTGTTTCCACACATTTCCGGCATGCTGCATAATCTGTGGTCCAGTCAAATTAACCATTTGATTGGACTGTTTCAATGGCTCAGAACGCTAGATATACTGACTCCTTCCACCATGATGACTGCTAATAGCAGAAGTGGTAATGGTGGGTGCAAAGTGTTTGGTAGTGATAGGGTTAATGTCATTGTGTTCTGTTTCTCTTGATTACGAGTTTAAATGTAATCTTCACTTCCAATGTGCTACAAAATACCTAATTATGTGTGTAGTTAAAGGACCACTATAGTGCCAGGAAAACATACTCTTTTTCCTGGCACCATAGTGCCCTGAGGGTGCCCCCACCCTCAGGGTCCCCCTCCCGTCAGGCTCTGTGGAGAGGAAATGGGTTAAAACTTACCTTTCTCCAGCGCCGGGCGGGGAGCTCTCCGCCTCTGATATTCCTCCTCTCCTCCCTTTCGGCTGAATGCACACCCGCGGCAAGAGCTGCGCGTGCATTCAGCCGGTCTCATAGGAAAGCATTTACAATGCTTTCCTATGGACGCTTGCGTGTTTTCACTGTAATTTTCACAGTGAGAATCACGCAAGCGCCTCTAGCGGCTGTCAATGAGACAGCCACTAGAGGATTTGAGGGCTGTATTAACCCCTTTATAAACATAGTAGTTTCTCTGAAACTGCTATGTTTATAAAAAAAAAAAAGGGTTAACCCTAGCTGGACCTGGCACCCAGAACACTTCATTAAGCTGAAGTGGTCTGGGTGCCTAGAGTGGTCCTTTAATGTAGAGTCAAACAACTGTGTGATTTCAGACTGAGCTGTACCATAAAGTAACATTTTAACTGTTTTCATATGTGTAATGAGTACCCTATTATCAGTTTGCTTGTACTATATATGGAGAAAAAGTATTCAAACTACAGAAAACAACAAATAATTTTGAAATAGAACATGGAAAATGCATACAGCTTTCTACATACCTTAGCCTTATACGTTAGGGTGTCACTATTCATTAAAGAATGATTTTGATCAGATGTATTTTCCAACATGTCCAACAATGTTCTATATCTCCAAGACTTCCATTTAATCTTCTTCCCTACTTCATACCTAGTTTCACAACCTTTAATGGTTGACTGCCATCGGAGCACATTAACATCACTTTTTTTTTTTTTTCTCTAGACGACATCCATTTGTTCTAAGTAAAGACCCCCATTTCTTGTCAACTCATCAGAAATTGTTTTAATTTCGATGTTTCGTGTACGCAAAGTATTGTACTAGCCTCTTATCATTGTGTCAGTATTTTATTATAGACATCCAATATATATATTTATAAATTAGACAACATTACTAATCACTATATTTTAAAATCTTCTTAACCTATGTCAATGTTGTCATTTGAGGACATTATCTTGTTGCATAATTCATCCTCGTTTCAGCTGGGAATGCAGAGTTGTTTTCTACAAAACTGTACATGTTTTTGATTTTTCTCCTCCACAGTCTCCTCCAACTTGCTCGGGGCCTAATAAAAAAAAACAGGGCAAGAATGTTAATAACAGGCAAGGGATGCTGGTTGTACTTTCTAGCTTTTTAAAACGTCTCCCTCCATGTTCTCTGATTTATGAGCACAGTTCCTAAATCAGAATGTGTATTATAAATCAGCTACTGTTCTAAAGTCCATTCCTTTAGCCTTTTGTGCATTCCTCATCCAGTAGAATGTTAAACAAATCACAACCTACTCATAAACACATATTGCTGTATTTATTTCGATCCTGACCAACAAATCTAAGCTGTGTTTGGAAAGTTTCAGATGTTATACTATAAAATTGAGTCAAAAAGGTAAATAATATGAAGGTGGTCGGTAGCTATGCAAAATTAGTCTCAGAAGCATTTCTGTTTAGCATTAAAGAAATTGTTTTAAATATACTTACCTTGGTATACCCCTTATGCATCAAATACCTACAACACTATTTTCACACAAAATAAACAAGTCTGTCGGCCAATTATAGTCCTCTGGGTTTCTGTGGGTGAGCTGTATATTTGCTATAAACCACTGCATAGTAGGAGGATTATGGGAAATGTGTGCAAGACTACTCATGCGCAACTCACAACTCTATAATGCATATTGAATTCATTAATTGAAAAGAATGAGCAATAGTCACATAAAAGAATATTTTGTCCAAAGATCCTTTTACTCGTGATTTTTATTTTTTATTTTTTCATATCTATGAGAACTCTGAATATTTTCATGAGTGCTCTTATGGTTGTCAAAAAACAAAAACTATAGGGTTATCCATTAAGTGTGCAGAACATGTCTATCCTGTTGTGATGAGCATAAAGCTCAAATGTAGAGCACTTACTAGTATCACCAAGACCTATTCACAACAAAAACATCACAGTCTTCTACTTTTACAATTTACCCTACACTGAACCCCAGATAAAAACTCCAAAAAGATTGCAGGTACATGGGACACTCACTAGTCATGTATAGGTGCCCATGAAGGCACTGATTAGTGTAGTTGTTATTTTTATCATAATGAGTATATCTCCGTGCTGACCGTCTAACTAGTTATACCACAGAGCAGCTAGCCAGTTAACTCTATTTATTATTTAGAGACCGGTGCCCTTGAAGGCACAGATCAGGGAATCTACGGAGATTGTGCGTTATACCAGGCTATGATCCTAGATGTGTCAGCTAATTTCTATTATATACCCATAGACTGAGACATTGCTGCAGACTTATATGCATCTCAGTCTTTATTGGCGTTTTCAGGCCATGGTATTTTATCTGTTTTTTTTCTTTGGGGCATTAACCTTGTTAGCTGTTCCTACTTATTGGCAATGAGCATATTTATGCTATCTTGCTAATAATTACTCTATATATTTTTTTGAGATAGCACGTTGCACTAGTTTTGTATACCCTCATTTAGCATCTTTTTTTGTTTTGCTAACATAGTGTTTATTACACTCTATTTGAGGACTACAATAGATTTTGCCACACTTGTGTCAATATATTATGATCAAGCAATCTAGCCAGTCAATTGTAACTGTGTTGCGTGCATTATACAGCTACTGCTTCGGGGGAGTATTTGCTTAACTCCCTACAGGGTTTCTGCCCATATTTTGTCCGTTTAGTTATTTGTTACATTTTACTCCCCTCCTTTTTGTACGTATTCCTCACTTAGCATATTTAGATCTTGTCACATATACTGCCCCAATTAACTACAATGGTGGTGGATGTGACAAGTGAGTAAGCATTTGTATGTGTGTGGTTTTAGTTTTACCAATAAAGGATTTTATTGACCTTTTCTATGATAGTACTGGGACAGATTACTATTCATTAACGACCCTAAGGTTACCCCCTTATCTGATCCCCATTTACTTTATTTGGATATACACTGGGCCAACATTCTATTAAATACATGGGACACTTGTTACGCATTGCAGTTTGTTATCCCAATTGTCAGCTTTCTTAGCCATCTGTAAAATCAATGACTGCACAAACAGAATCGCAAAACTATCATATTAATTAATATATATTTTTGAGACATTCTTGTGAGATCATCCCAAATGATTGTCTTGCGTATTTCTTATACTTATACATACTTTTAAAACCTTTCAGCCTGCATTCAAAACAGTACAGACAAGCCAGCCTTTTGTAGCTGAACTGCAGCCAGATGTATTGTTCATTTTACATGTACGTTAACTTAAAGGGACACTACAGATAGCTCAATAAAGCAGCTTTGGTGTATAGATCATGCCTTTTGTTTCTGTTAATGCAGCCCTAGCCACACCTTCCCTGGCTGTGACTGACACAGTCTACATTGAAAAAAAATGGTTTCATTTTTAATTAGATGTTTCAAAGTTTTCTCATGCTCTGTAAATTGAACATTAGTTTCATACAGGAGACTCCTTCAGGGTCTAGCAAGATATTAATAGAGTAGGAGATAAGAAATTCTAAATTAAACAAAATGTGCAATAAAGGATGTGTAAACATTAGCTTTTTAGAGGAAGTGTTTAGTAAGGCTGTGTAAGTAACATGCATGGAGGTGTGACTAGGGCTACAAAAACAAAGTGATTTAATTTCTAAATGGCAGAGAATTGAGCAGTGAGAAAGCAAGGGCATGATCTATACACTAAAACTGCTTCATTAAGCTAAAGTTGTTTTGATGACTATAGTGTCTTTTTAAAGTAGCATTCCTTCAAAATCATTATGAAATTGGCTAGAGATGTGCTGTGGCCCAGTCCTAAAATTTGATTTACAGACTGTCGACCATCTTACACATGGCATCAAAAATGGGGCTGATGAGATTTTTGTAAATATATTATGGTAATATGGTACAAGGAGCACGGATTATGGAGTAATTGGCAAAGACAATAATACAGGGTTATTCACTAAAATGAGTATATATATATATATATATTCATTGCTAGCTATCTGCGTAAATAAATGTGCATCTGATAGATACTTTGCTTAGTTATTAACTAAACGGTGAACTTTAACAAATTAAATCTCTATGGCAAAATTAAAGTATAAAAACAAGCTCAGGTGATAGCCTCAGTTCGCCATTAATATTTATGTAATTAAAATGGTTATGGAATAACTCAGCAGATGTATTTTACTGGTGTCTAGACTTCTGGGTTTATCGAAAGTATAATCAGGTTGTTGGTATAAGCTGGGCTTGTTTCTGAACGAAGTGTGAATGTGAGGTTGTATAATAGATCATTGCATTTTAAGTGCTCTCATTTTTGCTGCTATGAATCGAACTCGAGTCCAGTCATAGATTCTAAATTTGATTTGTAGTTTGAAACTTTCTACACTTCCCACTGAGCTGTACACATGTAGAATTATTTTTCAGAAATATCTAATCTGTCCCCAGTCTAAAGTCCCTGGACACATCTGTTCCATTCTGTCATCATTCCAAAAGCAGATGCAATCTTTGTTAATGTGTAACTCTTGTTCTGGGCTGGCTAATGACGCACCAACAAAGAAGCTTTGTTACACCTTTGTTAAATTCAGTATGTCCAGCGTTGCATAGCAAAACGCTGCACATACAGACTCCAAGTCAAATCACTGAAGTGGTCATAGTGCTTTTAGTAATTCTTTAAAACTTGGCTTAACTCATGATATTGAGGAATCATTAGTTAGTGTTGCTTGCACACCTAGTCAAGTAAAGAAAAGTGGTTATGCTGGGAATTTTTACTTATCCCCAGGTATATTTTGAGGTATTGGTTAATGGTTAGAAAAATGTTTTCATGTTCTTTTAGGTTTCGAATTTGCTAAACGTCTAGTGGTCCTGCTAAAGTGAAGAAAAAACAATAATATAAAGTGGAGCCCTTTAAAATTAACCCAATCGCATTTGTGTGTACAGTATATACAATTCAAAAATACTATAAACTGGCTAAAAATAAACAAAACATACTCCAAGGGATTACATATCCCTCCTCCAGCCGATGGGGTGGCTAATGCGCATGCGTGGTGAGCGATGCGACCGCGTTAGGCCCTCCCCATGGGAAAGCAATGCTTCAATGCTTTCCTATGGGGATTTTATGGATGCTAGATGTACTTTTGCAGAGTGTAATGATGTCCAGCATCAGCCAAAAATATGAAGAAATTTGGTGGTGTTGAAAACATGGTGGATCTGATAACCCTAGAGATATATCCAATGAATACATGCATGAAAAATGCCTGTATGTATTCAGTGAAGTCAACCAGTGGTTACCAACCCAGTCTCAAGTACTCCTACCAGTCCAGGATTTAGGGATAACCCAGTTGTGTCTAAGGTGTTTTTTGAAGAAGAAGAAGAAAAAAACACTTTACACAACAGGGTAACCCCTAAATCCTGGACTGGTAGGGGGTACTTGAGGACTGGGTTGGGAACTTCTGGAGAAGACTAAACAGTGATTTTAGTATCTTCAAAATTGTACCTATGGAGTGGTCCTTTAATGCCCGGGGTTAGTAACTAGCCTTGAAGCCACCAGTAAACTAGAGCTGGTATACTAGATTTTGGTAAATGTGATTGGATAATTGTTACTGATTTGTACTATATACATTTATTAATTGGGTAATTTTAAAACTATTTACATTATTGTTTCATTTTTTTCATGTGCAATTCCTATGAGTAAGTTTGTTTTATTTTGGATGAGTTTTTATATGGTGTCTATACAAAAGAGATTGGAATAATTTTAAAGCGCTCCATTATTTATTCATTTACCTCCCTAAACCATTTTATCTGGTACATGTGGGATATAAAGTAGTTTTCTAACCTTTAATTTAATCTTAAGCGCTTCTTACATGTTCTTGTTTTTGGTCATGTTAAAGTGTAGGACTATCAACAGAATTACAACTGACTAAATCTGAAGCATAGTGCCTCTTTCAACAATCCCATGGTGGCCACATTATGTATATATTTTGCAGCGTACTGATTGCCCATGTTTTGCGCCTTTAAATTTTTGTTTTCTTGGGGTTTTCTTCCGTTCATTTTTTATTTGTAATTTGTTCTCTCCATGTACAAGTCTAGTTTAGACTGCTTATAAGCGATTTAACTCAGATTTGTGTACAAAGCATCTGTCCGCTGTGCCCCTTTTCTTCTGGCCAAGTATTTGGCTTCAATGAAGAAGCCTTAGACTTGGCGCTGGTGGTAGGCTGAGACCGTCAGCTGATGTTCTCAGCCTATACACCCAGGACATACTTGAAAACAAGAGAAATCTCAATGTATCCATCCTGGTAAAATGGTTTATAAATAAATAATACACTGCATTATTGCAAATTGTCATCCCTCATACTTCCGACATATTAGTAAGACAGCAATATCTAATAAACATTTTATCAGTATACATTTATTTGGTTTCCTTCACTTCCCATAGAAAGCCAGCAGCTCCTAAGCAGGATCTTCTGTTAGCTCTCCTGCGCTTAGCTGATCACTCCCAGCCAATGAGCTAAGCCCTTCACTTGATTTAGCTCAGTAGGAACAACTCTGTCACTCCATAGGGAGTTGTGGAGACAGGGAGCAGTGCCTGGCGGATGCTGGATAAAAAAAATCAAACCGTACTTAGACAGTTTGACTCCCTACAATGTGGGAGGTTTAGAAAATCCTAATGCATAATCCCTAATCACCAAAAGTTGTAGTGGTTATAGTGTTTGGATTGTTCCCTTAATCAAAAGTTTCATCCTAACTCAAACCGTATCGACTGAAGGGAGACACTTGAATATAAACACTGATAAAACCTTAACAATGAGTTATTGTTGACCGGCTTTGATTATGATGGAGGTATGTGGAATGACAATTCACAATAATGAAGTGTATTAGATAGAAGTGAGGTACAGTCTATGGAGTCATACAATGAGTTGGGCATACTTGGCAGCCAAGCAGCTTCTGGATGTGTGAAGTATTATGAGCCAAAGCAATAAAATTCTTTTTTTAGAACAGTGTTCCCCAACCCAGTCCTCATGGACCACCAACAGTCTAGGTTTTGTCAGTATCTCCATTGGAATAAAACAGGGACACACATTTAATTCTAGGCTGTTGGTGGTCCATGAGGACTGGGTTAGGGGAACACTGCTCTAGAATGTACCGTAAAAATGTACTGTGTTACATTGGAGGCATGATTTTAAAAGTCTAGCAAGTGATACAAGAGGGTTTATTAAAAACCAGATTGCAAAATTCAAGCTTAAACAGTGAAGCAGTGACATCTAGAAAAAATTTTTCCTAAGATGTATTTTTTGTCCTAAATTTAGCAATTTGGATTTTATCTCACTAGTATTTAGTCCCCAAGGAATTAGAGGAGTTGTTTATGTAAATTGGCAAGGTATGTTAAAGGTTAAGTGCTCTATATCTTATTAAGACAGGCCCCTCATTATTAGAGAAACATTCTGTGTACTGCATTGAAATGTTTTAACATGACACTTCACAAATTTCATCAACTGTCATTTGGGAAAGTTCTGAGTAGAAACTGATTACATTTTTTATTTTTTTATTTTAGAGATCTTGTATTGTTTTCTCATTGCACTAAAATTTGCAACATCTAATGTTTTTACTTCTCGTCAGTAAAGTCCAGATTTATCAGTATCTAAGATAGGTACCTGCCTATAGGCTCCTATGTGTGAGGGACACCTACCCTGGCACTTGTCAAATGAATTGGAGAGAGGTGCTCATGAAGATTTCACATTGATGTAATATCCCATTGAAAGATTGCTCTGAGTGAGTGAAGAGCCCTCCTCCCTCCTGGTTCCCAGAGACAAACACCTACATATCTCTGTGAGGTTGGCACCACATCAGGAATTCCTGGGAATGCCCTATACTAGGAATAGGTAACCTTCGGCACTCCAGATGTTTTGGAGTACACCTACCATGATGCTTTGCCAGCAATATGGGTGTAAGAGCATTATGGGGGGTGTAGTCCATAACATTTGGCGTGCCGAAGCTTGCCTATCCCTGCCCTATACTATATTTAATAAGGGGGCTATTTATCTGTCCCTCCCTTTGGAATTTGGTGGTCCAAAATTTTCAAGGCCGCATTTAATATATATATTTACACATCTACTGTCCCTCTTGTGCACCCAGCTGTGGAGTCATTAACTTTGACTGATCTTTTTTGTTTTGTTTCAAAGACAGAATTTAAGACAACATAAAAACTTGACCCCAGGACACTTTTTTTTTTTTCCTCGGCTACAGCTGGTAACTTATTCATTAGCCAATGAATCCCAACCTCTTTTAAACACATGGGTCATACTGAATATGTTGTGATTACCTCCTTCTATAAAGCCTTTTAAAACTTCCATGATAGCACTTCAGCTAATGTGTTCTTCCTGGAATCATTTTGAGGTCAGACTGACCTGGTCAACTTGACCGTCCTAAAACCAATTACACGGGTTTACTATATTAATGCATATACCATTACAGAATGTACAATTATCTTGTACAACTGCATCAGATACTATTTTATATTCCTATGTATGCAGACTTTTTTTTTTTTTTAGCCCCTTTTTGTTTTATTAAAGGGACACTATAGTCACCAAAACAACTTTTAGCTTAATGAAGCAGTTTTGGTGTATAGAACATGCCTCTGCAGCCTCACTGCTCAATCCTCTGCCATTTAGGAGTTAAATCACTTTGTTTATGAACCCTAGTCACACCTCCCTAAACACTTCCTGTAAAGAGTGATCTAAAGTTTATCCTTCCTTTATTGCAAGTTCTGTTTCATTTAGATTTTCTTATCCCCTGCTATGTTAATAGCCTGCTAGACCCTGCAAGAGCCTCTTTTATGTGATTAAAGTTCAATTTACAGAGCAAGAGATAAAATTGTTTAAGGTAAATTACATCTGATTGAAAGTGAAACCAATTTTTTTTTCATGGCGGCTGTGTCAATCAGAGCCAGGTTGAGGCGTGACAAGGGCTGCATAAACAGAAACAAGGTGATTTAACTCCTGAATGGCAGTGAATTGAGCAGTGAAACCTGAGAAGCATGATCTTTACACTAAAACTGATTCATTAAGCTACAGTTGTTTCGGTGACTACAGTGTCCCTTTAAGTATAGTTACATTTACAGATTCAATTTTTATTGCTGATGCTCTCCTTACTGTGGTTTATGACTTATAAATTCTTGTTAGTCATGGAAATTGTCACTATCTGTCATATTGTATCTAGAGGAAAATCCAAGTAATACAAAGTTATTTTAATTACGGTGATTCTGAATGTCCTGTGAGTTCATAGTCCCCACATCAACGTTTCATCATAATTCCATTCTGTTTGTGTAGAGTGGATTGGTTCCTCTAAATTAACGGTTTCTAAACCTTGGTTCTCTGTTTGTGGACTAGACTTCACACAATTCTCTTAAGTCATAATACATTGCTGCTGTATTCGTAATGAGGTCCTGTAGCCCTGCTATACATCTTTTTGTGAGCACTTATTTTTTTGTTATTTATTTATTATACAATGATTGGTCTAAATAGAAACACAACAAAATAGATAAAGAATACAAAAATATAGAGGAGACTATTTTCTTTTGTTTTTAGCCAGTGGCAAAATCGAATGAAAGGCACGGCTATAGATGCTCAAATCTCTCCTGATATTACAAACTATTAACTGACCAGGTTATTTATTAAAATGTGAACTGTTAGGAAATTCAAACAGGTTTATTCACTAAAATCCAAATTGCAAAATTCACTCAAAAAATAGACCAGCTGTGACCAATGGTGTGGTGGTCTAGCCAGCTCACCTGCGCACCCGAAGCGGGCCTCAAATATTCACTTAAGATCCAGGGATCACGGTCCAATCTGCCGGAGAGTCCCTCCTCCGCGAGTACTGTATATGATATCATCCCAACACTAGCAACAGTACAGAGCGTTTCGGAGCTGGGAAATCAGTACAGAGACTGATGCCAGCAACTCCTCACTTGGTATGAGATTCCACCCCATCTCTCCTTGTCAAGGTAAGAACAGGGCGGCTGGGTGCACCTCACTGTATTAAAATAGAAATTTGTGTGTGTCTGTGTATGGATGTAGTACTGAGTGTGTGTGTGTATATATATATATATATATATATATATATATATATATATATATAATATATGAATGCATATCTAAGAGTCTGTGTATGAGTCTGCGTATTTCTGTTTCCATGTATGTGTGTATAAATGTATGTGGACACATGAATGTAAGTATATGTAAATATAAATGTGTGTGTGTATATGAATGTATGTGTACACATGAATGTAAGTATATGTAAATGTGTGTGTATATGAATGTATGTGTACACATGAATGTAAGTATATGTAAATATGAATGTGTGTGTGTATATGAATGTCAGTATGTGTGTTTAATTTCCCTAACAAAAAGGGGATTAGGAGTAATGCAAAGGGAGACTAATTTTTTTACATTTTGGGCTGGGCAGGTTTCAAAAATAGATTTCTGCCACAGGTGCTGTCTAACCGAGGTAGGCCTCTGGCTGTAAAGTTTGAGAATTGTTCCTAATTGGTTATACTTGCCTAGATTTTGCCATTTAGTTTTAATAGGCTAAAGTTGTGACCTGAGTGGGAAAAAAAACTGTGACATGTTTGATGTCTATTTAGGTCTAAAATTTGAATTCACTTTGAATTATGGCAATTCACACTATAGTGGATAATCCTGTTACTGAGCTTTAGAGGGTAACTTTAAGAACCATGTCCACTTCAGTGGTTTGAAGTGGTCATGGTACCATGAATTCTGTATGAGCAGTGTTTCGCTATAAAATGGTGTACATACAGAATTTAACCTCTCTGCTGCTGAAGCTGTAACTCCACCTCCCTTTGCACCATTGGGACATATTTAGCAGCACGCCTACCCTCTGTCCCACCCATGTCCTCCTCTCCCTGACATATGTCCCCCTGCAGCAAGGTGGCATGACATCAGCAAAGAAGGATCAGAGGGTTCGGGGGGAGGTGTGTGCTTGGCTATATTCCTTTTTATTCACTTTTTGGTGGAAAAGGGGATCAGTATAGGAAGGCTTCCTCAGGATTAAAAACACTGTTGTTTTGGTTTGAACAATCCTCGTTATTGTGAATTTTCCAAAATTCTAACATAGCCAAACTGTAAACATTGTTACATGCGCCCCAACTGTCCTGATCTGGTCAGGATTGTCAAGATTCTGTTCCTTGGTGTCACATATCTAAATACACTAGAAAGTGTTTCAGCAATGCTGAGTGGGGGCCAACCAGGGAGGCTGTAAGCCATCCTGGCCTGCGATCTTGTTCTGGACAGTCCAAACTCTTTGCAGGTGGGATCTCCCATTTTGGGCATCACCGAAGCAAGTGATGTCACTGGCACGTCTCTTTAGAATTGTCCACCCTGCATCCTGATTTATTACCTCCCAGTGTTTAAAATATGCAGCTGGTTTGCACGCACACGCACAATTGAACAGCTAACAGCATGTATTTATTTTCTTATGTATATGTTGGCTGTAGCATGCATTCCCTTTAGGGAATGGTTGTCATTCTTGTAAGCAGCTGGACAGAAATGTTTATCACGGGTTTGTGGGACGGCTGAATGGGTTTCTGTGTATGGCCAAGAGATGGATATGCGCAGCATGGGTGCATTTGTTTTATTTTTTTCAGCTCATTTAATTGGTCTGGGTGCAGTGCCCCTGTCAGTTTAACCCTACAATGATGATTATTGCAGTTATTGAGAAACTGCAATTATTACCTTACAGGGTTAACTCCACCAGCAGTGGCTGTCTACCAGACAACCACTAGAGACGTTTCTGGGTGGTTAGGTTACTTTTGGCTGCCTAACTGACACTGGACGTCCTGCAACTGCTAAAACCCCATAGGAAAGCATTGCATCAGATTTTCTATGGGGTTATCCTAATGCGATCGCAGCAACGTCAGAGGAGGCACATGGGTGCTGAATTCAGGTAAGTGGCAAAAGGGTTTTTAACCCTTTTTGAGCTAGGAATACAATTTTCGATTCCTAGCCTTTAATTTCCCTTTATTGTTAATCTTCAGTTTCATATCAGAAAAGTAAGCAGATAATTTCAACATTTTTAGAGTAAAATAATGTCAAATTATAGTAACATCGTTTTTGCCACAATGTGGAAACATTAGCACCTATAAACAGAAATATCCTCTCTCACACACAAAAACTAACTTTCCAATTCCATAACAATCAGGTAGAAATTGTATGGCTGGAGTTGCAAAAAGAAAATAAATATATAGATAAAAAAAAAAAAAAAAAGTGATAAACTAACATACGATTTAAGATTGATATGAACTAAAACACTCAAACGATATGCCTTGGAGCTGTATGAATAAATCTATAGTGACATGTTAAACAGATGTCATTAGTATGTACTCACCTGTCAAGTGGGCATTTACAGAATTTTATCTTAAAATTCTACTAAAGGATATTTTCTATAACAAATATTTTTTTACTTTAATATTTTCCATAGCACAGATCCTGTTTTGGGGAGTACAGTCATGTTGCAACTTGGAAACGGTTGTGGTAAAGAAGCTTTAACCTACAGTTAAGGCAGTAATACGGAATTGAAAAGTGTGGCTCGGTAACAGAAAAAGAGAATTCATTTCTAAAAGGAAAGCCTGCTTGTAAACTATTTAGATTACAGTGAATCTAGAAAAGTCTAGACCAGGTTCACCACATCACAGGTACGCTAGGTGATGGCGCTACCGTAGGGCAGCTCATAGGGCACACCAGCAGTGGGAAGGGGGTGTGCAGTGTCTAAGGAATGGTGGTAAATGGTGGTCAGGAGTTGGGGCGCATGGTCAGCACTTCTGCCTGGTGCAGACCATATAAATAGCTCCCTTGTGGTTTCAAAGCTTAGCGAGGGTTTCTGCACAGTCCCCCAGATTCCCAGCCTGTGTTCTAACTTCCTCACTGAGTGCCAGACCACAAATAACAATTGATATGGTCTGTACCAGGTGAAGGTGCAGACCATGCACTCCCCAACCCGGTCACCAAGGAATAATTATTAAGACTATTGGAGCATCAGAGATATATTATCAGCGATCTATTATTAACCCCTACTGGACCACCAGGGAAGATAGCCTCCTCACTTGAGAAAAAAGGTAAGCAGTAGAGGAGGCAAAACATTTTTCTTTTTTATTTATTAATCCAGTTAAATTAAAATACCCATTCAGCACACTTCTGAATAAATGTTTTTTTCATGTTTAATTGCAGTGTAAAGACTTGAAGATAAAGTTGGGTTCCAGTTGCAGTTTGAGAAACTGGAAACCATCATCCAGCGCTGCTGAATCTTATACAATAGATTCTTATTGACAGCTACTTCCTCTGTCTGAAAATTCAATCCCAGTTGGTACGTAATGGTTGGTTGCCCTTATTCTGTCCAAACTGTCTAGTGTCATAACTGAATAGCACCTTTGTGATGTCCGTGACATATTTGCACTTTTAGTTTCTTAGTTCATTATTACTTGTAGGTGAAATCGAACCATATTCTACAGAATTTTTCTGTAACTCTGTACATGTATATATATAATCATGGTGATCAACCCTTATTAGTCACAATTAATTATTTAACACGTTTAACCCATGATGCATTACACAATCCTTGCTTACAGTTTTTTGTACAGTTAGAATTTTCCTGCAGCTTTTTCTGTTCTTCGATAACTTTCATTTTTTCTTCGTAAACATCAGCTTGTGATTTCCAGTGAACCCGGTTATTTTGAAGTCCGTCATACATGGGCGTGATTTCTTTATGAAACCGTGAAAATTCCTAGAGATAGTAAATAGATAGTTGGGGAAAATTAGTGATAACTGTAAAGCGCTACACAAATGCTGATAATAATAATACAAGCAACAAATTGTTCCTATTTCCAAAGTGGAATACTTTTTTTTTTTTTTTTCCAATTCTTTATTTTTATTGTGCATAAGATTTAACAAACAACCTTGGCGCGCCATAACAGCGACATCAGGGTAAATTAAGGTTCTGGGTACATTGCAGGTTGTGACATTGCAAGTAAGGCACATATTTTAGTAAAGGTAACATTTCAACAGTTTAGGTTTCTCGTTTTAGTGTAAGTAACATTGTAGGCAAGAATAAACAGGCACTATTTTATAATAGATTGATAACATTACGGTACACAGGCATATCAACAGAGATATTTCTTAACGGTGGCGCTTAGCTTACTGTTTAGGCATAGAAATTGCATGAGGGAAAACATAAAAGATCAAGTTAACCATATGTTTTAAACTATAGGTCCAATTGCAAGCATGTGGACCATGATGACCCTCCAGGTAAAACACGAGAGTGATTAAATTTAATTAAGAGAGATGCTGGGACTGGTTAAGCTGAGTTAATATCCTACCCTTGGTGCCTGAGTTAAAGGACCACTATAGTGCCCTGAGGGTGCCCCCACCCTCAGGGTCCCTCTCCCGCCGGGCTCTGGGGAGAGGAAAGGGTTAAAATCTTACCTTTCTCCAGCGCCGGGCGGGGAGCTCTCCTCCTCCTCCTCTCCTCCATACGATGTCATCGGCTGAATGCGCATGCGCGGCAGTAGCCGCGCACGCATTCAGCCAGTTCATAGGAAAGCATTTACAATGCTTTCCTATGGACGCTGGCGTCTTCTCACTGATTTTCACAGTGAGAAGCACGCAAGCGCCTCTAGCGGCTGTCAAGAGACAGCCACTGGAGGCTGGATTAACCATATTATAAACATAGCAGTTTCTCTGAAACTGCTATGTTTATCAAAAAAAAAAAAAAAGGGTTTATCCTAGATGGACCTGGCACCCAGACCACTTCATTAAGCTGAAGTGGTCTGGGTGCCTGTAGAGGTCCTTTAACTTCGTGTTCAGTATATCGCCACCCTAGAGCTAGAAGCAGGTATAGGCAGGTAGTGAAAGATTGAATGGTTACGTGGGTTGCACAAGGGGTGTAGCACCTTCTAAAGGCTGGCGTAGTAATGGGGTATTTAGGGAGAGCCTGCTCAACTTTTAAGAGATTATAGTTGGCATAGGACCGTGCAAGTAAAACTACAGATAAGAACCTTTCCTGCTAAGGTTATTAATGTCAGAGGAGGTAATCAATGTAACAACCAGTCCTTTCCCATAGGTAGGCAGCATCTGTGGGGTTCCATCTGCGGTGTTGTGAGTCCCTTCAGCCGATGCCCTTGAGTGGGGGGGGGGTCAGTGTCCCGGGAGTTCGAGAGTCTTGGGTGTTGTGGCTCTGGTTTGGGTCAGTGTGGCTGGCTGGGGCATTTTAGGAGTGGGACATACGCTGGCATACCTCGCTCTACCGGGCCTGCAAGGCTGGGCCCTCTCGCACAGCAATGTGGAATACTTATAACACTATACTCATTATTTTCCTAATAAACAGCTGTCCTCTACATTCCAATATAAGCTCAGTCACAAGTATATTCTTCTCTAATTTACTTTTACATTATTAAAATCAACATCATGGCTGTCCCTACAGAAAAGAATCTTCCTTCTTCCTTGCAAAGTCTCATCCCTATAGTTTTTTTAATTTGTGATTGATCCTCATGGTAATATATATATATATATATATATATGGAATATAAGTAAATGCTTCAATATCCAATATAAGTAGCTTCAATATCCAAGGAATATAAGTAAATGGCTGCACTCACGTAGTAAAAGTCCAAAATTTAATGATAAATAGTTAAAATATCCAAGATCAACGTTTCAGGCATCACAGACTTTCATCAGGATCATGATGAAAGTCTGTGATGACTGAAACGTTGATCTTGGATATTTTAACTATTTATCATAAAATTTTGGACTTTTACTACGTGAGTGCAGCCATTTACTTATATTGCTTGGATAGTGAAGCTACTTTTTGGTTGGCACCCGGCTACTGAGGGACATTGAAGCGTGAGTGCAGGAGCAATTTTGATATATATATATATATATATATATATATATATATATATATATATATGTACATACACCTACGTTCAATGCATGAAAACATGTCTTTACATTGTTTGTTCATCAAACAATGAGATTCAAGATTAAGACCACAATTGTCAACTGAGAAAATGATCCAGTTCAGTGTGATCTTCTACAGCTCATGGCAAAATGAATAAGTTGAGTCACTTAAGGAACAATAATGACAAATGGAAGTTCATTACCAGAGAAACTCATTTCTCATTAAATAAACCAGACAGGGACGTTGAAAGGTGGGATAAACAGAGGAGCAATGCCTCCCCCTCTCCACGGCTCCCATTATTGCTCACATTTAAAGAATATAAGCCATTAATATTGTGCTATTACTTGAATGTCCAGGTATGGTCATAAGGGTTAACAGGGCCGGCCTTAGGGGTGTGCGAGCTGTGCGACCGCACAGGGCGCCATGGAACAGGGGGCGCCCTGTGGCCGACACAGCTCACTCATGGCCGGAGTGCAGGGGAGCTAAAAGAGGTACCTGGCTGGAGGATTAATTATTCTCCACCCGGGTCTATTTAAAAAAAAAAAAAATCGCGGCAGAGGGGGCGGGGTTTACCGAGCGGCGGAGGCGGGGCTTATCGAGAGGCGGAGACGGGGCTAATACCTCCCGAAGCCCCTGCTGTACAGGAAGAGGGAAAGATGCTTCCCCATCAGCCAACTGCATCCACTGGAAAGAGGTAAGTGTGTGTGTGTGACTGTTTGCCTGTTTGTGTGACTGTCTGTCTGTGTGTGTGTGTGACTGTCTGTGTGACTGCCTGTCCTTGTGTGTGTGTGTGTGTGTGTGACTGTCTGTCTCTGTGTGTGTGTGTGACTGTCTCTGTGTGTGACTGCCTGCCTGTGTGTGACTGTCTGTGTGTGTGACTGTCTGTCTGTGTGACTGCCCATGTATGTGACTGCCTGTGTGTGTGACTGTCTGTCTGTGTGACTGCCCGTGTGTGAGACTGTCTGTCTGTGTGACTGTCTGTGTGTGTGACTGTCTGTGTGTGTGACTGTCTGTCTGTGTGTGTGACTGCCTGTATGTGACTGCCTGCCTGCCTGTGTGTGTCTGTCTGTAACTGTCTTTGTGTGACTGCCTGCCTGTGTGTGTGACTTTCTATCTGTGTGACTGCCTGCCTGTGTGTGTATAACTGTCTATGTGTGTGTTACTGTGTGTCTGTGTGTGTGTGACTGCCTATGTGACTGTCTGTCTGTGTGTGTCGCTGTAGCTGTGCCATTGTTTGTGCCTGTGCCTGTATGTGTGACTGCCTTTAACTGAGTGTGTGTGTACATGCCTGTAACCGAGTTTAAATTTTCCCCACCCCTTCCTGTCAAGGCCGCACTTTGACTGACAGACGCTCACTCACTGACAGACGCTCACTCACTGACAGACGCACACTCACTGACAGACACACACTCTCACATACACTGACAAACAATGACATACACACATACACTATTACTTGGACACACACTGACAGATGCACACTCTCACTGACAGATGCAAGCACTCACTGAAAGATGCACGACTCCACTGACCGACACATACACACTGACTGACACACACTCACTGACCGACACACACTCACTGACCGACACACACTCACTGACCACACATACACACTCACTGACGACACATACACACACTCACTGACCACACATACACACTCACTGACCACACATACACACTCACTGACCACACATACACACTCACTGACCACACATACACACTCACTGACCACACATACACACTCACTGACGACACATACACACTCACTGACGACACATACACACTCACTGACGACACATACACACTCACTGACGACACATACACACTCACTGACGACACATACACACTCACTGACTGACACATGCACACTCACTGACTGACACATACACTCACTGACCAACACACACATTCACTCACAGACACACACAATTACACACTTACAGACACACACACACACACACACACATTCACTTCAAAATAAACACTCACAGACACACACACAGACATTTCCACTAACACTCACAAACTAATATTTTTTTACATTTATTTTAAATCCACCCAGCCTCCCTGGGAAAGCTGGAGTGGATTTCTTACCAGCAGTCCAGTGTGGCTGCTGGGCAGGCAGGCAGGGGGCGCACAGGCTGAGTAAGCAGCGCTTAGTGATGCCGGGAGCCGGACTGACGTCATATTCTGGCTCCCGGCTTCATTAAGCGGCGCAGAGGAAGCTGAGCAGGAAGAGCTCAGGTGAGTATGCTCCTTCGCTGCCCGCTGCCAGCCTTGGGGGGGCTCAAAAGTGGCCAGCCGGTCAGCTCTTGAGCCCCCAGGATGCGAGGCAAGCAAGGGATCTGCCTGGGGGTTTGGAGGGATGCTTTTTTTTGCCGCCCCCTGCAAAGTGGCGCCCAAGGCAGATGCCTTGTTTGCCTCGTGATACACACGTCCCCGGTGCCTGTGTGTGTTACTGTATTCAGGCAACTTGGTGGGAGGTGGGGGGGGGCAACGTGAAGACTTTTTGCACAGGGCGCCTAATTGCCTAAGGCCGGCCCTGAGGGTTAACTAGAATAGGCCACAACGAGGTCGATAAGCATCAACTTCTCTTTCTATGTCCCCCATTCTTGTTTGGCCAGGATTGGCTTGTGCATATTATTTTTTATGGGAAGGTCAAACGTGCACTTGGGAACATTTCATTTACAGGGTGCTAGACCTGTACCTACATTTTCAAAAGTGCTTTTCAATTTAGTTTAATTGGCATCTACTGACATGGCATTTACTGACATGAGGAAAACGACTTACCTTGTAAACAAATGTGCAAACAAAATCTATAAACCCCACTTGAAGTTTGGGCAGTTCTTCCGCTTTGTTTCTGTCCATCATAGGCTGAAACGAAAATCGCATTGTTATAGTAACCAGTTACCTTGTTAAATAACATAACCTCTGCAGCAGCTCTACAATTTACTACTGAATCCTACAAAACTACCTCGGAATAAACAAAAAGTATCTGTCTATGGGGCAGCAGAGATGTTCAATCACCAAAATGTTTCTTAGTTCGTGTTAGATCATGGTTTTAGGTGATACATTCAATATTGTGTCTCTTTGTTGTACATCATAAAAAATGTATTTGTTAATCACAGTAAAAATTACTGTGTTTTAGTGTTATGTGTCACATAAATCATGCAGCTTTAAAAATGATTAACATAATCTATGCACTGTTTTAAAATGTTATATGATGGTACAATGATAGATCGTGAAGAAAATATCCACTTTAAACTAAACCTAATATTTGTATAGTTTCTGACTTACAATAGGCTGTTGCTCAAGCACTGTTCTCTCAAGATCACCTTGCTCCCAGAATTCATTCGCAACCATGAGAGCAACCTAAAAATAAAATGTAAAAAAATTACTATGTGAGGGTATACTTCATTTATACGTGTTCATTTCTAGGAATACTGTCCATAGTACCTACCTTACTCTGTACCTCCCAGGGTTTGGTAATAGCAGACAAGTCACAACCGGTCATCATCATGGCCCTAAAGTAAAATTAATTTGCTTAAAAACTGTATTACATGGGATCAATCGAAACAGGAAGAATAAATACTTTTTGACAGCTCACATGATAATTTCTTTCTTAGTGGGATCGGTGATAATATACTTAATAACTTCTTCTTCTGATTGCATTTGTTCTGCCGCATCAACAATTTTCTGAAACATGGTCCTTTTCCTTTTGGCAATAAAAACAAACAAACAAACAAAAAACAATAAGTGAACAATTTTAGAGATAGCAGCAAAACAAAAAAATGTTTAAAAAAAGAAATCACAGACAATCACAAAAAAAACTTTGACATCACAAGTCCATAAAATATGGTCTATGCATGATGTACATTTTAATAAGCATTCTCCGTTTCCAGAATAGTACTAATGGTGCATTTTAGTATGACTGATGTCCGCTGACCCTTTCCTTGAAATGAGAACCCCTTCATAACTGTTATGGTATGACTGTTCTATGCAAAGAAATCATTTTGAAGTCATTACACATAAGTGTCTGTCAGATTAGCTCTTTACAGAAAATTCAAGGTTATTTTACTGAATAAGCAAAATTGATTTATTTTTTTTAACACGCCATGCTTTTTTAACCCAGTAAATGTTCATAGAGCTAAAGGTCAATCTGTATACAGCATGGTACAAACAGCAGGATGTGTTCTGATACTTAATGCACAGCCAGAGACATGACCCTCCTGTACAACTATACGTGACATGAAGTAGGTGGAATGGAAACATTTAACTCAGACATATCCTATGTGGTGTGTCTTACAGGGATATTTACTAAAGAGAATTTCACATTTAAGGCTTTACTCCAACCACCATGGTGGTAGGAGTATGTATGTGCAGCTCTTTTGTATGAAATGCTTCACATACAGATAAATTTGCACTTTTGTGCCAGGGGCTAGTTGCAGCCCCGGCACACGTGACTTACGCAACTTGGAACTCTGGAATGCCTGATATTAATCCAGTGCAAAAGCTACATCTGTCGGGCGCGAGCACCAGGGATGTGTCTTCCACGAGGCAAACAAGGCATTTGCCTTGGACGGCAATTTCCAGGGGGCGGCAAAAAATGCTGCCCCCAAATGCCCAGGCAAATACCTTGTTTGCCTCGTTTTATGGGAGCCCAAGAGCTGGCCGGCTGGCCACCTGTGGGCTCCCTCGGGGCAGGCAGGCGGTTGTTTCCTGGGCGGGCGGGCGGGCAGCCACACTAAATTGTCAGCGAGGGAGCACTTTCCCCTGAGCTCTTTGCTCAGCTCCCATCAGCCCCACTGGACCCCAGGTGAAAAATCCATCTAGCTATCCCAAAAGTAGGCCGCGGCTGGGTGGATTTAAATTTTTCAAAAAATAATAATAATTGTAAGTGTGTTTGTGTCAGTGAATTTGAGTGAGTGTGTGTGTCAGTCAGAGAGTGTGTGTCAGTCAGTGAATGTGTGTGTGTGTGTGTCAATCAGTGAGTGCGTGCATCTGTCAGTGAGAGTGGGCGTCTGTCAGTGAGTCTGTAAGGGAGAGTGAGTCTGTCAGGGTATGTCCGAGTAATAGTGTATGTCTGTCTATCGGTGTGTCAAATCAGTGAGTGTGTGTATATCATTGTTTGTCAGTGTATATGAGAGTGTGTGTCTGTCAGTGAGTGTATGCATTTATCAGTGAGAGTGTGCATCTGTAAGTGAGTGAGCATCTGTCAGTCAAAGTGCGGCCTTGACAGGAAGGGGTGGGGAAAATTTAAATTGAGGGGGGTGCCCGGGCACCGTCCTGCCTAGGGCAGCACAAATCCTAAACACACCACGGGCGAGCACTGTGTACTGGTGACATGTAATGAGTTCCTCCTTTGCAGTGACCCCTCCCTTCCTACGCTTCAACTCTTCCTCTATTTTTAACACTTGTATTTTTCTTTATACTTAAAGCCCTCCCCTCCTCTGTCCTTTGCAATGTGTGCCATATTATTAATTGTGTTATCTCCCTCTAATATCTTTTGCTTTAAATTATTATATTATTATTTTTGACAGATATATAACTATTCATTGCAATGATAGATACAGCTGCCTCTGACATACTTTCGACACAACCTATCTAATCGCAGGGCACTACTCCATACTAATTCTTTTTGACCTCTCTGCTGCCTTTGACACTGTTGACCATGTTCTCCTTCTCCAAACTCTTCAATCACTCACTCTCTGTAACTCTGTCCTCTCTTGGTTTTCCTCCTATCTCTCCCAATGCTCATTCAATATCTCCTTTTCTAATGATACCTCCTCCCTTCGTCCTGTCTCTGTTGGACTCCCCCAAGGCTCTGTCCTTGGTCCCCTTCTATTTTCTCTATATACTGCCTCTCTTGGCAAACATATTAACTCATTTGAATTCCAATACCACCTGTACATTGATGACACTCAGATATACCTCTCCTCCCCGGACCTCTCCCCTGCCGTCCTGCAACGTGTCACTGCTTGCCTTTCTTCCATCTCTGACTGGATGTCCTCCTGCTTTCTGAAACTCAATCTCTCTAAAACTGAGCTCTTTGTCTTTCCTCCTCTTACTACTGATCCTCCTCTTTCGCTCTCCCTTCAAGTTAGTGGTACCCACATCAGTCCATCCTTGCAAGCACATTGTCTTAGTGTTATACTTGATTCCGGCCTCACATTTGAGCCTCATATCCAGTATTTTGTCAAATCCTGTAGATTCCACATTAAAAACATAGCCCGCATCCGCCCCTTTCTTACACAAGATTTTACTAAGGAGCTTGTCCATGCTCTAGTAATCTCTTGCATGGATTATTGTAACTCTCTCCTAATAGGTATTCCCACAAGTTGTATTGCCCCTCTACAGTCTGTAATGAATGCTGCAGCTAGACTTATTTTCCTCTCCTGTCGCTCCTTTCACACCTCTCCCCTCTGTCAGTCCTTACATTGACTTCCTGTATCCTATAGGAATCAATTCAAGGTACTAATCCACACCTATAAAGCACTGACCAATTCTAGCCCCTCCTATATTTCTTCACTGATCCGCAGGTATGCCCATTCTCGGTATCCTCTATTTCCTATGGAATAGCCTACCTATGACCATCAAGCTCTCCCCTAGTCTTCAATCATTTAAAAAGTCCCTCAAAACCCATCTCTTTAGGAAATCTTATGGCCTCCCAGACCTCACATACCTGTCCCTTGCTCTGTCCTAAAGGGCAGCACTCTATTCTCTCCTCCAGCTCTGCTTCACTCCACCTTGTTTGATTGCTACCTCCTGTCCTGTTGGGTTTTACGTCCCACCTCCAATAGACTGTAAGCTCGTTTGAGCAGGGCCCTCTTCAACTTATTGTTCCTGTAAGTTTTTGTAATTGTCTCATTTATTGTTAAATCACCCCCATTGATAATATTGCAAAGCACTACAGAATATGCTGACGCTATATAAATACCAATAATAATAATAATTAAAATAATTCCACTAAGGTGAGTTACATTTTGGTAAGATTTTTTTCAATGCATCAACATTTTCCCTATATTCATCTAAAGATAACACTGCTCAATGCAGGAGAGTTAGAAAATAAAATAAGATGTATCACTGTTGAAAACAATAGTCTGCTAGTTGTTCATATAACATTTTCACTAAGAGTTATCCATCATTGAGGTCAGTAAAAAAGCTACACACGAGTTAAGCTCTTTAATAAGACATCAGACCAAGCAGACTGAAAGGATATAAAAACAGCTGATGTTTGAACTTAAAGAGGTTAAAGTGTCTTGTTTCAGTGACCATTACATATTTTACAAATACTACAGAAGGTGACATCACCATATTGCCTGCAGTAGCAGAGGGGGTGAAGCTAAAGGTAGATATAGTATACTTCCTTCAAGTTGTCTTTCAAAGGCGACACCATCTTCTTTGTTCATTTCCTGGAGTTTCATCTACTAGCGATGGCTTTGGGGATTGACAAAAGTTGATGGTGGAAGCGCTACTTTTGTCAACCTGGGTTTAGTCCATAAGACTAAGTAGTTCCTATTTTGTCCCATAACATCTTTAGATGGCGATCGCTTTGGAACATTGGTGAAATTCTAATGCAGTCATAAAGATTCTATCCTTATGAAATACTCAGAGTCAACATGGCTCCATAGGAGAGAGATTTGGATAGATTGGGGGACTGGGCACTAAAATGGCAGATGAAATTTAACATAGAGAAATGCAAAGTTATACACTTCGGGGTTAAGAATGCACAAGCAACTTACACACTTAATGGTAGTGAATTAGGGATAACCACACACGAGAAGGATTTGGGTATTGTTCTAGACAACAAATTAGGCAGCAATATGCAATGTCAATCTGCAGTTGCTAAGGCCAGTAAGATTTTGTCATGTATATATAGGGGCATAAATTCTCAGGATGAAAATATAATTCTGCCTCTTTATAAATCGCTGGTAAGACCACACCTTGAATATGCTGTGAGATTTTGGGCGCCTGTTCTAAAGAAGGATATCATGGCACTGGAGAGGGTCCAGAGACAAGCTACAAAATTGATAAAAGGAATGGAGCATTTTAGTTATGAAGAAAGGTTAAAAAAATGTAATCTGTTTATTGTGGAAAAACGGCGCCTGAGAGGGGATATGATAACTTTATACAAATATATTCGGGGCCAGTACAAACCTTTATCTGGAAATCTATTCATAAACAGGGCTATACATAGGACACGAGGTCACACATTTAGGTTGGAAGAAAGGAGATTTCATCTAAGGCAAAGAAAAGGTTTTTTTACAGTAAGAATAATAAGGATATGGAATTCTCTGCCTGAAGAGGTGGTTTTGTCAGAGTCCATACAGATGTTTAAACTGAAATTGAATAAATACTTACAAAAACATAACATACAGGGATATAATTTCTAATTAGTGGGGTAATAGCTGCTTGATCCAAGGAGACATCTGACTGCTATTTTAGGGTCAAGAAGGAATTTTTTCCTAGTTTGTGGCAAAATTGGAAGCGCTTCAGACCAGGTTTTTTGCCTTCTTTTGGATCAACAGCAACAACATTTGTGAGGAAGGCTGAACTTGGTGGACGCAAGTCTCTTTTCAGCTATGTAACTATGAATGCAGTAGTCATTTTCTATGCACGGGTGGAGCAGGAGGAACCGGAATGTCTTATTAGTCCCCTCCTCCCCTTCACCCCTTCCCCTACCTTTTATTTATTTAATTTTTTTCTTTTCCTTCACCTCAGTTGTATTATGATCGCTAGTTCGAGAACAGGAGGTTCTTGTATCCAATTTGACTGTGTATTGATTTGAACAGATATCAACACAGTAAGGCAGTTGATTACAGAAGACTTTTGTTGGTGATATTGTTTGGAGATTCAATTACCATGGTACTCTCAGTCATGATAGAACCAATAGTCTTGCATACCAAAATACTCTGTCATGATAGACCCAATAGTCTTCTTGCATACTAAAGTACTGTAATCTGTACTTCTGGATGTATTGTGTATTTGTACTAATATGTTCCTTATTACTGTATCTGTGCACTTCTTTCAAAAGCTTTGTTAAACTTGCATGCACATTGCCTATTATGTTTGAACAACAATAACGAAAATAAAGATGGTCAAAAAAAAAAAAGGAAAAAGAATTACTCAGAGTAACTAGAGGTGACGAAGTGTTAATGTATTTTCTCAACCAACAGTGCCAAGTGGATCCTACTTAACAATATTATATGAGCCTGTTCTAGATGCATTCTGTATTTTACTTACTTGAAATACAATGCTAAATCAGTTGCTATTATTGCGATTTCAAACAGGTGAATCACATTTTCAAACTGTCTCTTGTTCAGATTCTGGAAAATATTTAAACTCTGCAAGAGAGCATATTTATCTTTATTGGTCACAAGGTTACAATTAGTAGCTTTATACAGTATGGATTCAAGAAAGCAATACATTTTAGAAGCAAATAGAAATTAAGCAATAGCAAAAATGGCTTTCCTTATAGAGGATGTATAGCATAAAAGATATGTCAAACTGCTAAATCTACACTGATATAAAGAATGTGTCAATTAAATTTTCAATGTGTTTAAACCCTTTCAAGGCCAACTGGTCAAACTTTCTTTTTTTGAGTTGAGTAGAGCTGGGACTTGGAACACTATTGAATTTTTTTCCCTCAAATTATATTTGGAGTCAATTAAGTCCTTTCTGGGTTGTTGACTAAAGTACGAATTGTCAAGTATTCAAAGTTAATTTCACAGTTTAACAGGAAGAAAAACAACCCTCAAACTCTAGATTTGGCTATTTTGACCTAAAAGTTTAAATTAACGTTTTGAACATTTGTCAATTCACACGTAATAAAAAATATTTTCTACCATCAGAATGGATGACCCAGTGGAGTTACAGAAATCAATCTAAAATGTCCACATTTAAGAGGGATAAATTCGATAGTAAATAATCTTTTTAATTTAAATTAAAGTGTTGGTTTATGCTGTCAATACTGTAATGAACTAGCAAGACACAGCCGACTCTCACCTCATCCTCAAGCAACGTTTTACTAAATTCTAAGTGGTGTCTTTCTAAAATTGATGATCCATGAAGTTTTGCTAGTGGGGCTTGAGATCTGTAATGAAACATAAAGAGAGTCAAAATACATATATTGCATGGCTGTGTTGATAACTGGTTTGTAAAATGATAGCACTTACTTCATCTGGTATAAATTATTGGTACCTCGATGGTCAATATCATGGCAAAAGGCTGCAGCAACCATAGCAAAGGCTTCCAGGTCTGAGTAATATTTCTTTAGTTTACCTGTCTTTTTGAAAAGTAAAATATTTCATTAAGTGATTTTAAAAAACATTGTGTAACAGTGTAAGACAGTGATGACTCACTTTGGCACGGTTTTCATTGATAGTTCCAAAACATCTGCCATGCCAAATTTAGCCATTACCAGTGTAAGCAGATCATGAATTGTTCAAGCCCTCGTGTCATGCGGGTTGGTTTTTAGCCATTGATATACATGGGGTGCATTATTGAATATGCTAAACTTAGAATGTGTTATGCTTTAATGAAGTATGCAATTTATCAGCTTGCATAAAGATCCCTTATAGTCAGCATGCTTCCTAGATTACTAGATGGAGAGTCCTGGTGCAGTACCACTTAAAATTAATCACTCCAAAGGCGGCTTCCAATTAGTCGAATTTAATAAATGTATTTGGAAATTTCATTTACCATTTCCTGTGTGTGACTTACAACTATCTGCAAATCTCATGCCATCAACTCTTCTAATGGGTCACTTGTAATATATGACTGAAAATTGTCTTCAAACCCACTTTTATGGTTTTGTGTGAAATCCAGTTGCTGCCATCATTGGTACACCACCTTCCACATTATTATTATTATATTATTTATATAGCGCAACAAATTCTGTAGCGCTGTACAATGGGTGGACTAACAGACACATAATTGTAACCAGACAAATGGATGCGCAGGAACAGAGGGGTTGAGGGCCCTGCTCAATGAGTTTACGTGCACCATTGTTCATATAAACCATATGCATATATATCATTGTTACTTTACTCAGTCAAATTTCCCTTTTAGGACAAATAGCACTTCAAAATATGTGATTTTAAACATCAAAGGTTGAGTTATATATTTTTTATTGTGTATAGTAAAATACTACATACCATTAGCAAGGAAAACATGGTTTGACCCACATTAAATCCATGTCGCCAGTTGTGATAAGTGATGTCACGATACCCTTTTCGTACTGTATACATCCATCTTGTTAAGACCTAGTGAAAGGCACAGATTAACAATAAGAAAAAAGAATTACACCATTTTGTCTTTTTAACAAATAATGCCTCTAGCTATCTCAGCCTCCAATTACCATCAAATAAAAAAAAATTTAAGTGACTTATTACAGACATCACAGGCTACCTGGCAACCATGCTCAAACATTTCAAAATGTTGCAAAGGGTAGAAAAAATGCCAGGTCACTTGTGGTGGCTGTAATAAAGTCTGTAACATGATGAAAAGAAGGCTGTGGGATTATTATTCATTGTTGATATGTCAGAGGCAGGTTCTTCAGTAGAAGGACCTCGCTGCTCATTGAACAGTCCAATCTAGAAAACCGATTCACAGTGTGACTGAGATTCAACCTCTCCAGATCCCCAAACACTTAAGTAGACTTAAGAGTAGATTTAAGCAATACTGTCACATACAGATTCTTTGCATATTTTGCAATGATCTCTCAGGGTGACGTGCCCAATTAATCCACGGAATGCAATGGAGAAACTAAAGGATGACATACTTACCTAAACTTTTCCCTCAGAGGCACCACTATCCAGGGCCGTCTTTAATATTGACCGGACACTGGGCAACCATTTGCTTGGGGCCCCTGGACTCTGCCCCCTGCCAAACATACTAACACACATACACAGAGACATACACTGACAGACATGCTGACACACACGCAGAAACATACACTACAGACATACTGACATATGCAGACACATATACTGACACACATACACAAAGACATACAATGACAGACATACAGACACATACAATAACAGACATACTGACATACACAGACATATACAATAACAGACATACTGACATACACAGACAGACATACTGACACAAGCACAAACACATACACTGACAGACATACTGACATGAACATACACTGACAGACATACTGACAAACATACACTAAAAGACATACTGACACAAACACAGACAGACATACTGACATAAACATACACTGACATACATACTGACACAAACACATACACTGACATACATACTGACATAAACACAGACAGACATACTGACACAAACACAGACACAGACAGACATACTGACATAAATTTACTCTTTTAAACCCACCCACAAGTTTCCTACCTTGGAAGGTGGTTCCCCAGGTGTCCAGACTGAAGGCTGTTGGGATCTGCCTCTCCTGGCAAGGGTCCCTCCTTAGTCTCCCGTGCAGCTCCTCTCCTTAGTGGGAGGAAGTGAATTGCAGCCGTCACTTCCTCCCAGCGTTGCCGAAAAGCAAAGGGCCAGGTCGCGCTGTTAAAGTGCTACAGCGTGTGACCGGGCCCCTGCTTACAATACCCACCCAGTGGCCTGCTTAATGTGGGGGCCGGCGGCCCCATGGGAGAAACAATTGTTGAGAGCAGCGGGGCCCACGGGGAAGCTGCCTTGGGCCCCCCAAGAGTAACAGGGCCCGGGGCAGCTGCCCCGTTTGCCCCGCGTTAAAGACGGCCCTGCCACTATCTATGTATTGGCTCTCTCTTCCTTATCAATAATGTAGGTACCCAACAGACTACTGTATAAGATCACACAAGTCTATAGAATCCTACATAGAACTTGTTATGTACTGCACAAGATATTGCTTTTTTTCCCTACAAATATCAATGGTTGCTGGGAAATCACAAAACCTGATGGCTAAAACTCGGTCTTTTGGAGATTGTCAAGCTTGGGAGAAAAAAAAAAAAAACACTTGGCAAAAGTCAAAGTAATCCCTGCTTTGTCAGTGCAGTTACCATGAGCATTTTGTAGAGATTCTATCTCTATGAAACCTTGAAGTGTGCTACACACTTTAGTCGTTATGATTCTTGGAGTTTTTCTTTCAGTTGAAATCTTTTGCCACATCGATGATAGCATATTGTCTGTCCAAGTACATCTATACTACAGGATGTCCTAGGAAACTAGTAAAAGCTAAATGCAATTTCCTGATTACATGCTATTATTATTATAATATGTGAATCATCATGAATTAATGGAATAAGTACTATTCACGCAGAGGTCTCGCTGGTACTACACGAGCAAGAGGTGCGTTACATCACAGGTAGCTGGGGCACGATGCCACCACAAGACCGCACAGGCATTTAAGGTAAAGTAGACACCCAGCACACATATCACCACAGCCTGCCTTCTGTTTTTGTGTTTAATTGCAGTTTGAGCAACTTGAGATACATACGTTGGTTCCCTGTTGCTGTTTGGGCACTTGGACTCAAAAAGGTTTGCCATCACCTTATTATATTAATGCTAATAGTAATTATTACCTGCACTGGAACTTTAAATTTGTCAACAGCTTTGAGCTCAAAAAACATTTGTATCCCACTTTTGATGAGCTCGTGCTCGGACACGGGCAGGTCACTGAAGTGGAACTCATAGAGCTCCAGTTTGGCAGGATCCGGCAGCTCCTCTTTCTGTTCAAAGCAAAATAAACATTTATTAACAGATGGATCTCATTAGTGAATATCAAACCAAGTGATCCAGCCCAAGGCTATACATTTGCAACGGATTAAGTTGGAGCATTCTAAGAAATAAAAGAAAAATAGATCAACGGCCTGCAACATAAACAAAGAATTTGGCAACACTACTAGAGCAGCGGCCACAATAGATAAGACAGACAGATCGATCGATGTAATATTTAGCAACATATCCTCAAGGATCTATTTAAAGGTGTGAGTTAGTTTGAGTAAGAAAGCAAAACCAACAAAATGTATCGCCTGCAAGTACAAAGTAACCTGGAAATCAAACTGTGTTTAAAGTAACATTCTAATGCAAAAGTAAATATATTAATGTGTTAAGCGTTTCTTGCTTTCTGTAGATCCAAGTCCTCTCCCGCCCTTTTTCAAATAAAATCTGTAAAGAAGATAAAAAATTTATAAACCTAAGCTGTAATCAGACACCACAACAACCTCATAACAGCAGTCGTTGCCTTCTGTGTGAAGCAATGGGGACATAGGGGACATACATGGCAAATACCGTGATCCACCAATCCAATGCATTCTATAGAGAAGCAATGAATCACATTCTATCCATAGAGCAGTGTCATAGTATTGAATATGAAAACCTTCAAAATCAAAGGTCTAAAAGAGGAAATGGCTCTATATGTTGTCTGAGTTCGGTTTTGTTTTTCAGAGGATCCATTAAAACAGTTTTTGGTGAGGTAAGGCCTGGAAACTTCAAATGGAGATCATTAACTCATCCTTTATATGTCAAGGTTCTTGGTAGACTTGTGCAAAGATTTGTTGGTTTCATCCAAATCAAATTGCTTTTAATTCACCACCGAACGTATCAATCTGAGATTTACCAGTGGAGGTTAACCTATTCAATGAATCCACAGGTAAATTCCAGAGAGATCGATTTGTTCGGGTATGGATTAAAAGGAATTTGGGCCGGAAGAACCCAAAAACTATTTTTTACACAAGTCTGCACTAGTTGCAACTTGAAACAGGTCTATTATTGTGGACCCAGTTCCGCTAAGTTCATACTCCAACTATTAAACTGGAGTTTATTTCGCGTTAAAACTGGTATCTCTTTCTATTCAAATGGAATTAAAGCTCATGTATTGTATTTTTATTGCCTGTCTCGGTCTGAACAATCACATATTTTCATCATTATCTTGAAATCACAAGCCCAAAGGGAAAACATCAATGCATCAATTCTTCACCAATCAGCAAAAACTGTGATTACAGTTAGTAAAATGAACAGGTTACATTTTAAAAATTCAACATTCAAAGATTGATAAATCCATCCTCCAGATCATTCTAACATTCTTCTTTAGATAGAAACATTGGTGAGATAATTCAATGGAGAGAGGATTAGCTACAATGTCTCAAATTCCCTGGTTACATTTTCTCACATTAGGTTATTCTATACAGTATTCCATTATTTTCCATTGGTGATTCCGCCACTTAACCCAAACGAACGTGTGAAGCCTATGTCTCCATTGATAAGAATTCTGAATCTACCAATAATTACATTTAGCATTTAAATGTAAATACTTAATGTTTGCACAAGTCTAGTTGTGACATGAAACTATTTTGGGCTGGCTTTACCAAGTTTCACAAATACTTACTATTATCTTGATCTGCTGACTTTCTTCACATTCATCGACTTCTTTTTTCAATTTCTCCTTTGTTTTCTGCATTAGAAAAAAATGAACAGTTCACTCGAAGTAAAGTGTGGATTATTTGACAGTTTTGACAAGCACCTATGGTATGTTTTTCATGGTGGAAAATGGGCTCCAGCGGTGTCTTGTAATAGTGCATGAACTATCATCAGAAATGTTACAACCTCTGTATACAAATATACAACTAAAGCACTTAATGGGACGTATACAAAGCATATATATCAAGTGCATATTTTTTCATATTTACACATATAACCTTACCTTGGAAGTGGGAAAATGGTAACCAAAAATTATGTGCATTTGCTGTATCTCGCTAAACCTAAAGAAAAACTTCGGGCAACATAAGAACTTCATAGGAATAAAGCTATGGTGCCAGGAGGTCCCTAGTGCAGGCTTACATTTAGGAGTTAAACAGTTTGTGAAGTCTAGTATTCAGCGACTGATTGCTCTGCCCTCGGTTCTTCCTCTGCTCAGCTTTTTAACGGGGAAGCCTTGGTCAGGGGGCTCCACAGATTGATTGAGTGTGTCATCTGATGCTCTATGTCAATCAGTAGCTCCACATTCACAAATTGTCTTGAGAAACCTAAGGTTTAACCCTTAAAAGGTAAGCCGACACCCGGGACCTTTTCACACTATAACAACTTAATCCTAATGCAGTTGTTATGGTGCCTGGAATGTTAATCCTTTAATGAATTTGTACAAAACATATTAATATAATGGTTGTGGGCCCTAGATTCAAAGTAAATTTGCAGACTGTGATTAATTTGAAGAATTGAGTCTGGATAAGCTTACCAAGATGCTTTGTAGTTCCAATGGGGTACATTTCAGCTGGTACATGAGCATTTCCTGAGCAATGTCTTTTCGGTTTTCAAGCTTATTCATTTTCTCATATGTATCTGTGTTCAGTACAGACCATCCCAGAATCTGGGTCAAGGCCTAGAGAACAAAAAAAATAAATGGAATAAAAAGATATAATAATAATAATAATAATACTACACTAGATTTTGTTATATTAAAGGACCACTATAGGAAAATTGGTCCATGGTCCATCTAGGATTAACCCTTTTTGCTGTAAACATAGCAGTTTCAGGGAAACTGCTATGTTTACCTATGGGTTAATCCAGCCGCTAGTGGCTGTCTCAGTGTCAGCCGCTTCTCACTGTGATTTTCACAGTGAGAAGACGCCAGCGTCCATAGGAAAGCATTATGGCTGAATGTGTACGTGGCTCTTGCTGCGCATGCGCATTCAGCCGATGACGGAATAGAAAGAGGAGAGTCCCAGCGCCGAGGGAGCCCGGCACTAGAAAAAAGGTAAGAGTTTAACCCCTTCCTCCTCCTTCAGCGCCACGGGAGTGGGACCCTGAGGGTGGGAGCACCCTCAGGGCACTATAGTGCCAGGAAAACGAGTATGTTTTCCTGGCACTATAGTGGTCCTTTAAGAAGAAAAGTTTAAGATAATCATGTCATAATGACCTATAATTGTACTATATTTCTTCTCTAAGTAAGTAACATAGTTATGTATTGCATTGGCTCCTTGAAGAACATTAGAGACACGGGTAAAAGACAGTTTTAAGAGTTTAATAGCATATAGTCATGGATCATGGTGAAACAACTAATTTCAAAAGGGATGTTTGCTTAAGCCACTCATTATTTGAGTGTTTGCAGCTTAAATTTTCTGCTATTTATAATTTTGTGGTAAATAAATCTGTCTATGTGATAATATAGCTGCAAAATTGAAGGAACACTGGAGCATTAGGAAACACTTTTAGATTTACTTACCTTCAATCTAATTGTGATCTGGCCTCCACACCGCCACTCTGCCTCTCTAGCTGAGATCATCAGTCTTGATGATCTCAGCCAATCCAATGCGTCCCCATAAGGAAGCATTTGGGAGGCGAGTACATGCGCAACAAGAGCACTGCAATAATTAAATGTTCTCAATCAGAGTCATCTGAGTTATATACATGCGTGACAAGAGCACTGCAATAATTAAATGTTCTCAATGAGAGTCATCTGAGTTATAACTGAGTTTATTACCTCTGTTTAAATTGGGGAAGGAGAGTGTGAACTAGCATGGGAATGAAGGGTCTATGGACTATAGAGTTGGTTATTTGGCAGTAGCAAGTAAGGATATTTTGGGGGATTTAGAGGTTATTTATCTGGAGCATAAGAGGCCCAAATAATATCTTGCACCAAGGCCCTATGTTCATTAGTTCTACTACTAGTCCATTCTATCTATACCTTTTTGGTCATGTGTGTATACCGATTTAGGGATATCATGGAATCTTTTACTTCCCTTTCACGTAGCTTTATTCCCAACCAATATGCACTGTAACGTCTGTATTTTCTAGAACAATTCTTACTTCTGTAATTTGCTCATCGTATTCGTCAAAGGGCTTTGCATCTTTCCTGTTGTAGAATGTAGCTACGCCCACAATCTCCTCTTTCTTATTTACAATGGGGAGCGACAAAACATTTTTAATAACCCAGCCTGTTTCATCGACAGCCTCTTTCTGCAAACACAGAAGAAAAACACACAATTGTTATTTGGTTCAGAGGTTATACCATAGGACATATGGATTATGAGACATAAGATCATAAGTTATTTGCCATCAGTTAATGCACAAATGTAGAGAGAATCCAAGGGCTTTGGATTGTATCCAAATGAGCTTATGGAAACTGCTATGGCAATAGATAGAAACAAAGAGGATTATGCATAAGATACTTATTTAAGTTAATAGGTGTTGCATGGTGTATAGAGCCCAGTCTAGACTTATACAGGACTTGTTTGTGCATTTATTGTACATTATTTATAAGACTGTGTATTATACTATGCCATTTGTCCTAAATAGCTCTCAGTAAATAAAAATAACTAAACCCACACATAATGTAAACATCCAATATATTGATTAAAGATAAATTATGTAAATGTATTCTAAAGACCTCAGGCTGTTGTTGGTTGTTAGTGCCTGAATTTGCAAACTATTAACTGATGATTTTGAGTTAAATGGGGCAGCAGAGTCATGTTGGTACCAACACAACATTTAAAAAAAATGGCATACAATATATATATATAGAGGGCTGGCTGACATAAGGACCACTGGGGTTGTCTAGCATGGGTATCTAGCCAAGGTATTCAAGTTGCTGTCCAAAAATCTGGTGGACCAATGTTGGTTCTGCTCTAGAATACAAAATATATATTTAATATTACAGCAGATATTCTCCAACCTTTCATTGTAGGTTTTCTACATGTGCATTCATCAGGGTCTCTAGCCATTGGTGATATTCATTCCTGGTGACTGTGCCATGGGCCCTCCAGGCTTGTGGTGGCAAGCAACTTTTAAGCCAGTCAAGTGGTACAGGATTTTGAGCTATGCCTGTATAATATTTGCTATAGGTTTGTTTTTCTGTCTGTGAAATTCTCCATTTTTTTTTAAAAAAAAACTGTCTGCCTAAGTATTTCACTCTTTTTTTTTATCTGATTACATCTATATGTATTTCTATTCACTTATATAAATTGGCCTGTCTCTATAGCATATCCAAATCAGCCCCTCATGAAAAAAATAGTAGGTTCAGTAATAGGTTAATAAATATAATATAAAGATAAAAATATAAAAGTAATTCATGAAAATTAAAAATTGCTAACGTGCTAGAGCCCACTAGAACCTGCGTTAGGACAATTGTGGATCTGTACTTCGATCAACCAGCGTATACTATGTGGTAGTGTATACCATAATGGATATACTTCCAACATGTCCTAAGAATTAAATAATTATAGTCCAATATTTAAAATCTATCTCTGTTTGGCTATCGATCTTTTTCATTCGATTTTTCTGAAAGTCCCCAGCTTGTATCTATTTCACAAAATGTGCTATTAAGGCCAATGGTTCGGATATCTGAAACAAAAAAAAGCATGTCCAACAAGCTACTTTTCTTTTGTGATATTATTTTCAGCTGGCAAAGATTGAAAAGTATTTTGCTCTGAATATACCTGGAATTTGAAGTACTCATCAGCTGGGGCATTCATCATGTTGCAAATCTGAAAGTAGACGAGAAACTGGTAGTAGTGTAATTGAGAGAGAGTGAGTTATAGTTGAGTATATCATTTTTTTAAATTAGTTGCAGTTACCCATGTCAACAAATCCATGTTAAAGGGACACTTTAATCTTCTAAAGCACCTCAGTTTTAACAGAGAGTCCTCTCTTTCTTACTGTACAAAAATAATCAACTCTATTAGCTCCAAGGTTGCATCCTGCAGTTTATTAGACTCGCCTAACCATATCAAAACCTTCCAGTTTTACCAAATTAAATTTATGTCATAGCTATGGAGTGCAAGTTTCAAATCAATCCTACGCCATTGTTTTAATAATACATTGACTCCGTGAGGAAGGGTTTAAAAGAGTCCTGGTTCTTAGGATGGAACATTAAAAAACTCCACTAGTATCTATTCACTAATTCCCTAGTACTCTACAGTATTCAAGCAGTTTTTAAAAAAGAAAGTCTGTGTCTGCTCAAATAAATAACAGAAATCTAGATATCGACATCCTCTGTCCAGATCTTATCTAAACCTTTAGTGTACACTGGCAAAAACTCAGTTCAATTGGTTTGAAATGAGTTTATTAATAGTAATCATTACCACGTTTAGTAAGAATTACATTTCTAAATCAAACCGTAATTTAATTTGTTTTTTTATAATGCATTCATATATATATTTTTTAGGTTAGTAGATTTGATTTTAAAAGACTTACAAATCCATTTTCAGCGACATACGTCGGGAGCCCACTCACAAGAGACCAGTGATCTGCAGGAGGAGTGCTTTGAAAATAGAAATCGAGGCAGTAAGTGTTAGAAGTCAGTTTTCAAAAATCATTAGAATTCATATAGCACTAACATGCACTGCTGTGCTTTACAATTATAGAAAGGGGATATTTTGAGGTAAAGAAGGCCTTTGTTCAAACAAGCTTACAATCTATGAGGATTTAAGAGGTAGGAATCGGATATATAGGGGTCTTGCCCAAAGACATTTACCAGTAGGGTGGCCTAACTGGACCTCAAACCTGAGTTTCCAGTTCTAAGGCAGTGATGGTATCCCTGCTCTAACCAAGGGGGATTAGTAAATACCACTACATAAAACTAAACAAATTGGGTATTGAATAAAATTTTATATCAAGTATTGCGGCCATAACATGCATAGCCTGTTATAGCTTTATCCATTTTTCAAGGTCCCATCCTAATTGAGTTAGACTTGTGAGTGGGGACTCTGCATATTATATTTTTAAAATATCATTAAACATGAAATGTAGGACTTCTAGTGGAGGAGACTACATGAAAAACCTCTAGAATAATATACAAAACACTCCTTTGGCAATCATTTATGAGGCACTTGTAATAGGGATGGGTAGTAAACCAAGTCGAGTTTCTAAGTTTCACAAAAACATAGAAAAGGGATGAACTCATTCAAACAAGCTTATATTAGTAACGTGCTGATGAAAAAATAAAAATTGTGTTCCCTCGTGTATTTTATAAAACTTACTGAGACTTCAACAGGACTCTGATGAGACAAGTGCTTACTATTTTACAATATTATTCACTACAGTGTGAAAATATGCCAGAAAGTGAAAGGCAATTTCGAATTTTAGACCAAAACAATCTGAAGACATTGCTGAAACTGTTTCCAGTTCAACTATTTTGGCCTAAATCTGGAAACTCACTTTGAATGACTGACACATTCCACTATAATGAATTCAAGACAATTCACGCTTTACAGCGAATAACTTTTTTTTTCTTTTTTTTTTTTTAAATGTTACGTTTATGGCATGAAACAATCAATTATATTAAAACAATTGAAGATGAATATAGTGAACTCTTACGGGATAACTTTGATTTCTTCTTTTCCATGCAAAATATAATCAATAATCTTGTAAAAGTTAACTTCCTGAACAAAAGAGAAAAAAAAAGGTGACTTGTCATGCGTAAGAATATCACTATTAAATTCTGCATTGCACACTTTTCTCAGACTTAAAAAGTCAAAGTTATTCTTTGGAATTGATATACACTTTAACATATTGTACTTTCCACGAGTTCAAAAACTTTAATAGCCAATGATAGAAATTAAAGGGATACTACAAGAATAAAGCAACTGCAGCTTATTGCAGTGGTTTTGCTGCAATAAAGCTATACGTGGTATCCTCATTGACTTCTTACCATCATAATGTGGAAATTAAACTATATCAGCCCCGAGAGCAACTTCCTGGATGAGGTCCTGCAAAGATTGCAGGACCAGCGTTCAGCATCTCCACGCTCCACATGAAGGCTCTGAATGCTCCCCATAGAGATGCATTTACTCAATGCATCTTTACGAGGAGATGAGTATTGGCACAGCGCAGCAATCGCCATGCATGTGCACAAGCCTCCCAGTACATCTAGGCACAAGACCAGCATGCCAGGAGAATAAAAGTAAGTAATATGATTTATTTAATGGATACAGAAAGTGCCCAATAATCCAAATAATTAGTAAAACCCTAGCATTTTCCTTTATTTATTTTCAAACATGGTCTTAAAAGGATTATATGTTCTTGTATACAATTTGATATTCATATTACAATTTGATCAAAATTGGGAGTCAAATAATTATATGTCTATCTCCCAGCAAACTATTTTGTTTTGTTTATGGTTATAACTTCCTCTATCTGAGTTTATAACAGATGACGTTAATTTCTTTAGCTTTAACACAATATAAGTTCCTGTAAGATAAATTAATTTCTAAACAATTCTCAAGAAAATCGTTGTTAAATCAAGTTTTGAAATATACTTGTAACAAAGTAATTCGTGACAGTCCTTTCAATAACAGAACTCTTGCCCATTTTTTTTACTTGATCTCTTACATGTGCAGGTAGGTGTCACATGATCTAGGTCAAGGTGTGAATGATAGGTGGTCAAGGTCAATGAAATTAAACTAAACTAAACTTAAATAAAAACTAGCGTGGCTATAAAACGTGTAGCAAAACAATGCAAAAATATTATATAGCCTTAAACTGACTCCCTTGTAGCCCATTCCTCAAAATCAACATTTACTTTTAAGGAAAAGGTAAAATGATTTAATTATATTAACTTCATTTATAATTTATTAAAAAGTTTAGGGTGTTTTGGACCTGTTTTTCTTTCAGCTAATAACTAATGTTGAAGAGATGGCACAACCATCATTTTCTCATTGAATAAGTCTTCAAATTAACCCATCTGAATGCCAAAAGGTTAAATAAAATCTTTACAAACCCGTCCATCTGGTGTTTTTGGTCCTTTGTAAGGTGGCACTTCACCCATTTTGATTGGCCACTCATCAAAAAATTCCTGAATCGTGATAAAAGCAAACAGAATACAAAATAAAATGATGCATAAAAAGTACAATATTTAATAGAATCAGTTCAAATTAGCATTGCATTTAAATGGGGGTTACACTATCAAAATTAGATATTGAAAATCATAATGTAAATAGCTTACACTACATGCAAAGGTGACTCAATTAACTAGCTAACATAACTGGCCAGTAAGCCTTATAGTGACCTTTTTAACATTATTACACACGTTATTAAAAGAGAAAAAACAGGGTTTTGTTTTTTTATTGTTTTTTTCATCGGTCTAAATAAAAAGATTAAAATTGTTGGGGTAGCTCTGACAGCTATGCGTAAATGGGCCACGGGTTTATTCAATAATGTGTGACTTGTGAATTCAAAGTTAACTCTGTGAATTAAAAATGTTAGACCAAATTAGCAAACTTTGAAAAGTTCTTTAAGTTGGGCTGTTTTGGACACTTACTTGATTCCCTCCCCCTATGTATATCTATTCCTAGTTCTCTTCATCACAGATAACCCCAAGATTTTGGCCTTTAGTATATATTAACAATAAGGAGAAATAAAGTAAACAGAGTGCAGGTCAGGAGTCCGGATGCAAGTCAAGGGCTCATGAACTGCACCACTGTAACCACCTAATAGGGAGCTCCAATGAGGGGGTAACCCTCCAAAATATGTAGGTAATAGGAGTAGGTGATGTGTAGAGTCCCACAAGGAGAAACCAACATCAGGAGAGCTCCACTGTATAAGAAATGAGGAAGGGAGGCCCTACCTTTAATCAATCTTAGGATAAAAAGGGATATGCAAACAAAAAGTATAACTTGAAAAAAAGGGAGATCTACTAAACGGTGCCCAAGGGATCAATTGTCTGGAGTACTAGCTAGCATCTAAGTTCCAGTTCCCCTAGTGTCCAACTGACAGGAAGGTAGTGTAAACGAAGTTAGGGAAAGAGAAGAGGCACAGGGTCCCCAGAGAACAAGGGACCGGGTAATCAGGTCTAAACGCAGATGAAAAGCCTCAAAAAATAAATAAATAAATAAATAAATAAATAAATCTCTCAATTCACCCTAAAAGTTACCTCGACACCGTGGTCTAACCACTAGTGTCTACCCGAACCAACTCTCCCCACTAAAGTTATAAATAAATAAACACCTAAAACACAATAACCATAGTGGTAACAAAAATAAAAAAGTGCTACCAAGTGCAGAGATTAAAGAAAAAGAAAACGCTTGACGCGCGTTTCAGCATGTTCAAAACGCTGTCGTCAGGCCCAAACCTGTGGCCCATTTACGCATAGCTGTTAGAGCTACCCCAACAATTTGAATCTTTTTATTTAGACCGATGAAAACAATATCTATGATAACTGTGACCAACTGAACCTCGTCATGTGTTCTTGGAGGGGTCTGCTGGCCAGCCTCTTACCAAAAGACTATGGACCCTTTAAAAACCTATGTGAACAGACTTGGTTCGTGGGATTTTATATTTGGTTCGGGAACCGAACAGCAGCACAAACCGGAGACCATCCTGGAGCTTGTTAAGGCTAATTGCTACTTTGTAGCAAATTCCACCGCAGTGTTCTAAGTGTTCGTCTGGGTGCCCCCATTTCCTATGGACGACTACGAGGTGGCGGCCATCTTGTTCGCATGAAAACAGGCCACAGTGTTTGGTCGTCAAGTTCCTGGAACTATTTTCGGACACAAACTCCCGACCACCTCTGGACTTCCATGATCGCCTGGGTTTAGTTTTATAGCACTTAGGACGACACGGTTTGGTGGAATTATTCCCACAAATAATGTGAAGAAGCTTCAGGGTAAGAACAGTAGTTTGTTTGGTTTTTAAACTACCGAACTAGACCGACCGCAAGCCCTGATTCTCTGGAACTGTTTTGGGCATGGGACCATTCGGACTGTCAGTCAAATTATGACTTCCAGGAAATTCCTGAACCTGTGAACTGATCTGGGTGATTTTTGGATGTAACTGTTGTGGGTATTTTGTATGTTTTAAGGTATTTGTCTGGTTTGCTAAAAATGTGTGCTATTTGTGCCCAGAGATAATTGAGTTTAATACAGTGATTGACTCAATTATCTCCCAGGCATAGGGGAGGGATTGACCTATTTTGTATGGGAGTGTCCTGGACCTGAGAGCCAGTGTAATCGTGAGTGCCCCTTGCATGGGGACCTGAATATAAAGCCAGTTCTGGCTGTCATTAAACTGATTTGTTTTACCCTTTATGTAGCCTAGGCTCATGTTTGGGGGATTCACTCTGGGGATTGCTACAATCACTATATTCCCTTGGATCACAACGATTGCTCTTGTAAGAGCAGCCTGCTTCGCTCTCGGGACTAGGAGAGGTCTACCCACTGGAAGCTAGATCCTGGTCTTGGGTCCAGGGTGGGTGGAGGACAGCAAGACCCCAACCAAGCTGCGGCGGTTTGTGGGGTTTACAGTGGTTATGGTGTTCCAGTTTGGTGCTTATGATACTCAAGGATTACTAGGAAGCAGCTATTGACAGAGGTACCCGGTCGGGGTGCCAGTCGGTCCATCACAATAACAATTTACCCCTCGTTTTGCTCTGGCTATAGAACTCTTTCCCTTAATTATTATTTGTTATCATTTATATTTTCATGTTCTTCTTCAGCGTGTACTGATAATATTCAATATACACTCATTTTGTCCTTTGTCCTTTAGCTAATGCACAGGTATAATGTTGTACTTTGGGATCATTGTCCATATATACAATTCAGCTCAATAAAAAAAAAAAAAAACTTTCTAAAAAAAATCCTTTGTAAACATGTCATTTTTGTAGATTTTTTAAAATATCACTGTGTACTCAATCTGAGACTTCCCCGGCTTCTAGAAAAACAGTTATGCTTACACAGTGTTCCTTGTGGCAGGTGCCTCTTTGTTAAGCAAATTTGTAAATTTGTTAATGCTTAGTTCACAATGTTCAGCTAAACAAAATAGACAAGCCTAGAATTTGCATGGTAGAGGCCATAAATATTCACAGGGACTTGTCACCTTTGGAGATTACACAAAAACAAAACAAGAAAACAAAATAAAAATGCAATGCCAAACAAAATTTAGTCTATAAAACCAAATGCATTTTCCAATGCAAATGGTGGCCCTACAACAATTCTTCCTCACGTTACAATAACCCTTGTTGGTTAGAGTCCATGATTACATTCTAACAGCCAGTAGAAGAAAATACTGTTATGAAACACCTGCATATCTCAAGTTCGATTTTGGAAAGTCCCACCTTGCCACAGATATTAGAGCAATCACACCTCTCCCAGAGTTCCCAGTTTGATATACAAATGAGCACAGAGAGGCATCATGTCTCAGACTTCACTCTGCATTTATACAGATGCCCTTAGCAATGGATGCGGTTTCAAACACAGCACGGGTTGTGATCCAAAAGAACCAGTGAAGAGAAACCAGCCATGGACTGTACAGTTTCGACCTTGTGGGTCTCGTCAGCATGGCACCTATCCTGGAAATTGAAGTCTCCCTGGGGGGGAAACATGATTTCTCAAGTTTCTGTGCCCAACATGATATTTGCAGGGGATACATAACAATAAGTTTTTCTGTTTGCACCAAGGGGGATTTTTTGTTTTTGGTCTCACCACAATCTTTTTGGCTTCTAACTGCCAGTAGGTGAATAGGAGGACTCCAAATACACTACAAGGTTTAACTATAGAATAAATTAAATGAATGCACAATATATCTGGGTGTCTGTTTTGCCCTTTAAAAAAGTAAAATCTCTTATATCCAAGCATAGGCAGGCTGTGCTCAGGTCAGTCATTAAATAAACCAGAATAACTTCAAACTTTTATTGAAAGAAATGTTGACAACCTTTATTTGAAGACTTGCTCACTTTGGCTCTCTAAAATAATTTATAGTTATTAAAATTCAACATCTCCATCCGGAGAATCTGTTAATTCCCTCCATACAGTCTTTCGATTTTCACAATTAAAATAAATAAAAGAAGCATTCACCTTTTCTTTTGTCATGTCCAACAAAGCAACAGAATATCGCTCACAATTTAGATGCACCCTGACCGTGTACAGTGCTTTGTGAAACTGTCTCTCTATGTCTGTTAACTCCTCAAAGACTTTGTTGGCTGTCCAAAGAAGAATCTGCAGAAAGGAAGAAAAGATCACATACTACACTAGAGATATGTCGATTCATGCACATTTTTTAATTAAACTTGTCAAGAAAAACCAAACAAATAAACAATAACTAAACAAACTCAGCTTGACTGGTGAGCTGGTTTTGAAGTGTACTAAACTGTTGTGCAAGTACAGACTCCATGATGCCTCGTCAGCCTGCAGGTTAAAGTGCCAAAATTAGGATGGCAAAGCATCAATGGGGTTTTTCTCCAAGTCAGAATGGCATATTTTCAAGTGAGTCAAATCAGAGAGACTCGTAGTTTCAAATCAGGTTGACATGCCATCTCAGGGGTTGGGTGGTGGTAGCGCTGTACCCACCTTGCCAAAACAGGTGGCAAACCAAGACTGAAAACTACTAATCGAATGGTGAAAATTAGAATGTTTTACATTCCTTCTAACATACAGCAATTTAAATGTAGTCCTTAACTCTCTTTAACCCTTCTCTTCCCAAATCCCCAGTCTGTTAGTGCTTTGGAAAAGTAATTCCATGAGTTGCTTTACCTGGCTCTTTCTTAATTCCACATTGTAAAGATATGTTACGTGATTGTTTTTAAGGACGAGGGAAATAAAATTCAGGTATTTGACGAAAACCTGCAAAGGTTACAAAAAAAGAAAAATGCATTAAATTTAAAGAAAAAAGTTAAGGTTACTTTTGTCTGCTTTGCTCAGATAATAATACACACAGAGGTCTATTTACTAATGGTCCTTATTTAATAATGTTGCTTGCACATACTGCCACAAATCGCAGCTATATTTATTGACCTGCACACCACTATGTTCAGAGGTAAAATACCAGAAATACACAAATTCTGTATAGATTTTAGATTCAGCCAAATGTTAATAGACTTTTTTCCACTTTCTTTTTTGGTTTATTGTTTGTCACTATAACTTATTGATTTGAATTTGTTGTGTTTTATTGAAAATATTAGCAATATTCAGTTTTGTCCATGTATTCATTATGTAGCACACAAATTAGATAGATAGACAGACAGATAGACAGACAGTTAGATAGATACTGGATAGATAGACAGACAGACAGACAGACAGACAGACAGAGAGAGAGAGAGAGAGAGAGAGAGAGAGAGAGATAGATAGATAGATAGATAGATAGATAGATAGATATTGGATAGATAGATAGATAGATAGATAGATAGACAGACAGATAGACAGACAGATAGATAGACAGATAGATAGACAGATAGATAGATAATTTATATTAAAGGAACACTTTAGCTTTAGAAATTGAGGTCATAACACTATATTATCTCTGAGCTATTAAAGTGTCATCCCCTATATTAGCAATATTCAGTTTTGTCCATGTATTCATTATGTAGCACACAAATTAGATAGACAGACAGACAGAGAGAGAGAGAGAGAGAGAGAGATAGATAGATATTGGATAGATAGATAGATAGATAGATAGATAGATAGATAGATAGATAGATAGATAGGCAGATAGATAGACAGATAGATAGATAATTTATATTAAAGGAACACTTTAGCTTTAGAAATTGAGGTCCTAACACTATATTATCTCTGAGCTATTAAAGTGTCATCCCCTATATTAGCAATATTCAGTTTTGTCCATGTATTCATTATGTAGCACACAAATTAGATAGATAGATATATAGACAGACAGACAGATAGACATATAGACAGATAGACAGACAGATAGATAGACAGACAGAAAGAGAGAGAAAGAGAGAGATAGATAGATAGATAGATAGATAGATAGATATAGACAGACAGACAGACAGATAGAGGATAGATAGATACTCGATAGATAGACAGACAGATAGACAGACAGACAGAGAAAGAGAGAAAGAGAGAGATAGATAGACAGACGGATAGATACTCGATAGATAGACAGATAGTTAATTTATATTAAAGGAACACTATAGCTTTAGACATTGAGGTCCTAACACTATATTATCTCTGAGCTATTAAAGTGTCATCCCCTCCCGGTTTGTCATAAAATAATAAAATAAAATAAAGGTTTTACTTATCTTTTTCCAGTTCTGAGGACCCAACCTTTAAGAATGTGTGTATAAAGTGTCAGGGTAGACGTGAAGCCTGGTCAGAGCCAGGCACAGGGCTGACTTTCTATCTTTAGCATTGGGTTTATTTTTATATATATTTTTTTTACGGTCTTTCTTATTATATTGTTATTTTATGCCCCGTTGTTTATGAGGTTTGCCTGCTATTTACATGCCAAGTTTCAATCTTTGAACCAATAAAGATGTACTACTCATGAACTATCTCAGCAGTGAATGCTGACCTATTGGAGCAAGTTGGTGAAACTTTCATTTGGAATTAGTCCAGCACCACTTTACAGCCTATCTGAAACATCAGCATGAAGTAAGTGACCACAGTATTTTTATTTTATTTTTTATTCTTTCCATGGATTTGTTCCCCCCCCTGGGATTGGGGTTGCAGCACTAAGTTTCTTTACAGGACTTTCCCTGGAGTTTCATGTAATTCAGCTTCTTGGAAAACCGAGTTTCACTTAGTCAGTGCAGTGGAAGCGCCTCTAGCTACTATCATACGGACAACCACTACAAATGGATTTAAGCCAGCAATGTAAAAAAAACTGGAATGTTTTACAGGGGTTACAAGGACAGGGCATTGAGATGAAGTGGCCTGGGTGACTTTAGTGCAAAACGGATGACAGACTATCCAACAAACTATTGATTCGTTACCTCGTAGGTGAAGCCAGAAGTGTACACCACCAGCTTGATAAATGCTCTCAAATTTACCTCTTCATCCTGTTTCGAAAATGCAGGTTCGTTCTGTTTATTCAAAACCATTATAACAGCTAGAACTTCCTTGCCGTGCATAATGGGGGTGGCCATCAAATTCTTGGTAGAATACCCAGTCTGCTTGTCCGCAAAATCCGAAAAATGAGTGTTCTGCAATGCAAATTAATTTGTTTTTTAATATAATATTATATATCATAAATTAAAAATATTTCTGGACTTTTACTAGAGTGAAGATAGCAAGTATTTCTGCAGATGAAGCTGTTAATCTCTTCAGTTTAGTTTAGTTTCTTTGAAATCTTTTTTTCCCCCGTCTAATTTAATATAATAGTCAGATGATGGCACTTTGAGTGAAGACTCTAAACTGGCATAATAAAATATAAATATCAAATACATTGAAAGGCTTCTCTAAAAATGTTAAATCAAGGCAATATTGTTTGACACATTTAGCTACTAGACTTGTGCAATTAGTTTCGCTTCAAATCAAAGATCACCCGAATTTGGAAGAGTCCAAAATCCCAAATTCACAAATTCGGAGCAAATTGATAAATAATTGTGGATCAAATCATATTTATTTTTTTGTAATTACGATTTTTATTAAAAAAAAAAAAAAATTATATATATATATATATATATATATATATATATATATATATATATATATATATATATAGAGAGAGAGAGAGAGAGAGAGAGAGAGAGAGAGAGAGAGAGAGAGAGAGAGAGAGAGAGAGAGAGAGAGAGAGAGAGAGAGAGAGAGAGAGAGAGAGAGAGATCATAAATGGACATTTTTAAAATTTTTTACTATTGATATAAAACATCTAGCAGCAGTAATGCCAACATTAATGGGGAGAATGGTCAGGATTCTCAATATCCTGTTTACATGTCCCCTGTATTTAAGAAATGATTACTTGAGGAGTCTGAAAAAAAATAACGTTAAAGGCTAAATGTTAAATGACTATCTTGGCTCGGTGTGTGTTACTGTGATAAACTCTGCCCTTCGCACAGCTAGTTAACTTAAAGAGAGCACAGAGAAAGCAGCGTAAATAGAAAATGTAATAAAATAGTCACAATTGTAAGGAAGCAAAAGTGAATTCCAATGAATTGCCAAATTAATGCCAAGATATCTGACCTGGGATAGGTTTACAGTTGGGCTATTTTGTCCGTAAAAAAAAAATCATTTTTTAAAATTATCTTTCAATTCCCATTGACTCTCATTTTCGTAAAATAACCCCGAATGTTTCTAATTCTCCTCCTCCAAAACAACCTGTACTTTGACTGTGCCTGGATCGCCCTTGATGCAAATATAAATGTAGAATCTAAATTTAAAGAAATTGGAGCATTGCATAAAAAAAAAAAAAAAAAGCTTAGCACAAGTTATAGATGATTTCAATGTTTTATTCTATCTTGTAATTTCAAAGGAAGTGTTGTTTTTTCTTTAAGGAGGTGTCACACTTTATAGACATGTCTGTTGTTCCTGATAATAAGCTCCAGTTATGGTCATTGTCAATCTGAACTTGTGGGGGTTTTTTTTACAATTATAATTGCTTGTTTAGGTACTGGTTATATTTATCACCATGCTCCGTGGAGTCTGTGAGGTCTGAGATCCTATTAGGATATAATTACCAAGCCGCAACAGAATCCAATTTAGCATTGGCTCTGGGCAAAAAATAAAATAAAAATCAATGCCATTGCCAGAATCGGTGCCAGGTGATTATATGATGCAAAGCTTTGCTTGCACAGTCTTGGGTCCCCAGAATTCGGCTGCATTTTTATAATCTGATTTGTTCTAATTCTTCCCACAATCTTGCTAACAAATAACAAAGACCCAGCGGTTGCCAAAGTCCAACTCCAAACATGTTGATGGCTGTTAAGGTGGGGCCCAGAAGAAGATGTGCCACATTCTAGATTTCTTGTCTAAGTTCCAATCTATGTTCTTAATATGACAAGTGTTTTTTTCTGTTTTAGTACAGTTGTCGAGACCTGCATTTCATTTCAACTCTGATCCTGTCTTTTATGCAGTTCCTGCAGTTATTATTAGTTCGGCTATGCCCAGTCTTGTCGTGGTATGTCTGTTGGGTTTCGGATTTCCATCCAAGTATTTTCTAGAGTAGTTAGGTGATCCCTGAAGCAGTGATGGCCTCCTTCAATATGCTCCTACGCATTAACTCTTCTATAGCTCAGGTACTCAGAGCTGCATCGACCCAGCAATTTACTTTTAAAATTGTTACTGCAGGACTCCCTGATATCAATAGAGCACATACTCATTAAAAATGGATACTCTGCATATTAGAGTCTTCACATTTTTTCATTTTTTCATGCTAGTTTCGATGTTATATTATCTCTGCTGGTGTTTAGACACATCATGGACAAAGATTCATTGCATTATGGAGTTTGTTGAAGACTGTGCTGCAGAAGGTGGGAGCTTAGCATTCAAATTGTCTGTCAGGACTTAAAGGGACATTTTTTGTACCTTCATGGTGAGCGCTTTTTATGTGATGTTCTCCATGGAAACTGTGTATTTTACGGCTTCTCTTACTTAAAGGGACACTACAGGCTGGATTTGACCCATTGCACAGATAGTCCAATAATAAATACATGCCAAACAATTAAAGATAATAAAACAAGCTTAAAAAATATATCAATTTGTAGTTTTTGCATCTTTGGAAATTGTGGAAAATTCCAATCTACTCAGAATTTGCAATAAGCGCTCACCAAACAGAACTAACAAGGGCTTGCTACACTTTCTATAGCACTGAAACATAGAATGTGACGCAGATAAGAACCATTCGGCCCATCTAGTCTGCCTTGTTAATTTTTTTGCCCACTGGAATTTAGGCAAAGCAAGTGTTTCTGGGAGTCATAGTCCAATTGTCGCGCTCTCTTGTAGAATGCTGCTAACTGAACTACAACTCACAGAAACCTCTTGGAAAGTCATGACATCATCTAACAGCAGTAATGTTTGAGCAAACAAAGAAATATTGCAAATGTGGAATGGAGTAGTCGGAAAAGATGGACACATAGATTGTTGTGGTCCTTTCCTATGTTGAATCATGGTTCGAACCATCATACAAACATATGTCAGGGCAGCTAAGTATAGAAAACTAAAACCAAGGGAGACACAGTTACAGGAACGCAGAGTAGTCATTGTCATGGATAATTAAGAATGCTTGAAAAAAAGCAAAAAAAAATAACCATACAAAAACACCAGATGGTCGAGGGTAACAGAAATTACAACGGAGGCAGGGTTGGATACCAGGATAGCGAATACCCAAATTAAGCCAAAGGATGCCAGATACAAGAAATCCAAAATGGTGAACAAGGGCAATTGAGTCTCCAATGCTTTTTGGCTTATATAATTTAGAATGCGGGTTCCTTTTGTTCAGCGGATATCACAAGTCTACCAAGGATCGACAAATGTCCCTTAAATGTTCCCAATGGACCTCACTGTTTAGTGTGAACAAAGGCAAATTGTGTGATGTTCTAAAGTAATGAAAGTAAAGATTTTACCAGAATGTTATATTTATGCCCATTATTTCAGTTCTTATAAGTAACACAGGTATACTACAGTACAAACCTGTAGACTGTGCAAACCAACAGGACCATCTACATTTATGGGCAGGGTTTAAGATGTCAAACAACTTAATGTTATAACGAGGATAATCCTTGGTTCGAGTTATTAACGTACTGTCAGATTTGAAGATGAAATTCAACTGATCAGCACGGACTGGTGTGAAGATTAGAGCAAACACCTGTCCTGAGGTTGTGAGCAATAATAATTACAATAACATACCCAGGATTACAATGTATCACAAACACTAATCTAGATTATTATAATCAACAGCATTAAGACCAGAAAGACATATTGAAAATAACCAAGTAAAGCCATGAACCTCATCTGTGTAACAATTATCTTAAGAGAACAAGTAGGTTTAGGTTGGTTTTTTTTTTTACGTCTTTTTTTCCTCTATTGACATCCGCCGAGCATTAACTAACTATGCGCACACTGCTTCTTCGGCCACAATATGTACTTTAAATTAACAGTCATATTATAGAACCATAGAAACATAGAATGTGACGGCAGATAAGAAACATTCGGCCCATCTAGTATTATAGAACCATAGTATTATAGAACCATAGAAACATAGAATGTGACGGCAGATAAGAACCATTTGACCCATCTAGTCTGCCCAATTTTCTAAATACTTTCATTAGTCCCTATCCTTATCTTATAGTTAGGATAGCCTTATGCCTATCCCACGCATGCTTAAACTTCTTTACTGTGTTAACCTCTACCACTTCAGCTGGGAGGCTATTCCATACATCCACTACCCTCTCAGTAAAGTAATAGTTCCTTATATTTTTAAACCTATGCCCCTCTAATTTAAGACTATGTCTTCTTGTTGTGGTAGTTTTTCTTCTTTTAAATATAGTCTCCTCCTTTACTGTGTTGATTCCCTTTATGTATTTAAATGTTTCATATCCCCCCTGTCTCGTCTTTCCTCCAAGCTGTACATGTTAACCTTTAACCTTTAACCTTTCCTGGTAAGTTTTATCCTGTACTGCGTACAATACTCCAAGTAAGGTCTCACCAGTGTTCTGTACAATGGCATGAGCACTTCCCTCTTTCTACTGCTAATCAGTGGCATTGCTAGGGGCGGGCCAGAGGGGGCCATGGCCCCCCTACATCATGCTGTGCCCCCCCTTGTGCCCCTCCAAATGCAGGCAATTTGCTGGCCATGTGGTTACAGTCTATTCCGTCGGACTGTAACAGTGTCTGACAGCCTGACGTAATGCAGGACAGAGGAGTTAGAACGCTGCTGGGTGTTTTCAGCAGCTTCCATGGCACAGGCCCCACCCCCAAATGAAGCCCCGCCCCTTGCACATAAGCCCCGCTGTTAAGCAGCAGACCTTGCTGCTGCTGGAAAGGCCAGAAGATGGCTGGCTGACCCCCAGCAACAGCCTCCAGTGACAGGTAGGCTTGATATGCTCAGGTGTGTGTGTGTCTGCTAGTGAGGAAGCTTGTGTGTCTCTGTGTGTGTATGAACTCAGCAGTCTGTGTGTGTGTGTGTGTGTGTGTGTCTCTATGTGTGTGTATACACTCAGCAGTATGTGTGTGTGTGGGTGTGTGTATGGACTCAGCAGTGTGTGTGTGTCTATGTCTGTGTATGGACTCAGCAGTCTGTGTGTGTGTGTATGGACTCAGCAGTCTGTGTGTGTGTATGAACTCAGCAGTCTGTGTGTGTGTATGAACTCAGCAGTCTGTGTGTGTGTGTATGAACTCAGCAGTCTGTGTGTGTGTGTATGGACTCAGCAGTCACTGTGTGTGTGTGTGTATGGACTCAGCAGTCACTGTGTGTGTGTGTGTGTGTATGGACTCAGCAGTCTGTGTGTGTGTATGGACTCAGCAGTCTGTGTGTGTATGGACTCAGCAGTCTGTGTGTGTATGGACTCAGCAGTCTGTGTGTGTCTATGTCTGTGTATGGACTCAGCAGTCTGTGTGTGTGTATGGACTCAGCAGTCACTGTGTGTGTATGGACTCAGCAGTCACTGTGTGTGTATGGACTCAGCAGTCTGTGAGTGTGTGTGTGTGTGTGTGTGTGTATGTATGGACTCAGCAGTCTGTGTGTGTGTGTGTATGGGCTCAGCAGTCTATGTGTGTGTGTATGGACTCAGCAGTCTATGTGTGTGTGTATGGACTCAGCAGTCTGTGTGTGTGTGTGTATGGACTCAGCAGTCTGTGTGTGTATGGACTCAGCAGTCACTGTGTGTGTGTATGGACTCAGCAGTCTGTGTGTGTATGAACTCAGCAGTCACTGTGTGTGTGTGTGTGTATGGACTCTCAATGATCTGTGTGTGTATGAACTCAGCAGTCTGTGTGTGAACTCAGCAGTCTGTGTGTGTGTGTGTGTGTGTGTGTGTGTATGTATGGACTCAGCAGTCTGTGTGTATGGGCTCAACAGTCTATGTGTGTGTGTGTATGTGTATGGACTCAGCAGTCTGTGTGTGTGTATGGACTCAGCAGTCTCTGTGTGTGTGTGTGTGTGTGTGTGTGTGTGTGTGTGTGGACTCAGCAGTCACTGTGTGTGTGTGTATGGATTCAGCAGTCTGTGTGTGTGTGTGTATGGATTCAGCAGTCTGTGTGTGTGTGTGTATGGATTCAGCAGTCTGTGTGTGTGTATGAACTCAGCAGTCTGTGTGTGTGTGTATGTATGGACTCAGCTTGGTCTGTGTGTGTATGACTCAGCAGTCTATGTGTGTGTGTATGTGTATGGACTCAGCAGTCTCTGTGTGTGTGTGTGCGTGTGTGTGTGTGTGTGTGTGTATGGACTCAGCAGTCACTGTGTGTGTGTTTGTGTGTGTATGGACTCAACAGTCTATGTGTGTGTGTATGGTCTCAGCAGTTTGTGGGTGTATGTGTATGGACTCAGCAGTCTGTATGTATGGACTCAGCAGTCTGTCTGTGTATGTATGGACTCAGCAGTCTGTCTGTGCGTGTGTATGGACTCAGCAGTCTGTCTGTGCGTGTGTATGGATTCAGCAGTCTGTGTGTGTGTATGGACTCAGCAGTCTGTGTGTGTGTATGGACTCAGCAGTCTGTGTGTGTGTATGGACTCAGCAGTCTGTGTGTGTGTCTGTGTGTGTAGGGACTCAGCAGTCTGTATGTCTAGGTGTGTATGGACTCAGCAGTGTGTGTATGTGTATAAATCAGCCTGTGTGCATTCAACAACGCCTGTGTGCATTCAGGAGTCTGTGTGCTTTCAGAAATCTGTGTGTGTGTGTATTCAGCAGTCTCTCGGTGTTCGTATTCAGTGTACTGTGTGTATGTACTCAGCAGTCTATCAATAAATAAAATGTTATTCCTGTGAGTTGTTGTGTAGGAAGGGCCCCACTGCACTGCTTTGCCCGGGGCCCTTAATGCTGTAAAAATGGTACTGCTTGTGTGTGTAAGTGAACTTCTATTTAGTGAGCATGTGTGTGTCAGTGAGATTGTCTTTAGTGAGCTTGTGTGTGTCCCTGAACTTCTTTGTAGTGAGCCTTGTGTTTATACAAATGAGTTTGTCTGTGGTAAGCTTGTGTGTGAGTCAGAGAGTTTTGTCTGTCAGTAAGCCTATTTGCACATGTCGGTGAGCTTGTGTGCTTACTGTAATATATATATATACACACACACAAGTATAGTGGCACTCACCCTTTCAATGAATCAGTAAAAGACTGCCTTGGTGCAATCCCACGCTGGATATGTAAAGCAAAAAGGAAAGAGATGCACTCTCAGGTCTTTGTAGAAAAAAACTCGATATTATTTAATAACAGGTAACATACATCTGATCGACGTTTCGACCTCTTCAGGTCTTCCTCAAGATCGTGAGGAAGACCTGAAGAGATCGAAACGTCGATCAGATGTATGTTACCTGTTATTAAATAATATCGAGTTTTTTTCTACAAAGACCTGAGAGTGCATCTCTTTCCTTTTTGAGAGATATATATATATATATATATATATATAGATATATATATATATATATTTTGACTTGTAGGAATGGCATACATTTTTTTCCAGGGCTGCTTTGGATTCCCAGGGATTCCCAGTTTGGCTCTGCCAGCGAGTGTGCTTTACCGCTGAATCATCTGTGTGAGCTGCCGCATACTTTAGCCCTGTTACACGCGTCTGGGACCTGCTGTTGACAGGTACTAGTAGTCTAGAGATTGGGACATGAGGTATATGCTCAGCTATCTGTATAATACTATAGTGCTGTTCTCTGTATAATACAGATCTGTGTGTGTATAATATCCCGGGATAGTCAGTGCTTCCTGTATAGTGTTGCTCTTTGTATAATACAGGTCTGTGTCTGTATAAAATCCTGGGACAGTCAGTGTTCCCTGTAAAGTGTTGCTCTCTGTTGCTCTCTGTCTGGGATATTATACACAAACAGACCTGTATTATACAGAGAGCAGCATTATACAGGGAGCACTGACTGTCCCGGGATAGTATACACACAGCCTTGTATTATACAGAGAGCAGCACTATACAGGGTGCACTGACTGTCCCAATTTATTATACACACAACCCTATATTATACAGAGAGCACTGACTGTCCAGGGAGATTCTACACAGACAGTAATTGATAGCTATGCTGTAAAATGTCCTTGGAAATTGTTTTCAAATGTTGACAACTATGGCACTGTATCAAGGGGAATGGGTTTGTTTTTTAATAATCTCTAGTGGAAAATGATGAATCCACCACCAGGGATTATTAAAAAAAAAAACACATTGTGTAGGGGGCGTGGTTTAACATGCGGCAGGGGCAGAGTCAAACTGCGGCAAGGGCGGGGTTAAACGTGCCCCCCTACTTTTGTCCCTGGCCCACCATGTGCCCCCCCTAAAAATGAATCCTAGAGACGCCACTGCTGCTAATACCTCTCCCTATACAACCAAGCATTCTGCTCGCATTTCCTGCTGCTCTATTACATTGTCTGTCTAACTTTAAGTCATCAGAAATAATCACCCCTAAATCCCTTTCCTCAGAAGAGGTTAGGACTCAATTATGGTTTGCATAAACATAGTAGACCTTTACATTTGGGCTTATGATCAGGTGCAACAATTCTGGGGGAATATAACGGTCTACCTTAACAATAACCGAGATTAATCTGACCCCAGAACTTGCCATATTTGGCATATCATCCTGTCCAGGAAAATATACTATTATAAATAATAAATTCCTTCAAATCAACCTAGTGGCGGTAAAAAAAAAAAAAAAAAATCCTACATGAATGGATACAATGGATCCTCCATCAATGGATACAATGGATCCTCCATCAATGGATACAATGGATCCTCCATCAATGAATACATCATGAAATCCCTACACTCACTTTATTTGAAATCAAGTTTATGTCATATTTCTTTTGTTAATTTATGCCTGGGGAAATGGATGACTGGGGATAAAATACCTATTTTTCCGTAATATGATTCTTATCCCAATATGGTGATACAGTTCTTTAAATCACTTTGTTACCCATTATTTTGTATTGTTCTTCTTTATAAATTGTGTTATACTATTAAAAATAACAAAATAAACAATGAAGACTCTGGTAACTGAAGGTTTCATGGACCCTGGGTTTGCCCCTAGACAACACCAGCATAGACAAAATAAAAATGTCAAACACAAACCTTTAATAAAGGATCTATGGATTTTAAGTGCCAAAGAATAAAGAAGTAAATGTTTCAACCAAACACGGCTTTTTGAGAAACACTGTGTGGCCAAAACATCACCTTAATAAAGGGTCTGGGGACTTGAACGTTTGTGCTGGACATTTTTATTTATTCTTTGTGTTGTTATAATACAGCAACAAAAGACCGAACCTCCGAATATCATATATACTTGTGTAGCTCATGATCAAATCCTCAATAAAAATGTTCTACATATAAGAAGCTATTTTCTGAGACAGGGTAGTGCTTTTCACTGGCCATTTACATTTCGTACAAAAAACTGTAATCAAAAAATGTAAATAACAACAAAATCATTCAGTATTACAAAAACAAAAACTGATTAAAAAATTAGAAGTTGGCTCTATTATACACAAATAGGAAAAAGAACATTAGCAAAATAATAAAAAAGTGGGTTCAGAAGAAGCACAATGTATTTTGTATTGTATAATTTATGTACTTCAATTATTGATTTTACGCTTTCATTTGGGGGTTTCAACACCATGCAAAGTGTAAGGACATCCAGTGTCTATTTATACTGTGAAACAGAAGAAAACACCTTCCGTGACTGTGGTAGACATTTCTCTAAAACAGCAATGTTTTACGTTTCAGTGTTAAGGAAACAGGGACACCTCACCCAGAACACTTCAATGAGATGAAGTGGTCTGGGTGCCTATAGAGTCCCTTTAAGGCAAATATCTTCTTTTCAGTCGTGAAATAAACTACAGTACTGCAGGTTGATCAATGTAGGTAGAACAAATAAAATTATGAAATATGGTAAACCAAGGCTATACAACCAATGGTTAGGCAGGGAACCTAAAACCAGCACAGCACCATTCAGTGAGTCTCAAGCTCATGGATACCTCACAGCACAACAGTGTAAAGGCCAGGGTGCACGTTTGTCCCCTTACACTGTAACCTTGTTTGAGCAATACTTTCAACACCTTTCATTCCTCCATGTTCAACTGGTCCTTTTGGAATGACTCGTCTGTCATTCCACTGCATAGCAGTGTGAGATACATACATTATATCCATTAATCTACATCCATATCAAATCCATTAGACTACATGCATTTGTTTTATATAGTGAATTTGACATGTGCTTTGTATGCTGGATATTATTATAGGGAGTGGCAGTATCCCCTTTGTGGAGCATGACTGATGGTTTCGGTGATTATTTGCCTGTAGACCTGAGTATTTAACCCAATCTGTGTTCTGCAAGAATACTTGTAACGGTTCCAAGCTGGATATACAAGTTCCCTGATGGAGACAGTTTCTGGATTGTTAGATATTCCCAAATGGAATTTCAAGCCATGGCAAGCATTCCTTACACTGTTTCCTGCATATAGACTCTTCTAGGCTCTCTTTCCAACCTACGCACCCCATGTGAAGGTATGTCTTCATCAGGTTATTTATATAGCACACTTTATCAGGAACTCATGCTAAGCAGAACAATAATCAATGAAGTACCATCATCTTAATATTACATATAGAATACCTGACCGTGTACCAAGCTCTTTTTAAGTCACGGCACTGACTTATATAATAAAAAAGAACTCCCAATGGGGGAGGTGGTGAACAGGGTATTGGGAACTAGTTCCAGTTAATTTAAGAAATAAATCAAAATACTGCAATAGAAACAAACAAACAAAAAAGTTTGTGGTTTCATCAATTCCTGCTTTAGACAAAGAAGTTATATTTTACTTGTAACTTCCTATTCATGAAAAGGAAATAAAGACGATATATCAAGTATAACGCACCTACCAGATAAATATTAAGCTGTCTCTTTTGCACCGGTCTGTTTTGTTTTACTTTTTTAGTAATCAAACACTCTTTCACGTTTCCTATTTAGGCAATCAAATGTAAGTATCTCATTTAACTTTGTTATTTTGTCTGTTTTTTTAAGTCTTCTCTTCATAATTGAGTTCGCGTCTTTAGTTTGTCGTGTTCCTTAAAGGGACACTCCAGGCACCCAGACTACTTCTGCCCATTGTAGTGGTCTGGGTGCCAACTCCCACTACCCTTAACCCTACAACTGTAATTATTGCAGTTTTTTATAAACTGCAATAATTACCTTGCAGGGTTAACTCCACCTCTAGTGGCTGTCTACTAGACATCCACTAGAGGGCACTTCCGGGATTATAGCACAGATTTTCTATGCTAGAGAGTCGCTGGACATCCTCACGCTGTGTGAGGACCTCCAGCGTCACTCAATTCCGCATAGGAAAGCTGCTTTCCTATGGGGAGTTCTAATGCACATACGCGGCATTGCCGCGCATGCGCATTAAGTCTCCCCGGTGGGTGGGCGGGATCTGTCTCACCCACCGGCCGATGTAAAGACTGGGAGGAGCGGCGGCGAGCAGAAACCACCGCCGAGGGACAACGGCGGGGTCTCAGGTAAGTGACCTGAAGGAGTTTTCACCCCTTCAGCAACCGGGGATTGGGAGGTGGGAGGGAGAGGGGACCTGCAGTGCCAGGAAAACTGAAGTTTCCCTTTAAATAAATCTATGCAGTGACGTTCACAGATTAAAATAACTAACACATTTATACTGTAGGCAATACTGTTATCTGGTAGACTAAGCGTTTGAATCTCCACTTCCATTAGATTAGGTTATCTTTCTTTAGGAAAAAGGTGATTGGTTTCGGAATCCTTAGAGGGAGGAGTAAGAGGGAGCAAGTTAGTCACAAAGGTTTTCTCCGCTTAAAATGAAATTCACCCCAGCTGAGGTTAAATAATTGTTGACATTTAAATTTAAAATTATATACACACACGCCTTTACTCAAACGCCAATACTACACACAAATGTACATCACACCCCTAAAATCAATCGCAAATATTACAAACACATACCTGTATTAAAACACTACAACTATATATAGAAACATCCCTTAATTCAAACACCGACACTACACACAAAAGTACGCCGGCATTTAAAAGCCAACACTACATACAAACACACCCCTGCATTTAAACTCAAACACTACACACAAGTACACCACTGCATTGCAATGGCAACCATAGAAACCTAAAATGTGATGGCAGATAAGAACCATTCGGCACAAGCATACATGCAAATACCCCTACAGCCCATACTTTATACAAAAACATGCTTACATTCAAACACATAAACACTGCTCATAAATTCAACCCTGCAAGGATGGCAAATGGTAGAGCCCCAGCTGCCATAGCATTGTTGGAGTTGAATGACAGATGGAGGATCTAGCTTTTGATCACTCTTGCACTAGAGGTGGGCCCAAAAAAACATTTGTGAACCAGGGCCCTCTCTGCATTAGTTCCGCCACTGTGTAGAATTGCTGTCTAGTGGACTGGAGAGTCCCTTTAATGTTCTCTAAAGTCCTTCAGTTTGCTGTAGTCCTTCCCTGTTTTGGTAGTGGAGGTGGGGAACAGACCCAGCAAGCTGTAGTAGTTTTGGTGCACGAAGTGTTCTTTTAAAAAGATATATATTTTTCTAATTGCAGTGCCATTAGCATTGAGTTTGGGGTGCAAAAACACAACAAAAATGCTTAAAGAGGCAGAGCAGGGCACAAGTGACTTAATCAAGTCCATACTGAATAACCCAAGTTTTCAATATTTCATCAAAAAGTGTAATATCAGGGGGGAGGGTGGGGCGTGGACGACGAGCCGAACCAGACGTGCTTCAGTGAGGCTTCTACACAGACCCGCTATCAATTGAAATTTACCCTAGTTAGTAATATACTTACCCCTACCGTCCATGCTCCAGAGGCAATCCATGGGACGCAGGCACAAGAAATCCCGCCATCTGGAAGGTTCCTGTATGTCCGATATCAGACTCTCCTTTGAGAGGCCTGCAGAGCGGCCATCGTCAAAGATGGCGCCTAAGGCACGAAACGTGGCTGAGGAGTCCAAAGAGTCCCAGGGGGATGCTGATTCCACAGTTTCAGTCGGCTCAGATGGCGTATACAGTGAATCTGAATTCGAAGAGAACTCTTCCCCATCCACCAAGGGGGATATTAAAAGGCTACTACAGGAGCTGAGGCAGGTGGGGAAAACAGATCTGCAAGAGACACAGACCAAAGTGGGAATTGTATACACAAAAATCAAAGCTGAGACAAGTTCTTTCTAATTACGGCACAGTGGTTGAACCATCACCAGGCTGAGACTATTGCTATTCTGTTAAATGCTACTTACGACCTCTATGCAGGTCACACGTTATGCTACACTAAAAAATTGTTGGCATCAAATTACCACAACCTACTCAACAAAGAAAATTCAATACAACCTGCTTAGAATCACCCAGACAAGAATTGATCTAAAATGCCATCTGCCTTACCCTAGACTGACACGCTGCATAGGCAAAAGTGCATATACTACGATCAAGATTTAGCTCAAACTCTTGCTGCACACGTATGCAGACTGGATATCCAGACGTTGCAAATTGCTTACCATTACCTATATCGGAATTGATGCGAAATATGGAATTTGCCTTACCTTTGTTTGACATACTATGCCTCTGCGTAGGCAACAGTGTATTAATTTTCCAAACCCGTTCTTTGTCTGCTATTATTTTACATACGAAATAAAAAAGCATTGAACACAAAAATCAAAGCTGTGGAAACAAGAGAAAAGGCTAGAGACAGCCAGATACAGGAGACTAAGAACCAGATGAAAGAGCTTAGCCATCAAGTCCAGATGCTGCACGAGATGGTCACTGTGTTGGAGACTAGACACAGGAAGTGTAATATCAGCCTAAGAGGTATCCCAGAACAAATTGGGGTAGAGGAGATAGTGGCTACAATGGGCCTCAAGGGGGAGATAGACCCTTCACTGATAATGGCGGCATTCAGAGTCAGGAAGGCGGCTACAGCCACGGTCCCCAGAGATGGCATTATCGTCACCAGAGATATAGCGGCAAGATCCGCCATTATGGCCCGGGTCCAGAGCCCTGGGAACTGTGCAATATGAAGGCTAGGAGATTGCCCTATATGGAGATCTTCCATTCCAGGTGTTGCTGGAGAAAAAACAGTTGGCCCCAATTGCCAGGAGACTCAGAGATCATTCCATTAAGTATCACTGGGGAGTGGAGGGTTCTTTAATATTTACAAAAGAAGATGGCATGCTCACCTTGACCTCTGCTGATGATCCAGAGACTTTTCTAAACCATTACCAGAGGAGCCGCAAGTAAGGACCATACAAAGAGCAGAGGAGAGACAGCCATCAAGTGCTCCAGGAGAAGGGACTTCGCAGCCCAGGACCCACCAGTCTGGGACTTTAGTCCGCAGGCTGCAGTTCAGGACATAATACATTGTCTTACAGCAGAGACCACAAATCTGTTAAGGTTAGCCAATATACAAGGCGATCACTTGGAATAAAAGGAGCTATGTTTGGTATGTTTGCCACTGCACTCTAGACCCTAGTTTTTTGGGGGGGGAGGGAGGCCCAAAACTAGGGTCTAGAGTGCAGTGGCAAACATACCAAACATAGCTCCTTTTATTCCAAGTGATCGCCTTGTATATTGGCTAACCTTGCAGTGGCAAACATACCAAACATAGCTCCTTTTATTCCAAGTGATCGCCTTGTATATTGGCTAACCTTGCAGTGGCAAACATACCAAACATAGCTCCTTTTATTCCAAGTGATCGCCTTGTATATTGGCTAACCTTAACAATCCCTATTATAATCTAAACCCAAAGAGATGGTTACTCTGCCTGACTAGTCATATTATAGCAATACTGTTTTCTTATGGGAATAGTATTTCTCCTTCAGACCTTGTCGTGTGATGCTACCATGTATGTTTTTGTTTCTTCCTACATTTTATTTATACATATACATACATATATAATGACACAGATGTATATTGGATGCATAAATACCAATAAAATCCAAATTGAAAAAAAAGCATTTATAGAGATTTGCACAAATATTCCCTAAACTCTAAATCTGATCTGTGCAGCTAAATTAAAATTAACCATTTTTGATCAGCACTTCTATGTTAGTGCTGAGCATTGTCCAGTCAAATGCTTCTTATTGAGAAACATTCATGATAAATCTCCAATCTAAAGTCTTATATAGATGGGTGGTTTTATTAAGATGTAGGGATTTTTATGGAGAAAAAAAATACTTCAGGGCTATATTAGTTCAAGAGATGTTCATAATTAATATTTTTATGAACCAATTAAAATGATGACTTGCTAAATAAAAAATAAAATAAACAATTATCTAGAGAAGTGACAATTTGCCTTTAAATTATTTCTATTTTTAAAATGTCTGTTGCCATGTTTTCAGTGAGTCAGGAGATAAAAGTTTTGCTTAGATATTTTTTTTTTAATCAGGGATTCCCGTATAAAAAAAAAAAAAAAAGACAAAAACCTAAATTATATATATTTATTTCAACTTATTAAAGATGCGAGTTAAAAAGTCCCTTGGACAGTTAATAAATATTGCTACCGAACATCAAGTACTCTGCACATTCGCTATATCCTTTTGATCTTTCAGTCAGTGATCAGCCTTGCTCCGGATTATCCGCAAGCTCACCATTTTTGGCAAGCTAAGTAAGTCCCAGGCTTCGATCCATCATGATGGTATCTGCATACAGGTGGGAGAGGCACGGTAATCTCTGCTATAGTCTGTAATACAGAACTGATAGACTAAAAGATAAAATGCAATTTAAAAAAAGCAAATATGATGAAATACTTAGCATTTTATTTTTCACGTTTTTGTTACTTCTAAATTTTTAAAATTGGTGATTTAAAAGTCCCCTTTATTAGTCATTACAAGAAAGTAGAATTATTTCACCAGTGCTTGAAAACTTTTTTTTGATTAGGGAAAAAAATTAAGTGCAATATTTTAGCACAATGGCTAAAGATATGCTATTAACGTTCAGTTTTGTTTCATAACATGGTGCAATAGATGCTCTGTGGGAAGTCATGTTCAAAGTCCTATTGCTGTGGTTTAGTCACATAAAGAGACAGAAAACATAGTTTAAATAAAAATGGCTATGTGGGAAAATTTGTATACATATACATGATGATTATGGAACATGCAATTTATTTTTATTCTAGCCATTAAGTTATTCGTGTCATGTGCATTATCTAGCCATAGCCTAAGTTTGGAATTATAACTGCATTCTGGTTGGCTAAATACAAAAAAAAAAAAAAAACTATTTCTGAAGTGTCAGTCATTCTTTCTCCCATCCCTTATCACCAATTTCTTGACCTACTTTCTCTAAAACCCCATACTATTGTATTAAATGCAGAATAAGCATTTACATGCACATTGATTTTTTTTTATATATATATATATACATACATACATACATACAGACATACACACACACACACACGTATACAGGCTTTACTGGCCTTCTAATGATATCCCTTATTAAATATATGGATATACTGTATCCCCATTAAATGAAATAAGTATACCGTATCCCTCTAATGTACATCTACAATACGAACCTAAACTAACAATGCCATATTGGGTTGCTCAAGCTCACTCTTTGGGCATTGAAAGTGTTAAATAATGATGTAGCTCAATGTTTTTTAACACTCTACTGCTGGAGGTTTCATGACATGTGTCATGCTGGATTAATGATTAATGATCGGCAGGGACTCATAGGAGAGATCACAGCTAGGAGATGTTATCTAAACCTGGTCCTCGAAATTCCCAAATACACCCACATTCAGCAATAATAAACACATTTGTGAACACGGTTAGCTGTATTGTAGCATTAATCAACAAGAGAATTAAAGAGGTTTATTGAGGACAGGAATAAAAGTAAAAGTAACACTTTGGTGAGAGCTTTGTTTAATTAGCAGTGATAGATAAATGTTCTTTGTTATTTGTATATTACATAGAGTACACATGGTATATTGTCTTTTGATTTGGTAAAGGTTGGCTTTAGTAAATTGCAACACTTTGTATACCACCAATTATGAGAATTCTAAGGGGGGCGTGATGAAGGGAATATTGGGGGACATCCCCATTTTCTATACTGTAAAGCCAACATGTGGTTTATGTTCTAGGGTTTGACATCAATCTCTGCTTGATTTTGGTAAGCAAGGTTATTTTTAATCCCACCGCATTAAAAAGCCAAGGTGGGAGGTTGATCCACATGGGATTTTAGTTTACTCATAGTGGAATTCACTCATTCAGATCTTGTAGGAACAACATTACAGTAAAATATGTTTCTATTTAAGCCATTTAACCATTTCCAGTTATGCTTTGCATTGGGATAAATGGAGGTGCTTTCCAATGTGCTTGTGTGTGATGGGCTATAGGTTACACTCTCTTTATAACTCATTGACAGGCTCAAGGTCAAGCAGCAAATAAGATTACGAACTCAGCATGTTGTCCATTGTCAGACAAGAGAACTCCCACAGAGCTACACCAATAATTAAAACAAATAAACCGATGCAACTTTAAAAACAAAATCTCTTTGTCAATCAGTATCCTACAGTGGCGTACACATGACCCATGGGGCCCCGGTGCTAAAATTGATCCGTGTCCCCCCCGAGCGTGGGCCGGGCCGCAACACATGGCGGTGGGCACCTGGTCGCAGGGGTTACAGGGCTGCGACCGCGGTATGTATGCCAGTGCATGCAGATGCACACACACTTAAAAGGACCACTCTAGGCACCCAGACCACTTCAGCTTAATGAAGTGGTCTGGGTGCCAGGTCCAGCTAGGGTTAACCCATTTTTTCATAAACATAGCAGTTTCAGAGAAACTGCTATGTTTATGAATGGGTTAAGCCTTCCCCCTAATCCTCTAGTGGCTGTCTCATTGACAGCCACTAGAGGCGCTTGCGTGCTTCTCACTGTGATTTTCACAGTGAGAGCACGCCAGCGTCCATAGGAAAGCATTATGAATGCTTTCCTATGTGACCGGCTGAATGCGCGCGCAGCTCTTGCCGCGCGTGCGCATACAGCCGACGGGGGAGGAGGAGGATCGGAGGAGGAGAGCTCTCCGCCCAGCGCTGGAAAAAGGTAAGTTTTACCCCTTTTTCCCTTTCCAGAGCCGGGCGGGAGGGGGTCCCTGAGGGTGGGGGCACCCTCAGGGCACTATAGTGCCAGGAAAACGAGTATGTTTTTCTGGCACTATAGTGGTCCTTTAAAGGACCACTACAGACACCCAGATCACATCAGCTCAATGAAGTTGTCTGGGTGTCAGGTCCCTCTAGTTTTAACCCTGCAGCTGAAAACATAGCAGTTTCAGAGAAACTGCTATGTTTCACTGAGGGTTAATACAGCCTCTAGTGGCTGTCTCACTGACAGCCGCTAGAGGAGCACACTGAACGTCCATAGGAAAGCATTGAGTAATGCTTTCCTATGGGCGGTTTGAATGCGTGTGCGGTCGCATTCGGAGCTGAGAGGCTGAGGGATCCTCAGCGCCAAGGGAGTCTGGCGCTGGATAAAGGTAAGTGCTGAAGACACACACACACACAAACTTACAGACGCATACACACTAGCTAACAGACACACACATTTACTGACAGAGACACACTCAGCGACAGACATACATACACACTCACTTACAAAACATACTCTCTCACTTACAAAACATACTCTCTCATTGACAAACACTCACTAACAGACATCAAACAGACTCACTAACACACACACACACACACACAGTAACACACTCACTGACACTCACTCTAACACTCACACACACTCAAACACTAACACTAGGTTTTTTTTTTTAATGTAATCCTCCCAGCCTCCTTACCATTTGGAGTGCTGGGGGGATTCCCTGGGGTCCAGTGGTGCTGCTGGGCTCCTGGGCGGGTGGCCGGTCGGGCAGGCGGGCGCGCGAGGGAGCACTCAGTTCTTCCTCTTCAGCTCCCTCGCGCGCCGCGTAGGGATGCCGGAGCCGGAAGATGACGTCATCTTCCGGCTCTGGTATCAGTGCGGTGCGCGAGGGAGCGGAAGAGGAAGAACTGAGTGCTCCCTCGCGCGCCCGCCTGCCCGACCGGCCACCTGCCTTCCGGGTGTCAGCAGGGCCAGCCTCGGGGGGGCCCTGGGGTGGTCGGCTCCTGGGCCCCCCAGGGGAAGAGGCTGGCCCAGTGACCAGCCGCGACCCTGGTATGGACGCCACTGGTATCCTAACATTTGAACTCTTTTCTCATTACACCAAAAAATATGACTTGTTCTCCTCATTCTTCTCTTCTGTAATATGCCTTGAAATAGTATAACTAGCCACAGAGTAATGGGAGAGAGCAGTACAATCTGTGCTGCCTTTGGTCACCTCTCTCATCCTCTGCCTGGGTTGGATATTGAATAAGAATATTGGGATACTGCTTTGACCAGTAAAAGGTCCAAGATAGATTGATCCAACCATATATTTAAGCATGAATTTGTCGTTACCTTTGAGTCTCTGTTCAAAATCTTACCCTTCAAAGCTTTTATTATGCCATCTGTGCTGATTGTATCACCCTCCTCCCTCCTGCCTACAAACACTACTTTTTATCACTGAATATCATGAAGTTCTTTTAAAGGTCACTTAAATGTTCTGAAAGTCTAATACCAAATGCGAGTTTCTGGAATAAATGTAGATTATAATCGGGTCGTTAATATATTTTGGTTTTTGTAGAACATGTTTTTTTGCTAAATAAATAAATAAATAAATAAATAAATAAATAAATAAATGTCTTCTGGAAGGCTTTCTAAAATAAAGCATTAAATGAGGAGTACACAAATTCTGGTTTCCCTATCTGATGGTATGTCTCTCAGGAAATGGATGTACAATATTTACATATAGTCAATCGAATTTCATCATCTGTGTTTAAACTTTGACTTGCTTTTTTTTTCCCCCCTCCAGATTCATTTCTAAGATTAAAAAAACCTTTCACATATAAAAAGTGACAGACCCATTTTGTGACTGTTTGGCAAAGCTCCTTTACATTAATAAGATGCATATGTTCGAGTTATTTAGAATATAACTTGTTTAGTTTAGTGTTTAATTTATTTAAAAAAAACATATCATGACAATTAAACACAGTCTAAATGTAATCAAAGAATATATTGAAATAGACGCAGTTTTTCCAACTATCTGGAAATATTGGACTTCTAACAAAGAAAGTAATATGCTTAATAACCAAAGCCTACCTTTCTAACGTCGGGTACAATAAAAGTCTTCTTTGTGTGGGCTACCCAACCCACAATTCCAATATCTAATGGAAAAACAATTTCACTTTCTGGATTCACCAAGTTGTCCTCATATTTAGAGTTTTTTGTGACATTGAAAAGCCTTGTAGCCATTTCCGGGACGCCGTTACGGGACCTATAAGTGAACATGCTACAGCAATCGGCATGTAAGAGTAACGCCAGCCTCTGGAGCACTTTGTGGATAGGCTTCTCCATGTTGCTGTACTCTTGAATTTCCATCATCAACTCCAGCAAAACGTCTGCTTCCTCCAACTTTGTCATGTCTCGAAATGAAACGTCATCTTTTATGTCCAGTTTTTTGTTGTTGAATAAAGCACCAACTGTTTCACTTTTAAGCTTTTTATCAAAATATTCCTTTGCAAATTGAGGATTGTTTTCCAAATACTTTTCAACATCTTCTTTCTTCATTTCACCCATCTTGGCCAATTTTTTTTAAAATTTAAAATACATTGTTTGAGGCAATAATATTTAAATATGTGTCAGTCGACTCATGGTAAACTGGTCATGCTGCACAATGTCTACTTTGTGTGTTGTACGTATTCCTGGGTGCTTTAAAAAAACCTTTACAGACCCTCTCGAGATTTGACAGAAGGCACTGGCTTAGTGTCTTCTTAATGTGGGATTTTAAAGGCTGCTAATTAAGCAGATGCCATCAGATTAAAACTCCTGGCTTGTTCTCTTGCCTTCTAATTCCTGGGGGAATGATTTTACACAAAGCATTCCTTTTTAAGATCACAGCTGGGTCCAAACGTAAGAACCTGCGTCTTTAACGCTCGTTTAATTCATGATTTACAATTGGTCCCGTGACTGACCCAAGTATTTGTGAATGAAAGACATAATAGCGGATTAGCTAATCAAATCCTGTAAAAGAAGGAGAAACATGGTGCAGAGGCACGTGGCATTACAGATTCTGAAATATCTACTTAATTCTGCAGCAATCTTGGCTCCAGAGATGGAATGCGCGGCCCTATTTTTTGAACTTAGAGCAATATTCCATGTCAAGCATTAAAACAAATTTCTTTATATACAACAATTTTTTACTTTATAAACACCTGCTAGAAGTACTGCAAATGCCCTGTACATGGCATTTGTATCATGGTTTGTGTTTTGTACTGCCTTTATTAGTTCCTTTTGTTTAATTTCATTTTTTGGGGCTTGAGAGGTAGTACAAATAACAGGGGTGATAGTGTCCTGCCCCGTTTCTGTTGTAAAATGATTGTTGAGGGTAGACCATTAACCCTAGCTTACCTCTTCTCAGAATTGTCATAGAGTTCAAAAAACACAAAAATTCAAGTATGAAGGGTAGAAACGGTCTACCTACCATGTCAAAAGCTTTTCCAGCATCTGTGGAAAGGAAAATAGTGTTTATATTTAGGGAAAGGACCTGATGAACAATGGTTGATGGCGTTACAGTGTTGTTCTGGGCCTCCCAAGCCAATTCAAAGACCACTTTATCAGGTTGAATTAATCCAGGAAAAATGGTGCAATGTTGTCTTGGAGAGCCTGTTCTTTGGTTAAAATGGGTCCATTGCAATTCCTCTTGGAAGTAATACTCAGGTTTATGGAACATTGAATCCATATCTGTTTTTGTATGGAGCTTTTTGTAAGTTTGTATAGCACTGCACTCTCGAATGAGTCAAAAGCTCTTAGAACAGCCCAAACAGCTTCATTGCCAGGCAACCATTCACCCATTTTGCAGACAACCAGCATGGGTGTAGTGGTCGTGAGGAATCTGTTCATGGTGGATTCAGATTGAAATCCAAAGTGTGGGGTAAGTGGTTGTTGTGACTATAGATAACCTATTTATCTACTCTTTCTTGCCTTTTCAAAAGACGCGAATCAGATAAATGCAGACATAAGCAGTGGTCATGTCTGGAGCTCAGATTCAAGTGTCTATATTCTGCATCAGTTAGCCACACCTTCATATTTTCATTAGCATCTATGAAGAAACTTGGGCTTAAAAACCAAGGATCATTCCATAGATTATTGATAAGGTTTGTCAGGATATTTTATAAGCATGTCTGTAGTTGCATATCATTAAAGGAATGACCCATATATAATCCCAAAGTAACTCACAATTATTCAACCCCTGAATAGAATCCCTCTCAACAGTCCAAATATGCAAATTAGCTGTTGTATCAAGCACACCTGTTGCAACTATTCAAGGGGTTCATTAGTTGCTCCAGGTGTGCTTGAGCTGGAACACTTAAAATACATGAACTGGCTAGGGGTTTGTTGAGTGTCATGTTTGATTGCATGTTAAAATAATGGTCCACAAAATTAAGAGAAGAGATTGTCGCCTTTTACAAACAAAAAGCAGGATAGAAAAAGATAGCGAAGACACTGAATGTTCCTAGAGACATGACTGGAAGCCTAGTTTGCAAGTTTAAAGTTGAAGGAACAGCGTGTACACTACCTGGACAGGACAGAAAACGAAAGCTATCAATGGCTACAACCAGATTTCTGAGAAGGCAGGTTGTGAAAAACCATTGAGTGACTGCAAAAGACCAGCAGCAAGATTTGGTGGCAACAGGCACTGAGGTTTCAGTGAGCACAGTAAGGCACATACTAAATGCAGAAGGTTTCCATGCAAGAACTCCAAGATGTACACCACTAGTGACCCAAAAGCACAAGAAAAGACGGCTCCATTATTCTTGAAATCACATAAATAAGCCAAAGTTTTGGGATTCTTTTCTGTGGAGCGGTTGATGAAACAAAACAAACTTTTTGGCCTAATGGTTCAGCAGGATGTCTGGAGGAAGAAGAATGAAGCATGCACTGAGAAGGACTTTCTGCTTACAGTTAAGCATGGTGGTGGCTCGGTGATGCTTTGCATCCTGGAAACCTGCAGCATGTGGAAGGAAAGATGGATTCATAGAAGTAACAGGAAATACTTGGAGAAAACGTTGTGCCATTTGTGAGGAAGCTGTAGCTGGGCGTCATTGGACCTGCCGACAAGACAATGATTCCAAGCATACCTCAAATACCACTAAGGCTTGGTTGCAGGAGAAGTTCTGGAAAATTCTACAGTGGCCATCACAATCACCTGACCTGAATCCCAACAGAAAATCTATCATAAGCAATTGGCTAAGATGTTTCAGGAACGCTCCTAGAAGCTGGTGTCTGGCTACGCATCTCGTTTGTAGCATGGCCTAACAGCAAAAGGTTGCTCTAAAGATACTTGCCATGAAGGGGTTGATTTTTTTGAAACTGGAGAAGTCATTAAAATTTGCATTTTCTGTTCAATTTGGTGAAACATTCTTTTGAGCTATTTCAATTGCATTTGTTTGATTTGATCTTTGCAAACGGCAGGATGTCTGTACATTTTGGCAATAAACCCGATTTTCAATGGAGGGTGAATAATATTAATTACAGCTGTATATACTAACATACATTCAAATATATGCATTCCTAGACACTCTCAAATACGCAAACACCCACGCTCTCACAATTGTACACACACACACTCACATGTACACACTTCCAGACAGAAATAAACACACAAAGACACACACAAAAATACGAACTGTGAGAAACACACTGCGCTATACACACAGATACACATTATCAGATAGATACATACAATATTGAAATACATTCTATTTAGCCATCCTCACTTTTGTCTAGTGCAGAGTGTTCCACAGGAGAACTGGCTGCACCTTTATTCTCACCCAGCCTCCTTAGTACAAAAGGATATAACATCCCTGCCTCCTTTTGCTGTCACACAGGAGTGGAAAGGGGGCAGTCAAGTATAGGTCCGGTTAAGGGACATCTTTATATCTCCCCAAAAATGCATATCATATTAGCGACCGATGCAATCTTTAGTGCTTGGTCAGCTGAGTGATTCAACTCTAGCTAGCATAAGGAGTTTAATGGTTTAGCGAATATTGTATTAATTGATATTTTCACACTATTTCTTATTTAGTACCACAAATTTATTTTTATTATATTTATTATAAACTTTATTTTGAATGCAGCATTACGCGTATTGTATGTTTTATTATTTTGCTGTTAAACTTATTTTTGCTTGATTTATGATCTGAGAATATATCCTTAGGGTTATCTCTGTCAGTGGTAGATAAATGAGCATTTTTTATATTGCTTTGTTTTTGTGAATTCCATCAGAACTGCTTACTTTACTGAATCATGTACAGACTTTGCATGTACTACAGAGACATTTTCTAAACCTTGAAATGATAAAAAAGGAAGAAAAAAAAGTGTAATCTTTTTCTGGACTGTTTGAACGGCAAAAAATAAATAAATAATGTAATTTAATCACAATTTTGTTTTCTGCTGGCGATAAAGTGTGATGTAACAGAAATGGTGTGCTTGTGTGGGATAATGATGTGCCAATTGGCAGCTCAATCGACAATTGACCCCAAAGTTCTGTTAAAACATATTTGGCAGCCAGCAGAAGGAAAACAGGCTTCTGTTTGTGCAGATAAATCAAGAATTTAATTTAAGGATTATAATATCTCTATGCTCACAGTATTCATGTATTTAACACTTCCAGAAAGTGGCGTACATACCAGGGTCGCAGGGGTCGCGGCTGAGACCGGGCCCGGCCCACCAGGGGGCCCGGCTGCCTCTGCGACCCGGTGTGTACCCACTGGGCCAGCCTCTTCCCCTGGGGGGCCCAGGAGCCGACCACCCCAGGGCCCCCCGAGGCTGGCCCTGCTGACACCCGGAAGGCGGGTGGCCGGTTGGGCAGGCGGGCACGCGAGGGAGCACTCAGTGCTTCCTCTTCAGCTCCCTCGCGCACCGCACTGATACCGGAGCCGGATGACGTCATCTTCTGGCTCCGGCATCCCTACGCGGCGCGCGAGGGAGCTGAAGAGGAAGAACTGAGTGCTCCCTCGCGCGCCCGCCTGCTCAACCGGCCACCTGCCCAGGAGCCCAGCAGCACCACTGGACCCCAGGGAATCCCCCCAGCACTCCAAAAGGTAAGGAGGCTGGGAGGATTACATTAAAAAAAAAAAACTAGTGTTAGTGTTTGAGTGTGTGTGAGTGTTAGAGTGAGTGTTAGTGTGTGTGTCTGCTAGTGAGTGTTAGTGTGTGTGAGTGTTAGAGTGAGTGTCAGTGAGTGTGTTACTGTGTGTGTGTGTGTGTGTGTTAGTGAGTCTGTTTGATGTCTGTTAGTGAGTGTTTGTCAATGAGAGTGTATGTTTTGTAAGTGAGTGTGTATGTATGTCTGTTGCTGAGTGTGTCTCTGTCAGTAAATGTGTGTGTCTGTTAGCTAGTGTGTATGCGTCTGTAAGTTTGTGTGTGTGTGTGTGTGTCTTCAGCACTTACCTTTCTCCTGCGCCGGACTCCCTTGGCGCTGAGGATCCCTCAGCCTCTCAGCTCCAAATGCAACCGCACACGCATTCAAACCGCCCATAGGAAAGCATTACTCAATGCTTTCCTATGGACGTTCAGTGTGCTCCTCTAGCGGCTGTCAGTGAGACAGCCACTAGAGGCTGTATTAACCCTCAGTGAAACATAGCAGTTTCTCTGAAACTGCTATGTTTTCAACTTCAGGGTTAAAACTAGAAGGACCTGACACCCAGACAACTTCATTGAGCTGATGTGATCTGGGTGTCTGTAGTGGTCCTTTAAAGGACCACTATAGTGCCAGGAAAACACTCGTTTCCTGGCACTATCATACCCTGAGGTGCCCCACCTCAGGGACCCCTCCCGCCCAGCTCTCTGGGCGGGCGGAGACTCTCCTCCTCCGATCCTCCTCCCCGTCCGGCTGTATGCGCGCGCATTCAGCCCGGTCACATAGGAAAGCATTCAATGCTTTCCTATGGACGCGTGCTCTCACTGTGAAAATCACAGTGAGAAGCACGCAAAGCGCCTAGTGGCTGTCAATGAGACAGCCACTAGAGGAAATAGGGGAAGGCTTAACCCATTCATAAACATTGCAGTTTCTCTGAAACTGCTATGTTTATGAAAAAATGGGTTAACCCTAGCTGGACCTGGCACCCAGACCACTTCATTAAGCTGAAGTGGTCTGGGTGCCTAGAGTGGTCCTTTAAGTGTGTGTGCATCTGCATGCACTGGCGTACATACCGCGGTCGCAGCCCTGTAACCCCTGCGACCAGGTGCCCACCGCCATGTGTTGCGGCCCGGCCCGCGCTCGGGGGGGCCACGGATCAATTTTGGCACCGGGGCCCCATGGGTCATGTATACGCCACTGCTTCCAGAGGCGGACTGACAGGCACCCGGGCAATAGGAGATCAAGCGTTTCCTCCTGGTGCAAGAAGTGTTAGCTATGCAGCCGAAGATGTTTTTTGCCCCCTCCCCTTCACACTCTTCTCCTCTTTATAGTGCGGCTCTCACACCAATATTAGGAGTATGCTGCCCAGCACCAAGAATGACTGTGTTGGAGTTGCACTGCTATGAAAATCCCAAACCTGCATGTCCACCCTCCCATTAAAATAAAAAAGAAGAAAGCATATTAAATGACAACCTTGCACTGTGTTTGCTGGTGTGCCAGTATAGAGTGCTGTGCATGTGTAGTGAGGCTGCCTGTTGTGTTGTAATGCTTGTGGTATTGTGTGTGTGTAGATGGGGCTTTTGATGCTGCAGTGTATGTGTAAGGGGGTCTTGTTTACGGAATGGTATGTGTGCCTAGGGGCTGTAATGTGTGTGAATGTCTAAAGGCTGTAGAGATTGTGTGCATCCTTGTGTTAGTGTATAAGGAGCTGTACAGCATGTAGGTGTAAAGGGGCTATAGTCTGTGATGTATTTACTGCGAGGGTGCCACTTTCCAAACTCCAAGGCAGATGTCTTGTTAGCCTCATTTCATAGGGGCCCAAGAGCTGGCCACCTTTGGGCCCTCCTGAGCCGGGCAGCCAGTTGTATTACAGGCAGGTGGCAAGAAAGTGCGGATCTGTGAGCTCTTCCTGCTCTGCTCCCTTGCGCACCCTGCAGTGATGCCAGGAGCCAGAATATGACGTCACTCCGCATACCGATATTACTAAGCAGCGTGTGAGGGAACTGAGCAAAAAAAACAAAAACAAAAAAAAAATCACAGCTACCTCACCACCTAGTTTGCGCGCCTGCCTTCCTGTCTGCCTGCCACCAGCCCTAGCAGATCCAACAGTCCCACTGGACCCCAGGTAAATAATCCACTCCAGCTCTCCCAAAAGGCAGGGAGGCTGGGTGGATTTAAAATAAAAAATTTAAAAATGTTGGGGGGAAATGTGTGTTTGTGTCAGTTTTAGTGTGTTTGTCTGTCAGTGAGTGTGTGTATATGGTTGTCAGTGTTTGTTAATGTATGTCTGTCAGTTATTGTGTGTGTCTGTCAAAGTGTGTAAAATTAGTGAGTGTGTGTGTATGCTAGTGTGTGTCTGTCATGAGTGCCTGTCGGTGAAAGTGCGTGGGTTAAACAGGGTATGTGCCTATTATTGTATAGGTCAGTGCATGCATCAGTAAGGGCATGTGTTTGTCAGTCACAGAGCGTCTTGGTCTTTAACAGGAAGAGGTCCAGCTTTGACAGGAAGGGGTGGGGCAAATTTAAATTAGTGGGATGCCAAAGTTTTGCCATGCCTAGAGCTGCACAAATACACCACTGGCTGTAATGTTTGTGTATAGGGTATACAATATAAGGAGCACATAGCTGTAATGCATGGGAAATCAGCAAATTCCATATCAAACAGATTATGAGATTCCTTTCAGACAAAAATTGCTTAATGACACATTGCTGGTACAGACAAAAATAGCAACTTATTCACTTAAAGAGGAACTGCCAACTCAGTACAAAAGGTTCTCTCTAACAGCGAGCTAACGTTCATTATGAGCTGTGCTTTTAATGAATTTATTATTTTAAAAAACCTTCCATAATTATTTACATGAATTTGACTAGAATTGCAGTGGCTGTCTCAATCCGTATGTCCAACAATAGCCTACAATACCATGAGTGCGGCCCATGATCAGCCAAGGGCAGGGAATCATGGGAAAATCAGGTCTGATGTGCATGTTGGCTCAAGGCATCTTTAGAACTCATAAGTTCTGATCTTCTAGAAGGCCTTTTATTCATGCGGTTTGTGTTGTTCCCCGCCTCCCCCCCTATTTAGTGTTCCTAAAAAACAAACAAAACCAACAACGTTTAGCAATTTTCTACAGCATAACTCCAAACCCTTAGCCATGCTTCCCCCTTTTCCCGATCCAATAAGTCTTACTGATTGAAAGGTATACAATTAAACTAATCCAACGAGATGGCAGTGTGAGCTGAGCTGGTAATTTGACTACTCCAGAGCCAACCACTGTCCCCCTTTTAACTGTACAGCATTTAAAGTTGTGATAAGCAGAAAGGGGGCAGATAATAACAAAACAGTGATTGGCTACTGAGCAGTCATATCAGCAGCTTCTTTGACCCAGATTTCTCATTTGCTGAGCAGAGTACATCTAACAAGGAAGTTGCTTTTCATGCAGAAGTGGCAGTGTTACACTGCAAGACTGAAAAGAATTGAATATGGAGAAAAATACTGTAAGAATATATGAGGTCAAAATCTTGCACTTAAATTATATTGGTGCCCAGAGTGTGCCTAGAGCAGGGGTAGGCAACCTTTTAGCAGTACTGTGCCAAAACAAGATTTTGAAGACCCTTGACGTGAATGTCTTATTTTTTTTAAATTGAGGTGTGTGTGTATATTGCTGTGTAATTTATGGGTAACACTGTATTTTGTGTGTGTGTGTGTGTATATGCGGGCTGTTTTATTGTATATGTTCATGATTAGTTTGTGGTATTGTGTATGAAACCTATGAATGTGAGTTGTGTATGCAGGCTGCTTATGGAATGGTGTGTGAGAGGCTGTTGGGTTGTGTGCATGTATGTAGATTGTCAGTAGGGTTGTGTGTTTGTATTATTTGTACCAGGGGCTGCTTCTTCTGCAGGTCTGTGAATATCTGGCAGTGTGGGTGGCTTCCCTAGGGTCCAGTGGGGACCAAGCTGGCCATATAGAGGTCAAGGGCAGGAGTTGTGATAGCTGCTGAGGGCTTCTCTACTCCCATGCGGACTCCTGTTTACAAGTGCTGGGAGGAAGTGATCTAAGATCACTTCCTCTAATTGCTGCAATGCATAAATTGGGGGTTGTCCCACTGGGACTCCAGATATGCCAGAGCCTGTTTAGTTCTGGCTGCCTTGAGTGCTGTGCAAAGGAACCTTGAGTGCTATGCATTGCACTCGTGCCATAGGTTGCTGACCCCTGGCTTAGAGTGTCATTTTAAAGAGTGTTTTCCACACAAGAAATAAAAAATAAGGTCACATGAAATATCCCTGTAACATATTCCTCCATTCCATGGAATTGTGGAGGGCTTGGATGCTAGCCTCCTTACCACAGACTATGGACGCTGTCGGAGAAAGGACAATTCCCACATCACTGAGGTCTTGCCCTGCCTTAGCAGTTGCAGCCTTCCGGGCACCCGGGATGTGGGACACCTGGTTGCGGTATAACCTGGGTGAGACACAGAACTTTAGGCCAGCCACATATAAAAATACACCGGTTCGGGACTTAGGCACGGAGGGTGAAACCTTTAACTGGGTGGCAACTGGACACTGTATGAGAATTCAAGACGCTCTTTGAACAGTGGATTGCAGGGGGAGGGGGTTGAGCTATCCAGGGATGTATTATTGGCTGTGGCAGCTGTATTTAACTTTATCAGTCCAGCTAAAGTGGCACCATGGAGGGAACTGTATTTTGTTATGTGGATCACCCTCTGGAGGGTGAATACACATTGTGTGTGGTTTTCATCAAGTCTCAGCTGATTTTTAGGTAAGTTGCTATAATTGCTCTAGGTATCCTGTGGAAAAAGGAGGGAAATGTTGGAGTACTGAGCACTGTCACAATCCCTATCAAGACACCAAGAGTAGTGCAGTAATGAGTTATTGACCCAGAATTCAGGTCATGCGTCCAAAACAAAAATAAAAAAAGGGAAGCCCTCACCTGAACTGGCATATTTAAATCAGTTGCCCTGCGTTCACCTCACAAAAGGTTGCATTTTTTTTAAAAATTTTTTTAAATGTTCAGGCCAAGTAGAACAGATCATGTTCTGTTTTGGCATTAAACATTAAAGTATTTTTGCCATTACAATCCTTCTATTTGACAAATATAACAAAGCTACAAAATGGAGATATAAATTAAAGGGATCCTCTAGCATTATAATCACTACAGTCATTTGTAGTAGTTATGGTGCCACACATCCCCTGGTGCCATCTCAGGGTAAGGAGTAAAACAGTTTGGCTCTTACTCCTTGGTGTCAGCTGACAATCTCAACCAATGAAAGAAGGTAAAGTTGCACAAAGCGGATATTGCTAAGGCAGTCTTCCTAACCATCCCAACGTTGTGAGACAATCCCTATTTCAGAGTCCTGTTTCTCCATCCAGACTTTGTCCTCTAATGTCAGCTTTTAGTGACACCAGGGAACTTGATCCAGAAATCGTATGGAAGCGTTTAATTTGACACTCTCCTTTTAGAATCATGAATTTGGGCCATACAGAGAGCACTGAAACAGAGCTCTCTACATGATCAGTCTTGTTAGGCGATCCTGCCTATCACGCCTGACTGATCTGACAATTCTTTGGGTGGTCCGGTCCACTTTTGTGGTAGGTCCGCACCCTTTGTGCAGCACCAGTGACGTGATTCAGTAATCAGTGAACTCCGCCCATGAGATGCAAATGTTGGTGGGTATGCTAAAGTTTAACAAGAACTTCTACTTTAATGATATTCAGAAGACCTATCAAAACCAGCTGGACTACTTACCATGGGATAGCCCCATAGGAATCCTGGTACCATAACCACTGTATCTGTCTGCAATGGCTGTGGTGCTTCAACAGTCTCTATAAGGCTAAAGTTTTAAACAATACTTTTACATAAAACCAGGACCGAAAACATGTCAAATCACTTGTTTATCACAATTTGCTAGCTGTACAAAACAAAAATCATCTGTTTATGTGGTCAACAGCCCTTGTGAACTGATCTATATAATGTGGAAAATGTCAGAGAGATAAAATTATAAGCAGCACAATGGGGTCTATTCAATAAACAGCAAGTCGGGCAACTCTGCTTAAATGGAGATTTGCTTTCCTACTTAGTTATTTTGTACAAAATTGCTCTAGTTGCCTCTCAAGCCACCAAAGCTGACAGGGTTATACGTTAAAGTGAAAATGTTGGAAATTCAAAGTCAACTTAAAATTTTAGGCCCAAATAGTCAAATTAGCTCATGCTATGATTTTAGAGATAGTGCCCCGGTGTCCCCAAAAATGAGACACTAGGGAACAAGCATGAGATGGAGGGACAGGAACCAAAAATCAAGACTTCAAGTAAATCAACACAGACGACACTCCAGAATAAGGATGGTAATTTTATATACAGGTAAACCACCCCATAGAAATTGGTAAGTGCGACGTTTAGGCTAAGCAGAGCCTTAATCATGCATGATGCTGATTAAGGCTCTGCTTATATAGTTTACCTGTAAATAAATTTACCTTCCTTATTCTGGAGTGTCGCCTGTGTTAATTTACTTGGAATACTTATGGATTCAGTGGTGTCTGCCTGACACAGAGCACCTCCATATTGGATGGCTGGAGCTTTGGCGCGGTACCCATGTGCAGGGTTCACTGTTCTATGTGATCTACCAAAAATAAAGACTGTCTCCCCAAAACCTGGACAATTGAGAGACCATTGTCAGGAATTGACCTAGGCATTGCAAATAATAGTCCATAATATCTTATATGGAAAAATAGAGGTTTTAATTATCTGTTTTGGCCCAGTATTTTTACTTTCATTGCTATGTATGCTCAAATACCAAGTTAGTAACTAACCTTGATTGTTTTACCAAATATTTTTATAAGTCCCACTAACGTACAGACTGTATTTTTTACTCCATCAAGACAATTCCCAAGGCAAAATATTCTTCTACATGTTGCAATTAGAAAGCCATTTGTTAGTTCTTGTATAATACCATTTTACTGAATTTCTAAAAGTGCTCAGTTTTTTTTTGTTGGTTTTTTTTTTAGTAGGTGATAGATGAATCAAGTGATCTTTGCATCTTTTGTGTACATTTCAGCACACACATTTTTAGAAAATGTTTAACAAGATTTTCCATGTGCATCCAAGGTGGTGGAACTGTAAATATTGACACAGAAGATTCATGAAGTGCCTGGATGCTTCGAAAAACATTTATTTTTGATTAAAATCACAGTCAAAAGATATCTGCAGAGACCGAGCAGATTCTTATTGCAGTACCCTATTTATTTAGTGCTTGGAAATGGAGGGGTATCACATTGGATCAGGTAAAACACAATGTGGAATAATTACTAAACATTTAATTGTGCCATATTAATAAATGCAGTGGACAAATGGACCAACTCTGCTAATTTTGGTGTAAATTTAGCATTCCCATGTCAAGTAACAGCAAATCATTGTTTTGTGCAAATACTCGTATTTGTCAGGAGAATTAATCACTCTGCTGTGTGTTGCATTACTTACAGAACATTGCGTAACTTTCATGATATACACAACATTGGTCTTAAATTAAAGAGCATTCAATTTCATGTGCTAGCAGCAATGCTAGAAAATGTATTGATTTTAATTTAATGCACTTTAAAGATTTGGTCCCTCCTCCACCAGTCAATCACTTTATCTTTTGCCCCTGCTTACCTTTTCCTGGTGGTCAGATGGAAGGTGAGCTGGATTCCAGGTGGTCTAGTGTGGTAGCATAGTGGTCTGCACAAGTATCAGATGCAGACTTATTTAAAAGCTCCCTGACAGTTATGGGGATAAGTTAAAGGGACACCTTTATCCCAAACTACTGGAGGAGCCTGCCAGCTAGCCTCCTACCCAAGGACTATGGGCCACATACAAAGAGCCTGTTCGGGAGGGTAAATCTCCCCAGCCACTATTAGCAGCTTTCCCTGGGTGCCCCTGATTCGGCACTTTCCCTTCATTTGAATGGAACCGAACATTAGATCCCTGGCGGCTGTTCGCATGAAGAAAGCCACAAATTGACCTCAGCGGTACTTAGCCGCAATCGTTATGGAACTAAATTTGGCATGAGGACTTTGTGGGTTCCCGGTCACCTTAGCAGAACTTAGCCGCGAATGTTATGGAACGGTTTTCGTCATGAGGTGACCGTGCGGCTCCCGGACAACTTGGTCCGGTGTTTTTAACAACTTTGAAATCCGCCAGGAGAGCGCTGGAGGGAAGGTGCCTGTGACTAATTGGAACAAATGCTACCTGACACACAGGCGGAGCAACTCGTATTGCAGCTGCAGTAGCTCTTGAAAGTTGACCGGCCAAAGCACCAAACGCCCTGGAAGTGTTTTGGGCATAGGACCATGTGTGCAGCCGGTCAAAACTGCATGGATCTGAGCGCTATGTGGCGAACTTGGACGCTCGGATCAGGGCTATTAAGGATGTAATTTTTGTGGGGTTATTATATATTTTTATGATGTTGTTGGGCTTTTTTATGGTTTATGCTTAGTCATTCTGACTCAGAAATTAAGGGGCATATTGTGGGAGTGTTCTGTGCATGTTTTACTGAATACTTGCTGTGTATATAAGTGGGCCATATGGCCATAATAAAGTCAATCTTCTTGTACCCTTCATCAAGTCTAGGCTGATGTTTGGGTATGCTAGAGCTATAATCACTGCTTCACTTGGGATTTGGGAGAACTACAGCAGATATACTCAGTCAGAGTATAGGGGATCCGTTACATACTGTAACACCCCGGAATACTCTAGGTTAGCGACACTGGAGTAAAGAGCAACAGGTGAATACCAATATATATGCTACCATGGCACAAAATATATCATTAATCAATATGATAAATGATAAAATTAGTGCATTAGGAACTGTTATAACACACAGTGAACACGGCATGAGAGGTTCATAGTACAGTATGGATTACAGAAAACAACTACATATAAGTATGGGGAAGATTTTCAACACAGTGTGTGTGTGTGTGTGTAAGGTATAGTGAATGTGTGTGTAAGGTATAGTGTATGTATAGGAGATGTAGTGTGTGGGCAAATAGAGTATAGTTTGTGTGTAGGGGATATATTGTGTGTAAAGGGGATATAGTGTGTATATTATGTGTATAGGTGGTGCAGTGTGTGTGTGTGTGTATAGTGCGTGTGTATATAGAGGGTATAGAACCCACTTCGGGCCGGGGCTGTCCTGGATGGGCTGGCAGAGGAGGTCTTTTGTTCTCTCCCTGGCATCTTCAGCCCCTTACCAGCAGAGCATTTTCCCTTGCCAGATGGCCAGTTCGGGCCAGTGCCCTCTAGTGTCGAGGTTATAATTACCCATCTTAGAGATGCAACCCAGTAAATTGTTTGATCATTTCGGATATGTTAAAGGCTGACATTGAGTCGTTAATAAGGCCTACCAATCACAATCTCATAGATCTGATACTTTTCAAGCGCAATTTTAATATTATCACTCCTTTCAAAAAGGAACCTACACCAAGCTTAAGTAATCACAAGCACTTTGAAGAATATTTATCAATATATTAACAGAATTAACAGATGTTTAGGAAATTCAGCATCAAAAAGAAGTTGATAAACCACTGAAAACCATTCAATACCCAAATTATAAAAAAAAGTGTTTGTCGAAGAGCAGACAAGCAACAACAAAATTGCATTAAACAATAAATACCCTGTGCATTTTACCTGAACAAAAGCAGATTAAAAGAAACACACGTCAAAGGGCTACACATCACCCATTATAAACAACATTGCACTATAAAAAGGGTCAAATACGCTTTCAAGACAAATCATTTTCTGTTGTTAAATCCCACAATCATGATGATGACTGCAATTAAACTCGCTTGTGACATTTTTGACTTGTGATTATGCTGAAAACACACACAATAGAAACATTCGGCCCATCTAGTCTGCCCAATTTTCTAAATACTTTCATTAGTCCCTGGCCTTATCTTATAGTTAGGATAGCCTTATGCCTATCCCACGCATGCTTAAACTCCTTTACTGTGTTAACCTCTACCACTTCAGCTGGAAGGCTATTCCATGCATCCACTACCCTCTCAGTAAAGTAATACTTCCTGATATTATTTTTAAACCTTTGTCCCTCTAATTTAAGACTATGTCCTCTTGTTGTGGTAGTTTTTCTTCTTTTAAATATAGTCTCCTCCTTTACTGTGTTGATTCCCTTTATATATTTAAATGTTTCTATCATATCCCCCCTGTCTCGTCTTTCCTCCAAGCTATACATGTTAAGATCCTTTAACCTTTCCTGGTAAGTTTTATCCCGCAATCCATGAACCAGTTTAGTAGCCCTTCTCTGAACCCTCTCTAAGGTATCAATATCCTTCTGAAGATACGGTCTCCAGTACTGTGTACAATACTCCAAGTGAGGTCTCACCAGTGTTCTGTACAATGGCATGAGCACTTCCCTCTTTCTACTGCTAATACCTCTCCCAATACAACCAAGCATTCTGCTAGCATTTCCTGCTGCTCTATTACATTGTCTGCCTACCTTTAAGTCATCAGAAATTATCACCCCTAAATCCCTTTCCTCAGATGTTGAGGTTAGGACTCCACCAAATATTCTGTACTCTGCCCTTGGGTTTTTACGTCCAAGATGCATTATCTTGCACTTATCCACATTAAATGTCAGTTGCCAGTGCCACAACTCTGACAATTTTTCTAGTTTACCTAAGTCATTTGCCATTTGGCTTATCCCTCCTGAAACATCAACCCTGTTACATATCTTAGTATCATCAGCAAAAAGACATCCCTTACAATCAAGACCTTCTGCAATATCACTTATAAAAATATTAAAGAGAATGCATCCAAGAACAGATGCCTGAGGGTCACCACTGGTAACTAAACCATGCTTCGAATAAACTCCATTGACTACAACCCTCTGTTGCCCGTCACTCAGCCACTGCCTTACCCATTCAACAGTATTGGAATCCAAACATTAAAGGGACACTCCAGGCACCCAAGCCACTCCTGCCCATTGGAGTGGTCTGGGTGCCAACTCCCACTACCCTTAACCCTGCAAGTGTAATTAGTGCAGTTTTTCATAAACTGCAATAATTGCCTAACAGGGTTAAGTCCTCCTCTAGAGGAGCTTCCTGGTTCTTAAAACACTTAGTGTTTTAAGAGATGCTGGACGTCCTCACACAATGCATGAGGACCTCCAGCGTCGCCGGAATCCCCATAGGAAAGCATTGAATAATGCTTTCCTATGGGGCGGTGTAATGCGCGCACGTGGCAATTGCCGCACATGCGCATTAGGTCTCCCCCGCCGGCTGACGGCAGGAGAGGAGAGTTGGAGGAGCCTGACCCAGCACTGAGGGACATCGGCACTGGATACAGGTAAGTCACTGAAGGGGTTTTAACCACCTAAGCAAACTGGGATGGGAGGTGGGAGGGAGAGGTTGCAGTCTATTGATAAGCCTTTTATGTACAACAGTGTCAAAAGCTTTACTGAAATCTAGATGTGGCAGAGAAAAGACATCAGAGGCACGTAGAACCCATAAATATGTGCCAACATACCTCCTTCCACTGTTTTTCCATTGGCCAGTGCTGGATAGGTGATTTTGATTTCAGACAATGCCCAAAATTTCTGTTTGCCTTTGAGCAGAACTTAGGTCTGCCTCATTAAATGGATGCCTGTATATCTGGGAGACTATCATCTAAAGCTTTCCTGATTTTTGGTGATACTTGTGGATTCCTGTATATCTGGGAAACACTATCATCTAAAGCTCCATCTATTATCTCCTATGGGAGATAATATGCACCACAAGTCCTGAGCCTGTTTTTAATTGGCTCGTCAAAGTGTGAGTGTATCCACTACTTTCTTAGTTTTGTGTATGTATTTTACAGGTTACACTATGTATCTTGATTTGTATTTTATTTAGGAGAAACCTTGTTATCCCTTGAAAGGAAAGCTTTGTGTTAAAAAAGATACTTTGTGTTACACACTATAAGAAGAAACCAATATATGAGGTATTTGTTTCTTTCTCAACTTCTGTGTGTGCGCTTATAACCTTTATCTGTTTTTCCTGTCTCATTAAATGCCATTACAGTGTTGGCTTAACTAAATTCTGATAAAATGCAGCATTTTTTAGGTTGGTTAAGGTTTCTGTAGGCTATAGTTTGACATCCCCCATTTGCCAATTTTCCAATTTATTTGTATTTATTAATTTTGCACTTTACATGTATAAATTGCGCTATATGAGAGTGTAAAATAAAAAATTTTGCATACAATTGTGGACAAATGCGAGATTCTTGATCTTACATTGGTAACATTTATAAACTGCATTTAGATTTACCAGAACTGTTGAAAGGTTAAAGAGAATAGAACATGCATGAAAAATCTAGCAAATAATTCCAGAATGATTGGGAAAAGCGAACTCTCTCCAAAAAGTTTATAATCCAAGCTGCAGTCATTTTGAACAAAACAATGTAACAGAAACAAACTCTGAACACCACTCTAATTGAAGGAATACATTAATACATTTCTTAAATGTATATGCAGGAAACATTTTTTTTCCCATAAATAATATAAAAGTTCCATTTGACATCTCCTAGCAGTTAAACCTGTCCTTAAAGCGGACTCTGAAATGAGCTTTCTGTGCCCTCCTGAAGTGTTGGAATTTTGTCAAAACACCTCCCAGGCATAGACTAAGCAAGGAAAGGCAAAATATGTTTTGGAAAACTCCCTGCCCCCTTAGGGTCCGCAATGTTTTATATTTTCTTTCAGCACAGGGTTTGCTATGAGAAGGATAGAGGGATTTTGACAAATGAAGTTTCAGGGTTAAAGTGCACATTTTGATGTTATGCAAGTTTGCTGAAGTGGGCTCCAATCCAGATCGGACTGGATGCATTGGCAGCTTAAAATATAGATCTTTTACCTTGTACAAATGTTACGAAACAGTGTCAGCACAGAGCTATATATATAAGCCTCCCAAAATCTGGATCTGTTAGTTCACACATCTGGACGCATCAAGGAGCTTTGTAAGAAAGAAATATCTCCCAAAATCTACAAGACTTCTCATTTATCTCTTCTCTTAATAATTAACCTTGCTAAATGATATACAATATCTACTTATTTTAAATAATACATTTCATTTGTAGGTTTGGTTTTTTTTAGTCCTTTCACATTTGTTTGCAATTTTCTTTTAAATGAAAAGCCATATGCTTTACATTTTGTAGCTTGCAAATAATTTCTGATGAAATATTTATAACATTTGTACCAATAGTATATTGTTTACTATAGTCTACACTATTTTTAGACCTAGTCATTAATTTTTATACTTCGTAGACAATTCTTATGAATTAGTAATATGTTTAACCAATTGTTTTTTATATGTTTGATTCTTGTATACACTTCTTGTTAATTTTCTATCATTTAGATAATTTAACATTTTTTTTTATTATTTATTTATTTTTAATCTAGAACTCATTGCAGCAGCAAAATGGATCTTAAAGTTTTAGGGCTTTTAATTGCCCTAAGTTGCATTTCAACATGTTTTGGGTATCGAGACTGTAATGTGAATAACTTCAGAGTCATGCAAGATTTTGACAGATTTCGGGTAAGTGACACACAGGACCTTTAAAACAAATTGGGATCTATTTACTAAACAGTGAGCTGTGGTACAGCGATGACTTATTTGTGAAATCTTTAGACCACATCAGCAGAGCTGGAAAAAGATTAGAGATATTTTTTCCCAAGTCTACTTTTCCATCTAATATTTTGCGAGGCAGTTCTATTCCGTTACACTTACTTTGTGCCATCAACCCCGAATGCAATAATCTTTTCTAAAATTATTCATCTTCTAAAAAAAAAAAAAAAAGTAAAATCCCTAATATGTTGCACTCTATGATTTCTTACTTTGACAGCTAGCTGAGTTAAGCTACAGCCATCAGTATACCCATGTGGATGCCGAAGGGATAAAAAACGCATTTTATGATTGAAAGATTCTATTTGTTGTGATTATAGGTATAGGCCAGGGATAGGCAACCTTCGGCACTCCAGATGTTGTGGACTACATCCCCCATAATGCTCTTACACCCATAATGCTGACAAAGCATTATGGGAGGTGTAGTCCAAAACATCTGGAGTGCCAAAGGTTGCCAATACCTGGACTATATGCTATATTTAGGTCAGTAGATCAGTTCCTCTCATTACATGCCTTTGATTGCCTTAAAGGAACACTCCAAGCATTATAGCCCTCTGTAGTGCTTATGTTACCAGGAGTTTCGTGTTGAGACCCCCTGCCCCCCATTGTACATAGTCAAAACAGCAGAGGTAATGGAAGCACCAAACTTGAGTTTCTGGCTCTCAGGGTGGGCTAGTGGGTGTGTGGAATGGAACATTGTGAAATTGTCTTCCTTTACTCTAACTGCTACACTAAGCATGCATTTATTATGCTAGAATGTTTGCATTGAATACCATGTTTATCATCTGTGCTCTCACTTAGTCACTAGCCAGTAATTCAGTTTCAACTGAATATTCATTTTATATGATCCAATCAGATTGCAGCTTTTCTTTAAAGGGTTACTCTATGCACCATAACCACTTCAGACGTTGTACAGATTTTAATCCTTTTTTTCCAGAGGTGTAATTCCATCTCAGGCAGCATCACTGGGGCATCATTAGCGAGGGCGGAATAAGAGTTTAAGGCTGGGAATGTCAGTTCTGTGCATCTTGGGCCTCTATAGTAAGCATGCACAGCAGGATGGCAACAGGCATCCAGTGGCGGCTGGCCCTTCCCCTCCATGCCACCCAAGTCTTCCCTGACATCCCTCTCCATCTGGCATGGGCAGTGATGTCATCAGAGAAAGATCGGTACGTCATGAGAACTTGGGGGGCAGGATAGGAAGGATTACTTACAAAACCAGTGTTGTATTATTATCATCATTTATTATTTTTTTTTGGAGTAACCCTTTGATTTTTTTTGTTTCCTTCTCTCTGCCACGCAGCTCTCTTTACCAGCTTTTTCTAAATTGTAGGACCTCTTACCGCTGTAAATGCATGTCAGGAAACACTGAGAATGTATGTTTATATATGCAATCGCAGCTCATTGTTGCTTTTCTACGTAAAGGCTGTTTAACTTTATACATTGCTGACTATTTAAGGAAACTTCAAATAGGAGATTAAAGGACCACTCTAGGCACCCAGACCACTTCAGCTTAATGAAGTGGTCTGGGTGCCAGGTCCTTCTAGGGTTAACCCATTTTTTAATAAACATAGCAGTTTCAGAGAAACTGCTATGTTTATAATGGGTTAAGCCTTCCCCCAAAGCCTCTAGTGGCTGTCTCATTGACAGCCACTAGAGGCGCTTGCGTGTTTCTCACTGTGATTTTCACAGTGAGAGCACGCCAGCGTCCATAGGAAAGCATTGTAAATGCTTTCCTATGCGACCGGCTGAATGCGCGCGCAGCTCTTGCCGCGCGTGCACATTCAGCCGACGGGGCGGAACGGAGGAGGAGAGATGGAGGAGAGCTCTCCGCCCAGCACTGGAAAAAGGTAAGCTTAAACCCCTTTCCCCTTTCCAGAGCCGGGCGGGAGGGGGACCCTGAGGGTGGGGGCACCCTCAGGGCACTATAGTGCCAGGAAAACGAGTATGTTTTCCTAGCACTATAGTGGTCCTTTAACACATTTAAATTCATTTTTAAAACATTGCCCCATGTTTCTTGTAGATTTAGCAAAGGCACAGAAAGGCATTTTATGCAAATATGAAACATTGTCTATAGCTGGTCATTGTGGAGGACTGACAATTGCAATCATTAAGCCACAGAAAGGCATATGAAGCAAATCTATGCAAATATGAAACATTGTCTAGAACTGGTCATTGTGGAGGACTGACAAATGCAATCATTAAGCCAAAGCCCTGGGTGTTTTACATACGCATCTGCACAGCACACTATACTCAAACTTTAGAAGTAAAAGAATGAGTAAGATTAATAATAATTCTATATTGTGTTGTGGTTATATTTAGCATATATAGCCTTGTTTTTAATGTGATACCATTGGGCGGCAGGGTTATGCATAAAGACCAGTTCTAATGCACATTTTATAAACAGGTGTTTAGGAGGGACATTCAATTGATTGCTCCACTTTCAGAACTACCCAGCAGATAATGAAAATTAACACATACATTGTACTGTACTAAGTGCATCTACTCAATGCCCAGAAAACACATTAATGTGCCCGGTGACTGGCCCACTGTTTGCAATTTGCCCCAGAAGTTACAATATGTCCGATTTAGAAGAGGCATAACACATACACAATCTGCTTCATTTCTAGTATGCTGGAACATGGTATGCTGTAGCCAAGAAGGATCCAGAAGGACTTTTCCTCATTGACAACATTGTAGCTAAATTTTCAGTTGAAGACGATGGAAAAATGACAGCAACAGCTGAGGGAAGAGTCAAGCTTTTTGGGTAATAAAAAAAAACAAACAAAAAAAAAACACTCAGGTCCCCTCCTCCTCGTCACAGCCATTTATTTATGTTTTATGATGTCCTAAGCCTAGTTAAGTCTATTCACACCCCTTTCTACATTTAACCACGATCTCAATCACACTCAAATCCCCATAATTAGCTTTCAACACCACTATTTACCTATATACATAAATGCACAAATAACCAAACAAATGACAGATGCACACGTATGCGAGTCATATTGTATTGAGAATACATACACAAACAGCCACACATATATATGCATTGCTTACACAAATAGCCAAAAACACACAAGTACCCTCAATTATATTGTTCCATCCTCGCATCTCATGCCCCCCAATTTTATCGGCCACTTCCTCTCATCTTCTCAACCTCATTTATTTACCACTTTCTCCAATTTCCTTATCCCACATTTCATTAATCCCTTCTTATAATCGGTTTGCCCTAGCTTTCATTAACCCATTCCTCCTATTTTATTAAACACATTTCATTGAAACTTACCTCCCATCTTCTTACTCTCATCTGTGTACCTCATTAACTACTTCCTCCCATATCCTTAACTAAAATTTCTTTAAACTCCGGGCACCATAACTTCATCAGAATGAAGTTCTCATTGAGCAAGGAGGTCCCTAGCGCTAGGCTTCAAGAACCAGATAGGGCACCATAACAACTTAATTGAAATGAAGTTGGTCCTGGGCGCTGGCTTACCTTAAAGGACCACTCTAGGCACCCAGATCACTTCAGCTTAATGAAGTGGTCTGGGTGCCTGGTCCCTCTAGGATTAACCCTTTCTTTTATAAACATAGCAGTTTCAGAGAAACTGCTATGTTTATATTGAGGGTTAATCCAGCCTCCAGAGCCTCTAGTGGCTGTCTCATTGACAGCCACTAGAGGCGCTTGCGTGCTTCTCACTGTGAAAATCACAGTGAGAGCACGCAAGCGTCCATAGGAAAGCATTATGAATGCTTTCCTATGCGACCGGCTGAATGCGGGCGCGGCTCCTGCCGCGCATGCGCATTCAGCTGATGACGTAGAGAGCAAGGAGGAGAGGAGGAGTACAGCTCCCCGCCCGGCGCTGGAGAAAGGTAAGTGTTTAACCCCTTCCTCTCTCCAGAGCCTGGCGGGAGGGGGACCCTGAGGGTGGGGGCACCCTCAGGGCACTATAGTGCCAGGAAAACGAGTATGTTTTCCTGGCACTATAGTGGTCCTTTAAGGGCTTACACCTGCCTTGAACGGTGTAACCCCTTAAGAAAACATCATGATTCCCTTTTATTCCAGAAGTTGTGTCCTTAAGGGGTTAAGTACTTATTTCTAGTACCGGGAAACTAGAAAGCACTCTCAGAATGGTGGAGGCCTCACTGATCGGCTGAGAGCAGTCAGCTGATGCTCTCAGCGAATTAGTGACTACCTATTATATAACCTCAAGATCTTCAGTCCGGCACCTGTCAGCTCTGCCCTACTTCCAATTGAGTGTGAGACCTTAATCAAGAAGTCTCTGGCTTGGCACCTCTCTCATTCTATCATTAGCTCCCCATTTACAAAACAGAATGAAAAAGGTACATAGAAAATCAGACAATCAGCGATATCATTCCTATGACTCTAAGTCTCACATTAAGGAAGGGGGGGGGGGTTGTGCTCCTTTCACGTGCCTATTCATGTTCACCTTTGGTCACTAGAGACACAATGAAATGCATAAATATTGTATCTGTTCATTTATAAAATGTTTGTATTTTTTTTGGTTCTTAGGGACATGAATATTTGTGCAAATATGGTGGGCACTTTTGAAGATACAGATGATCCTGCCAAATTCAAAATGAAGTACCATGGTCTTCTAGCATATCTTGAAAGAGGACGTAAGTAAATGCATTGATTCATATTTTACTGAATTGTGGCTAGGTAATTTACTGGCAGTGGTGGACTGACCACTCGGGCACATCGGTCATGGATCAAAGGTCCGAGGCATTCAGAGGCATGGCCGAACAGCCATGCTTTGGCCTAGTGGGGAGATCAGAGAAAGGCAAAATTCTACAGACATATTCCAGCAATAAGCTGCAACTTATCACACTGTAAGTGACACCCTCCACACACAAATACTAAGTGAAACCTGGCAGCCATCCTGCTCTCTCTGTGCCAGATCTCCTCTATGATCTCATCTGTGGTGCTTTGCGTGTGTAGGCGGGGTCTGGGAAGTGACATCACTTCCTGTGCTCTAATCTCATGTAGAGTGCAGAAGATAGGGAGCAGCAAGGTAGCAGAGACAACCAATGGCGTACTAAGGGGGGGAGGGGTTTGGGGGAGGCAGTCCGCCTCGGGTGCCATTCACTGGGGGGGGCCATAATGACCAGGGCAGTCTAAATATTTTTCCCCTGATCCAATCCTTCACTATGCGAGCGGTATCACCGCATAGTATAGGACGGACTTGCTCCTCCTTCAGACCTCCCCTGTAGCGAATGTGCGTTCCATGACGTGGTGTGTGTCTGATGGTCTGCCAGTAACTGTGTGTGTGTCTGCCTGTGATTGTGTAATGCTGTCCATAACTGTGTGTGACTGCCTGCCTGCAACTGTGTGCGGGACTGTCTGGCTGCGACTGTGTTTGACTGCCTATAACTGTGTGTGTGACTGCCTGAGACTGTGTGTGTGTGTCTGCCTGTAACTGTGTGTGTGACTGCCTGTGACTGTCTGCATATTACTGTGTGTGTGTGGGGGTGCAGGGTTTTTATACTTCAGTAGGTGGGTGGGGCTTAACACGGCCCCCACCCACTGCTGCTCTTCTAGGGGAAGCAAGAACGAATTCCTGCTTCCCCAACTTAGACTTCAAGGGTTCTGTAAGGGGGGCTGAACAGGGGATTTGGGGAAGGTGGATGCAGAGGTTTTGTAAAAGGGTGCAGTACAGGGGTTTGTAGAAAGGGGGCAAGACAGGGGTTTTGTAGTCAGGGAATTTACAAAGTTTACAAATCTGTGTAATACATAAAAAAAAGAAAGAACGAACATTTTAAAAGTGTTGTGGATATTTTTTACATTATAGAGGGGTGGGGGTGCCAAAATCAGCAGCAAGCTCGGAATATCTGAATGAGACTTGCACAAAGAAGTAGTAGTAGTAGCCAAATATCCTTGCACCAGGACGGGGGCCTTTATTTACTATTGCCAGGGTTCCCATGAGCTGCCAGTCCGTCCCTGTTCAGTGGTATACATTGTAACCTTTGTAGGGATGGATGATGTTTCATAGTGTGAAACAATATATAAAACATGTACTAAGGAAGTGATACATTGATTTTTCTTTGCACATTATGTTGTGCTTTATCACAACCAAAAATAATCCATGCTAGTGTGTCTTCTAGACATATTGTTTGGGGATTCCTGGAAAAATCAGACTCATCTGAGCTAACAACATTACCCAGTTGGGTTTCAGATAATGGGCATTTCAATCCGCTACAAATAATTGTTTAAGTAATTATCTTGTAATAATTTATTCCATTTGGAAGCATTATAAAGAAACTCATAGTGTCTGCTTGTGTTTTGCAGGTGATGACCATTGGGTTGTGGACACGGATTACACCACTTATGCAATCCATTACTGCTGCCGTAAACAAAACGAGGATGGCACCTGTCAGGACAGTTATTCTTTTGTGTTCTCCAGGGATCCAAGTGGACTTACTCCAGAGGCACAGAGAATAGTAAGGAAAAAACAGGAAGAGATTTGCTTGGAAAGGCAGTACAGAGTGGTTCAGCATTACGGTAAGGAAGACACAGGCAAAAAATAAGAATTCTACATAAAAAAAAATATATATACACACACTTCTTTACATTCTTATGCATAAAAATTTAAAATGTTATCCTCAAGATGATAGACAGATAGACCTTTCAATACCCTGTGGGAAATTGTTGGTGCAAAAGAATATCCAATTATTCTTGTCGGTAAAAAGGTAATTTTACATTTTATCGATAGATCCTTTCATTTTACATGAAGTTATTTATAAACAAGGGTTTTTCAAATCAAATGTAATTCAGTTTATGCAATAATGTGTGAATAGTTGACACTTCAAAAGTGAATTGCAAGTGAATTTAAAATTTGGGTGAAAATAACCGAATTATGAAATTTCACTAGTCAACTATTTTTGAGCTAGAAATTGAAATTCACTTTGAATTCTTGAAAATCAGAACTAAAAAAAAAATTTAATACACCAGTTTTTTTTCTAAAAAAAATAATATGAGCAACCAAACCTGAGGTTTGCAGGGTAAGTCATCCCATATGCAAAAAAAAGGGGTTAAGGGCTGCGCTAAAAAAATAAAGTAATAAATAATATTAAAACCAGATATAATCAATAGACAAAAGTTCGTCCAAGAATAAATTGAAACAGTCTCACTGATATCTGATGATAAGATAATAATCCTCAGGTGTTGCTCCTTCTGTATGGCATATAGTCCATATATGTGGAAATAAAAACAAAAAGAGAGCTGCCAATGGTGAAATATTGTATGTCCAGATGTAATGTATAAATCAAGAGAAAGATATTTCACTCACATTTGTTGGAGCTTGAGCCAGCTCTAGGAGAAGAGACACTTAGTGGTTTAACCCCAACTAAAGGATATACTTGGATGGATGGTCCGTCTGTCTGGCTTGGAATTCCCTTGGTGTAGGCTGGGACCTACTCAGATGTACGCAATTCTTTGGTGCTTAGGAGATAGGTCCGCCTCTTCCAATTTTGGATAATGGGTATCCACGAAATATATAAAACAGCAGATAGTGCTCTCAGTGTGAACAATAAAGTAATAATTAATAAATAACTCTTGGTTCAGCGCAGACTCTTCACCCCTTTTTGTTTCATAAGTCATCCCATATGGCTGTTTTGGACAACCATAAATTTTGTATTGGATATAGTATTAGTGAGTATATCTAAAACACTTATGTCAATGGATTGTTTACAACTGTATTTTCAAACTTACATAAAGTGCAATTGTTACCCTTCCGGAGCATGGCCCATCACGGGTACTGGTGCATACATACCCATATATAAGGCCCTCGAGAACGGGAGACTGCGGGATCTTCCCTCGCTATTAGGAGACAGGCCACGAACCCCTCTCCTCCAATTTAGATACCTACAACTGAAACATTTCTATGAATCACTACCGCACAAAAATTACATAGAGACCTTACGTGGTTTGAAGACTTCTGCGACCGAGGCACCTCACTAGACACGCAATTTCGGCACTATATCAACATCTACTAATCGGAGGCACCCCTACGGCAAAGACGTTTAAACAGCAATGGGAGGAACAACTTGGAAAATCGCTCACAACCCAGCATTGGGATAAAGCGATGTTGTGGCAGCATAAGAGCTCTATGAGTTCCTATTACCAGGAAATGAATTACAAATTGCTCTCCCTATGGTATAGAACACCAACTTTACTACACCGAATATTCCCATCAATTCCCCAGGTGTGCTGGAGGTGCCAGGAAAGATGTGGCACGGTGCTACACATCTGGTGGGAGTGCAGAGATATCACCCCATATTGGGAAATGATTAGGGACACAGTGAAGCTTATCCTGGGAGACACACCAGAGTGGAATGCGGAATTGGCATTGTTACACATCTCGACACAACTCATATCGTCGTACAAGAAATCGATATTACGACACCTGCTTAATGCCGCCAAGGCCAACATACCAGCCCACTGGAAAAAGAGTGAAGTACCAACTAGAAAAGAGTGGATTCGCAGAGTAGAAGATATTCAAGGAGCAGAAGAAGCACATGCTACCCTGACAGGACGAGGAACCAGGTGTAACGGAGTCTTACCTGATAGGGAGTCCAGCTCGCAGAGTTATACGCTCACCCTTGCAAAGTAGACACAGACCAGGGTGACCAGGTAAGACGCCACCTGGCCTGTGAGTCTGTGCACGGGGGCTTTCCAGGAAAGGTGCTCCAAGACTCAGTACAGCAAGGATAAGCAGAAGCGTGGTCAAGGGAAGCCAAAATCAGGGAAGCCAGAGGTCAGAGTAGTCCAGGAGGAAAGCCAAGGTCAGAAGCCGGAATAGACAAGAATCACTGGAACGCAGGTACGGAGTAACAGGAACCAAACAAGGGAACCAGAGTCAATGAACTGACACCCCTCCCAGGGTGAGGCAGGCTTTTATATCCTGTTAATTAGGATCAGATTCAGCTGGAGAGTTACTGACAGATCAGAGCCTTTGGTGAAGTCCAGCCCCCTGGTGCTGCAGGCAATACAAGAATAAACAGGGAGTTATCCAAAGTCCTGAAATGGCTCAGAGGAAGAACAGCAGGATATGGTCCAGAAGAACCACAGTTCAAATCCCCTATCGGGCGCTTCCAGAGCGACCACGTCTGGCAGACTGGATGTCACGGCGTGGACCGTGACACCAGGCATGCGGAGCTGCGGAGCTCCCGTTACCGTCGTGATGGAGACACACCGGGAAACACAGCAGTGGTACAGACTAACACGAGCCTTACATGAGTTTCACAAAAACTAAGGTGATAAATTCAATGTTTTGGCAGAAGTGAGCATATATGTACCCTATATGTACCCTAAAGTAGGGAGAGGTTAACTAGATCTACTCCCCAGAAAGTCGACTCGGACCTGCGAGTCCCATTATGACATGAGCCAGCAAGCCAATGGGTCTTCAAAACGTATATTTCTCTCATGGATCCCGAGTTTTCATTGTTTATGTTATGCAAATGTTATATAAAAGGATTAGACCGGCGAGTCTTACTGTTTAACTTACGATGAACCTACAAATAAATAAAAAAAATAAAAAAAAAAGTGCAATTGTTATAAAGATATTATGTTCTAAACTTCTAAAAAAGAGGAGCAATTGTGAACATTCCATTAATATCCATTTTTTTTTTTAAATATATATTTTCTAAAAAGTCTCAAAGTAAAAAGTACAATCATGCATTTAACCCACATGATTATTTAATGCTATCAATTACCACCACCTAACATGGTGTGTAGGCGAAATTATCTGCTGAGCCCACCAGTATCTCATTGTTTGATCTAGTTGTACATGGACCTTGAGGACAACATGCAATATTTGGTTAAAACACAAAAAAGTTAACTATTCCTATGCCTGACTCTACATTAACATTTTTATTGTCCTCTTTTACAGGTTTTTGCAACTAATTCCACAGAACGGAGTAACATTTGCAAGAATTTCTAATTTACAACATCTAATTATATTCAACATCTTTTATGCTTATGTTATGCTGATTTAAGATTAATAACCATGGATTTGTGGCAATGTATTAAAAGATTAAAAGTACAAATGTACATATTTTATACTATGTTTAATTAAATGATGTTTATAGCACTTCAGCCTTTAATAGCTTGATACAATGTTCATTTCTTAATTGATTCATGTTTCCAGAGGTAAAGAAAAATAAATATTCTTTCTACTGTACAAAAACAGCATTTTTCTCCCCATTTGCTTTATTTTTATTATAACAGACAGGAAAACGGTAAACATAATGTAGTCTCCCGTATGACCTTATTACTTGTTTACATTTCGGGAACGTGGTTTCCAAACCATAATATTTTGCCTATATTTTTCTGTTAAATGAAGACTTGTATTATTAAGTTGAAACATTCCTTACTTTGTATTTCCTGCATGGAAAATACCAGATTTATGGAAGTTCACTGTTTGTTGCCATAGCTCTAACCTCATAATTTGAGGACCTTTTAAGAAGGTGCCAAAAATACGTACGAACCTTGGAATGTTTGCTGTACAGTTTGCAAGGGGTACACTCACTGGCTAAGCTGAAAGTTGTAGTGAGTTGATTCATGGAAAATTAAACAAAAAAACTTATTCAGCAATTTAAAATTCATAAATGTTTTTCATCAGAGCATTCTAACTCACAAAATATAAATCCCAATAATAGTGTTCTCTACTGGGTAACATCTACAAAAAAAACGCGTCTGTCCCACGAGTGTAAAAACTCACTTTTGTCAGAGCAAATCCCTTTGCTCTGGTGTATGGATAACTCTCTAGTAACTACTCAAAGTTTTGGAGGCCATATGTAAAGCGGCATTGTGGCGTTAGGAATACAATATGTCTATTCACAATGCTACAGTATTAATGTCCCTAGCAAGTTTTATGCCTCTTGCTCCTCACCATCCTTTCAAACCAAAATTAAACAAAAATAAAATCACTCCAGGACGATGGTCCAATTTAAGGCACCTCACACTGATGCGTTTTGCCCATTTTGATTTGGCTTCTCAAAGTATGCCATTACTGGTGTATGTATGTAAATTTAAATGGTTGAATAAGGGGGTAATCGTCTTTATTAGACTTTGGCTTTAAAATTGCTCGACAGTGCATGTACATCTGATGGATTTTTCTAGTTAGCTTTCATAGTTCATATATTTAGCAGTTTGATGACTCAAATTGACTCCATTCTTTCAACTTTATGGGAATCATAGGTTACAATAGTTGAAGTAGCAAATATATCTTGTTCTTATGGACCTCTTGTCAAGAGTACATACAATTTTTGTTAAAATGAAAGAACAAAAAAGGAAATGTATAGATTTCTAGATAGGTCAAAATAAAAATCATCTCTGCCCCTCACCTATCAGTTAGTTCTACACTGACCGTGCTATGCCAACAGCATCGTCTCTATGCCAAGAATTAGTTGACAAAGTTGAGCAGACGAACTCTCCTTCAGTTGTTTCTCACACATTCTCTGTCACAGCAAATACAGTGCAATAAAGCCAGCTTGTCAGCATCATGGGTAAATAGTGGAGTACTTTGGTCACAGGTAGGTACGACTGGGAGTTGGGTGTCATGATGATATCGCTCTAAAGGAGGTAAGTATTAGACCAATATCAATTGCAGGTTCAAATTCTAAAAAGTAGCACAATCAGCATAGAAACCAATGTTCTACAGCCGCTATTGTATGAGTAAGACACAGAAACATACATTTTATATATAAAGAGTACATTATTAGGAATATTTGTGTCTTACCTATGATGTTATTGGCTGAAGATAAACAGTAATTACAAGCTTTGGCGTTAAATATATTTTTGGCAAAAAATATACCAAAGCACTAGCAGCCAGTGGGCAAATAGTTAAAGCAGGGGTGCCCAAAAGGTACAACTCCCATGATGCTTTGCATGCCTTTAGAATGACAAAGCATCATGGAAGCTGTAGTTTTAAAACATCTGGGGTGTCTGCCTTTTGGGTACTCATAAGTTAAAGAAACACTCCATTAAAAAACATGTACTGTATTTTTCTCTGTATAAGACAACCCCTATTTTCTTTAGCCCAAAATTAAGAATTCAATATGTTAAAACACAAATAGAACAACTTTGATATTTTAGAGATGACTTCTGAGGAGAACAACACTTCTGATTCTCATGCCTCCCCTGTGCTACAATACTCTGTGAAGTTAATGGCTCTATAGTGCAGCTCCCACAAGACAGCAGGTGGTGTGAGGGCATGCTGGGACACAGTAGTATTCCCTCTGCTCCCTGATCCCCATTTCCTCCCCCATGAATATAAATCAGAAAGCAAGACCTATTTGAGGTGGAGCAAAAAAAAATCCTACTTGGTTATAGTCATAACTTGGCTATTCTGTCTTAAAGCAGATCTGTCCATTTTGGGGGTCTTTGCATATTTTGCAAACACCCCCAACCCTGAAACAGACAGATCCGGTGCTGGGGAGGTGAGTTTTACTTACCACTGGCTATTCCTCGTGGCTGCCACCATTTTCACGATGCAGGTTCTCTTCGATTCCTGACAATTCCTTTGCCAGGTCAGTGCTTCAATACATTATTCAATGTCTATGGAGGGTTCCGCAAGATCCTCTATAGACAAAGTCTGAATCCCACAGCCGAGATTTGGGACAGCTGCTGGGATTGGATAAAAGTTGACATTTTGTCAACGCCAGGCTTTACCAAAAGACAAAGTAGTCCAAACTCTGTCTTATGAGAACTTTTGATTGAAACTCCAACCCAGTCATAATTTGCTTTTCATAAAGATTATATCTTTATAAAATACTGAAAATTCACAGATCTGCTTCAAATGTAGTATTCATGTTTCAATTCATTGGAATTCAGAATGTAGTGAATTAACCCCAAATTTTGAGCTGTCAGGAATGCAAAATTTCAAATTCAAAGCAGCTGAATTGTAAAAATTCTGCAAATTGGCCAGGTGTTCAATTAAGCTAGTTTGGCCTAATCCAGGCTTCCCCAAACTCTGACCCTCCAGATGTTGCTGAACTACAACTCCCATGAGTCTCAGCCTATTTCATTCATAGAATCATGGGAGTTGTAGTTCAGCAACATCTGAAGGGCCAGAATTTGGGGAAGCCTGGCCTAATCCAGGCAGGGGTTATAACTGGATAAATACAAAATGTACATCTGAGCAACAGCTTTATCAATGACTACATATTGCTACAGAACAAAAAAATAAAAGGCAAAAATATGTATTTACTAATCGTAATGCTGCTGTAATGAACTAAAATGTATACAAACTGCACACTAAGGTAACAGCGGACACAAAATATACAGAGTTATTCAATCAAGTGAGCACTATCAGAAATTGAATTAAAAGTGAATTTTCAAAACTTCAGACAAAAATAAATGAACTTGAAGCAGAACTGACTTGGAGAATGTTTCAAATTCCACTATTTTGGTCTTTAAATTAAAAAAAAAAAAAATTCACTTTGAAACTATTTTGAATTTCTAACAATTCTCATTTTAGTAAATAAACCTAAATAGTTTTTTAAATTTCAGAGCTTTTAAAAGCATCCGCCTTCAGGAAAAAAAAAAAATAAGGACATGATGCATGGCTTTTGAGTGTTTATACCTGACATTGCTTCAATTACACCAATTTTAAACATGGAAGATAAATTCTTATTGCTTAAAAGGGGACACTCAGGGCATTAATACAACGTTAATACATTTGATAGATTTTGGATTCATAACATGCTGTATTTTTTTGCATGCTCAAAACGAAATAGTTTTTGCACACACAAAAAAAAAGTTTTCAAGAATGCTGTACCATACAACTGCCTCCATAGCCACACACACACGTGCCAGAAATACTTAATTATCAAATTTATACACACAGCCTCAAACCCAACAGTACTGACTGATCAGATTTTAATTTACAACCGGTCTGCTGACAGTCACAGAAATGACAAAAGGGTATTTATATCCTTACTATATGTCTCCATGGGTGCCCTCTCGTTCTAATGCAGGTTGCTTGGTAGTTCAGATCATTCAGTGCTCTCAGTGGCTGAGCTGTTTACGTACATTTGATAAGGAAGTCTTTTTCTGGAGTGAGGGGGTGTGGCTAAAGAGGCAGGTTTATGGTGCAACATTTTGCAAAAACTAGGAAAATACCTCATATTAATGAGGCCAAAATCCACTAAATGCATTAAAATTGTATTGCTCCCAAATGACTTTCTTCATATATAGTGTCCTATGGATATGTCTAATAGAGCACCTGTGAGTGGAGGGGTGGAGCACTGAACTCAATGAATCAGGACTCCAAATTTAAAAAAAATAATAATTGGAGGACACACCCAGAACATGCATTTCATGGAGCCTAAAACTATTTTTCCAGTTAAGTACTGTTAACAACATTTAAATATTCTGTATTTGTTTAACTTTTTTGAATATATCACAGGAGCATTAGAGGGAAATGGGTATTTATACATAGTGAATGGTACTTTTCTATTACCTCATAATTGCAAAAATATTTTGTATAACCCACGTCTATAATTATCAGATACCATGCATGTCTCAATTCAGAGTGACGGAATAATTATAAATAATAGGGTCACGTTCAAAGTAGTTGCAAGAAATAAAAATCATAATAATGAAGTAAAGTTGAAAAGAAATGCAGTAATGATTGTCCTTTTCTTTTTTTATTTGAATTTTAATAAAAATAACAGTGTTACTGAAAAGAATAATCAGTAAAACTGAATACAGATAATCTCACCCTCAGGACAAAACACGTTAAAAGAACACTGGAATTTCAAAGAACAGGAGTGCCCTGGCGCTGTCCCAGTGTACGAAGTCAAACCATTTAAAGGGACACTGAATGCACTGTAACTGCTTCATCTCATTGAAGTGGTTATAGTGTCTGGAGTCATTCTGCTGTTCATTGCTAAACCATTTTTTAATGTTTTAATGATAAACAAGAGTGCCCAGCAACCCATCCTCTCTGTGTTGATCAGGTTAATGAGGAAGTATTCTCCTGAACAGCAATGGGTGACTGTGATTTGCTGGCGGTATCACCAGACTGCTTTCAGCCTATCACAACCACCCATTGCTGGTATAAATCAGTATGGCTAGAATGAAGTGTGTAACCTTCAGTGGGGGCTGGACTGTGGACAGCCAGGGACCCTCATTCCATGTTAGACTGCTCAGAAATAGTTTAAGAGGGACAGTTCCAGTGGACTCCACATGATACAAACAATTCAATGAGCTGGAATGGTTATAGTGTCTAGAGCAGTGGTTCCCAAACCAGTCCTCAAGGCCCACCAACAGTCCAGGATTTATGTATTTCCTTGTTTTATTCCAATGGAGATACTAACAAAACCTGGACTGTTGGTGGGTCTTGTGGACTGGTTTGGGAAACGCTGGTCTAGAGTGTCCCTTTAAGAATGGTTTGAAAATGTACCTGGGATACGCCTCGATCCCACCACCACCTCCTCTATAGATGGAAGCTTCTTAAATGATTTGACTAATTACTGTGTGATGGCCCCAGTCCACTCCTAGCACCATAATCACAAGAAAAGGCTGTAGTAGAGTTGTTACATAGTGTTTGTTTAAGGAGATAAGTCAAAGAACTAAAATTCTACAAAATTTGAATATATATTTATATATTATTTTTTTAACATTATTAACATATTTTTTTGGCATTTTTGGCTTGGTAAGTCCCGTACAGGTGCAATTCGAATCCACACGAATTCTGCAAATAGACGTCAAATTAAATATTAGACAGTTTCCCAATTGATCAAAATACCAGCTATACATTTTATAGAATAATTTTACATACTAAAAAAATAAAAGGATGCTATATATATATATTTTTTTAAAGGGGTCTGTTTTTAATTGCATCTTCTATGTTTACTGTGCTCTGATATGAAATTGTTAAAAAAATACATGCTTGGTCAATAGGTGGCTTCAATTAATTGTGTGCAAATTAAAGAACTGTGCATTAACAATTGTAAAAAAAAAAACTCCCTCCAGGTCTGGAGCAAGAACGCAGAGAAGTTTGAATTGGCTTCATTTCCATCGCCACTAATGCCATTTTTGAGAAAAAGAGCATTTCCACCAGGGATGAGAGCCCAAGATTCTAGAGGCATCAAATAAACAGGGCTACAGAGGGTCAGCCATCTTTATGTAGCACAGTGGTTCCCAACCCAGTCCTCAAGTACCCCCTAACAGTCCATGATGTAAGGATTACTCAATTGTGCCTAAGGTGTTTTTGGGGAAAAAAAACAAAAAACACTTTAGACACAACAGAGTAATCCTTAAATCCTGGACTGGCAGGGGGTACTTGAGGACTGGGTTGGGAACCCCTGATGTAGCAGACTGAATCCTGACCTTTGAGGAACTGAGAGGGCCAACTTGAAACCCTCGGACTTTTTTTAGGTATCTTCAAGTCAAGGACATTGCCAGCCAAAAAGAATGACATTCTATGAAAAGTTATGCCTCAGTGAGTCATTCCAAAAGAGCCTAATCATGTCCATTTATGCCTATCTAGGCACTAACATGCAGAAATGGGGAGAGCTATACTATACAGTATACACAACAATGGGGATCTGAGGTCTTGGAGGGCATTAAATTTCCAAGACATCTGGGAGGTCAACAAAACATCTTCTATCTGCGTGACAGAGCAGGAAGAGTCATATAGGACCATGTTGCAATGGTAAACCACCCCCTCTAAATTATATCACCTGAAAAATCGCCAAATGATCAGTACTGGTGTGGATGCGGATCCAAGGGCTCATACATACACATGTGGTAGGGGTGCCTGAAAGAGCAAAACTTCTGGAAAGGGGTGGGTGACATATTGACAAGAGTTTTCCAATTACAGGTAAACTTAGATCCCTGGGTCTTTCTCTTGTTCCAAGACTACTTCACAAAATAGGACCACTTTCTAGCTTCTTTGCTGGAACAGAAGACAAACCGCAGCACTTCTGTCCACAGTCGTCTTGGCTTGACTGGGCCCTGGAACCGCTCCTTCCTGGAGCCGAATAGGGAATTTGCTCTAGACACCCCCAGGCACTGGACGACACTCCGTCCTGGGAGCTCTAGTCCTTACAAGGACTTTCCCCGTTGAATCCTCTGCAAGCTGGAACAGCAGACACAGGAGTTAAATCTTCCTTCTCTCCAATAACAGGACGACACACAGTTTTGGAGTGCAAGCTGGAATGGCAGCCACAACTGGCCTTATATACATGTCCCCATTCAAGGGGCACTCCCCCTTGGACCTTGTGGGGGACTGCAGCACAAAGTCACAGACCAATGACAAAGGAGTTTAAATATATGACACTCCCATATACAAGCATACAATCCCTCCCCTCTGCCTGGGAGATAATTGGATCAGTAACTGTACTAATTCTAATCCGATTATTTCCAAGCACAAAAAAAAATGCTTTTTCAAAACACCCCAAAAGCACCCTAAAACACACAAAACCTCCACAAAACATCCCCTGATAGCCCTGATCTGGGAGACCAATATATCCAAAATTACCCAGATCAGTTCAGTGGTTCAGGAATTTCCTGGAAGTCTTATTTTTGACCGACCGTGCACATGGTCCTGTGCCGAAAACAGTTCCAGGGAATCAGGGCTAACGGTCAGTCTCTCTTTCTGGAGTACAAAAGTACATAACTCACATGAACAGAGCCTTTTTAATTGCATTGGGCAAGGTATATTGCAGGGCCCATAGTTCTGAGGTAAGAAGCTGGCCAGCAGGCACCTCCAAGAACCCGTGACGAGGTTCAGTTTATCACATTTCCCCCCCCCACCAAGGTAAGACTTAGTCAAGTAGCCCATAAACAAGTACTGGACCTGGTGGTTACTTCTGTTGTTCGGCTCTGTCCTGTATGTCTCAGGTTGCTGAGTGGGTGTCCATCATCCCCGATCTCTCTTGTGCTCCCTGGCAGGGAGTTGGGGTTACTTGGTGGGCAGAGGCCATCGACGCTCTGCCCCGTAACCAGCAATACAGCTGGGTTGTACAATGGGCCGTCCGCCGCCAAACCACATGGGCTGGTAGGGCAGCTCTTCCTTGATGCCAGCTTTGCTGCTAGGATGACCTGCAGGTATTCAGGCCCTGGACAAAGGGAGAGGGGTGGGCAGAGGCCAACTGCTCTCTGCCTGGGTGCCAGCTCTTCTGCTGGGAAGATGTCAGGGGAGTGGCCGCTGTCATCCTCATCTTGGCCGGGATTCCGCAGTGCTTGTTAAGAGATCTCGATCCCATGTGCACCATCGATGCCAGGGGGCTTGTCTCTGGACGACAGCCCTAGCTGCTGGTGGGTGGGACCGACCGTCTCCACTCCCTGTATCTTTCCCTGTGGTTGGGGAGGGTGACTGACTGTCCCCTTCCAAGATATCTTTAGCGGCCGCTGGGGAGAGAGGGCAATATGCTGGGATGAGGGACCGACAATCTCCTCTCCCTGTGACGCTGCCTGATGCTGGGTAGTGAGACCGACTATCTCCACTTCCAGGGCTGCTTGCTGCTGCTGGAAAGAGAGACTGACAATCTCCCCTCCCTGTGATGCTGCCTGGTGCTGGGTAGTGAGACCGACTATCTCCACTCCCAGGGCTGCTTGCTGCTGCTGGGATGAGGGACCTACAATCTCCTCTCCCAGTAACACTGTCTTCCACTGGGGAGAGAGACCAGTTGTCTCTTCTCCCTTTAACCCATACTGCCGCTGGGGAGTCAGACTGTCTCGACTCCCTGTAATGCCGGCTGGTGCTGGGTAGTGAGACCGACTATCTCCACTCCAAGGGATGCTTGCTGCTGCTGGAATGAGGGACCAACAATCTCCTCTCCCTGTGCCGCTGCCCAACATCCCTGTAGGGCCGGTGGAGAGAATGTTTGGGACATACTCCCCAGTCAATAAGGTCTCTTATCTCTGAGGCTGGTTGGGAAGTAGATGGTACAGTGCCCGGGTCTCCTGATGACAGGCTTAGTTGCTGGGGAGGAGGGACGAAACTCAACGCTCACAGTGGTAAACAGTCCATAAGCCTCATCATGTCAGAGACAGGTGGCGTTACACTTTGGAGCAAGCGAGCATAGTCCTGTTCAAGCTAGCTCTCCAGGTTAACCAGGTAGGACAAAACCTGTTGCAATTCTGCCACCAATGTAAGCCCCAAGCTGACTTCCTGCTTGTCGTGGATGCACCCGTAGCGGGTACAGTCCAGGTTTTCAAACCCCAGGGGATCCTCAAAAGCCTACCACAACAGCCCAGGCCCAACTTAGTCCTTTCACTCGGGGAGCTGCCAGGGGAGTAGCTCTGGGTAGAGCTGGTCTGCATGCCACCTCAAGGCTCGGTAGGATTTATCCAACAATAACTCAATTTCGACCAACCGCTCCGGTTCTCTTACCCACTCCTCTATGGGCTGTTCTCCCAGAAACGGCATTCGTAGGTCGAATTGGTCCCATCGGCGTTGGTTGGAATCTGGGAACACTTCTCCTAGAACCCCCACCCAGAGTTCGGTTCAGAGCGTCACCCTCCATTCCAACTCTTTTTCCGCTGTGAGAGGGTGTAATCCAAACTGTGACGAACTTCGTGTAACTGCTGCTGAAGCTGAGTGTCAATGCTGCATACTGCCCAATGGTACATGCCTCCCATCTCTGAAGTAGGGCTAGTTTTCCCAATGCTAGGAAGCCATCCCACTGCTGCCACCAATGTGATGGACCTCCCTGTACCCCAGCTTGGTACCTCCGCCAAAGGATCGCTTCCTAGCTGATACAGGGGACAAACCGTCGCACTTCTGTCCACAGTCGCCGTGGCTTGACTGGGGCCCTGGAACCGCTTCTTCCTGGAGCCAAATGGGGAATTTGCTCTAGGCACCCCCAGGCACTGGACGACACTCAGTCCTGGGAGCTCTAGTCCTTACAAGGACTTTCCCTGTTGAATCCCCTGCAAGCTGGAACAGCAGGCACAGGAGTTAAATCTTCCTTCTCTCCAATAATAGGACGACACACAGTTTTTGAGTGCAAGCTGGAATCCTTTAATGGCGGCCACAACTGGCTTTATATGCATGTGCCTATGCAAGGGGCACTCCCCCCTGGACCTTGTGGGGGACTGCAGCACAAAGTCACAGGCCAATGACAAAGGTGTTTAAATACATGACACTTCCATATACAAGCATACAATCCCTCCCCTCTGCCTGGGAGATAATTGGATCAGTAACTGTACTAATTCTAATCCAACTACCTCCAAGCACAGAAAAAACATACTTTTACAAAACACCCCAAAAGTACCATAAAACACACAAACCCCCCCACAAAAGTCACATCCCCTGATAGCCCTGATCTTGGCAACCAACATATCCAAAAATCACCCACATCTGTTCAGGGGTTCAGGAATTTCCTGGAAGCCTTATTTTTGGTCCTATGCCCAAAAACAGTTCCAGGGAATCAGGGCTAACGGTGGGTCTCTCTGTTTGGAGTACAAAAGTACATAACTCACATGAACAGGGCCTTTTCAAGTGCATTGGGCAAGGTATATTGCAGGGCCCATAGTCCTGAGGCAAAAGGTTGGCCAGCAGGCCCCTCCAAGAACCCATGACGAAGTTCAGTTCTTCACAGATACCTACCTTATGGACAAACTGACTGCTCAAGTTAGAGGTTTGACAAGTTCATTTGAAAGAGTATGGGAGGAATGGATTAATAGTGATGTGAACGATTGACTCGGGAGATAAGAGTCGGTAAATGTCTGCTCTCATGCTCTAGCCCCTGAACCAGTTTTCTCACCCCTGTCCACTGATGCCCTCCCTCAGCACTGAATGTTTGGGACATACTCCCCAGAGATTATCCATCTCATTCTAATATGCATGCTCAAGAATACTTTCTCCCACCTGTTTGACTACGGCTCCAACCGCCCACACCCTCCACACCTTCCCGTCATTCTTTTCCTCCTCATCCTTGCTCTAATATTTTCCTATCCACTCCAGTAGCAAATAGAGCTTGGTTCCTAATTTTCAAGCAGGGCATGTAAATATTATCCGACATGCTTAGGCACGTAAAAACCTTAAAATGATTTCCCAGTCATATGTTTAACATAAACTTAATCTATGTTTTTTTTTTTCACAATTAATCAAAACTTTTTAACAGTTCGTATCCAAGATGGTTTTTGCAGACAATAATGACAGTCTTGAGATACCTCACTTTCTTTACTTATGCTGTAGAAAGGGGTTTTCTTATTATACATATGGAGATGTGGTTTACGTTCTAAACTGTGTATACCAGTCTATGTTCAATACCACATATGTCCTCTGTCAAAGCAAAAATAAAGAATTTAAAAACAACAAAAAAACAATTGAAAAAAAGCTTGAAACATTGGTTTATCAGGTTGATCTGAGAATTTCAAACATATCAGAAAATAATTCTGAAATCTTTAAAGGAACACAAAATATTTACTACAAACAAAAACTACAATTAAGAATGTTGTTAAAGTTTTCTAAAATGTTTTTTTTTTAATCCACAGATTCAGAGACAGAAAATAATAGGCACTAATCAAGATCTGTTGAAATATTTGGAGTTGTGTTCTTTTTGTTAATTGTGTCTGTATCCAGATTTTCATCGGCAGAACAACAAAAAATTATTTGCCACCATTTCTTTTTGAATAAATTAATGTTATATAATATTGGATTGATGAATGAATTGCTGAAAGTAAAGGCTACTATCCAAAAGAAGAGCGTTGAAGGAATAGTGAAATCTTTGTGTAGGTTCTGGACAAGAAGCAATGAAACAGTAATAAAAATCGGTGTCCACATCACAAAAAATGAGACCATCAGGATGAGCAAGGTCCGAAAAAGTTTATAGTCCCTTTGAGAGACCTTAAGTTGATGGTTTTCAGAGTATGCCGTGCTTGTTATCAGACGCTCCCTCATTTCTCTGGTGATCTGCGTATATCAAAAGAAAAAGAAAAATTAATTAGTTGCGTTAGTGATTAATTGTAAATAAGAAATATTTTACAAACATAACTAAGTATCCACAGTATGATAAGTAGAATATAGAAACATGATCAACCACCTGATAGATGCTCATAGATAATAACTAAATAATGAGTGAAATCCCAGCTTGGTTCTCTATGACCTGCTAAAAGTCCATGACCTTTTCTTAGGGCTAGAGATCTTTTGCTTGAAAACTCGTTGACCCTGATAGGATTGTGTATCTTTCACTGCCTTGGATTGAGTGGGTTGTGAAACACAAGCTGGAAAATTCCTAAAATACAGAATTTGCAGTTTACGCCTGAGATGATTGTTTCAGCCATAATTTCATAAGGAAGTTGGCTGAAGAAAAACTGAATATAAAGAAAGAATACACATTTGGGAATTAGTGTTGTCCCTGCAGTAACAAGCTCAACACATTTACAAATATGCATACATTGACAAACACCTTAATACATTTTGGCATGCAGCAGCTCGTATGACACCGATTCTTGCCTGATGAATCAATTCCCTCTCTCTCCTGTATGTGTAGCAGGGTTAAGAAGTGGTGGCCTTGGCACTTTATTAATTACCAGGCCAGACATAAATTCTTTTCAGCAGGAGCATTTTGCCAAGGGTACTGCCCCGGGATCCATCACTAATTTACCATTGCCAAATATCACCGGAAACTGCAGAGTTCTAGTGGTAATGAGAAATTTGAGGCCAAAATAGCCAAACCGAAAACTGACTTGGAGAATTTTTCTAATTCGTCTAATTTTGACCTAAATTTTGAAATTCCCTTTTGAATTCCCCGACAATTCTCACTTTAGAGAATAACCCAGTATGTGAGTATCTTGACAAATTCTCAAATGAAGATTGTAAAAGCATTTGGATTTTATTAACCAAATAGATTTCACCAACACATTACAATACAACTTGCTGTTCCACAAGAACCATGATATATGAACACATTTGATGGGCTAGGAGTCTCTCCCAGCCTATTAAGGCATCATGTATAGCAGGGAATGAGTGATGTTTGCTCAGAATATGAATGAAACATGGATAAACTTGTTTGGTGATTAACTAAATCTAGCCATTTAACAGACAAGTCTAGCTTGATGTTTTTCAAATTCCTTAAAGGACCACTCTAGGCACCCAGACCACTTCAGCTTAATGAAGTGGTCTGGGTGCCAGGTCCCTCTAGGATTAACCCATTTTTTTTATAAACATAGCAGTTTCAGAGAAACTGCTATGTTTACAAATGGGTTAATACTTCCTCCAAATCCTCTAGCGGCTGTCTCATTGACAGCCGCTAGAGGCGCTTGCGTGATTCTCCTATGCGACCGGCTGAATGCACGCGCAGCTCTTGCCACGCGTGCGCAATCAGCCGAATGGGAAGAACGGAGGAGGATCGGAGGAGGAGAGCTCCCCGCCCGGAAAAAGGCACCCTCAGGGCACTATAGTGGTCCTTTAACTGCGGTGCTGGAGTGGTGCCAAAGGTATACATTTTAAAATAAACAGAGCAAAAATAGTTTCAACACCTAATCAAATTGACAAAATAGCAAAAAATACAATCAACAGAAATAGGCACATACGGGAGATCTATATTAGAGTTTGAATATATACGCAGTACAATATATACAAATAACAGATTATTATTTTGTATTTTTAATAGCTTCGAATGGGTTTTTAAACTTTTAGGCCAGACGTGTTAGCAAACTATTTTGAATATTTTTTTAATTTTTTTTTTATTGCAGGCACTGGAAAAATGACTAAAATTACAGATGGATAGAGTTCAAACTGTAAAACAGGAAACCTGCGTCTGTCTGATCTCCATATTGCGGTTAGCAAAGCTGCTCGCATGATTTATGTGAAAAACTCTGGGAATATTGCCAGCCACAACTCTGCAGGAGAACTGACTGAGACTTACTCAGTGTTGGAGTGGGAGGGTTATTGTGTGCACGTTTGTAAGAGAAGTCTGTTCTAAACATCACCCAGTGCTTTATATTATTATTATATTTATATAGTGCCCGTAGCGCTTTACAACAGGGGGGTTGAGGGCCCTACTCAATAAGCTTACATGCTAGAGGGAGTGGGTTAAAGTGACACAAAAGTTAAGGAATGCTGCGTATTACGATTATTGTGACTGTGCCGCAATCTGTCTACCCGAGAATTAGATTTATAGTCAGTGGCAGCTGATTAGCCACAAAATGCCAATCATTGTCTTTGTGTAAAAAACTGTTTTATTTCCATATATTTGCAGATATGGTTTATAACTAGTGATGTCCCGAACTGTTCGCTAACGGTTCGCCGCGGACTCATCATTGAGTAAACTTTGACCCTGTACCTCACAGTCAGCAGACACATTCCAGCCAATCAGCAGCAGACCTTCCCTCCTAGACCCTCCTACGTCCTGGACAGCTCACTAAGAATGCAGCTTCAAAATGGGGCGAACCGTTCGCGACATCACTATTTATAACACATAAAACTCAAGTATTGGAAATAAATTTAACAAAAATCAAATTGTTGAAATTTACATACCTTGTAAATTTTGGTGTAACTGATCACAATACTTAGTCCTGGTACCAAAAAATCTAAAAGGATAAATGAGACATCCCAAGCAATTTCTTCTGCAATCGTAGGCCAAACTAAAGTACAAATCTGGACGTCCTGTGAAAGGAGATTAAAACGGAACTTTTTTATAAAATAATAATTTTTATATGAATGGCACATGAAAACATCTTCCCTGGAGTAGATAGAATTGGAATGTTGCTGGTAGGAAATGAAATGTAACCAGTTGTTTTCATAAGAGAGCACTTTTTTAAAATTATATTTTTTATTTTCAGGTATTTTTGTTTTTATTTTGCAATTCTTCTAGTTTTTGTTGTTGTCTTAATCTCCAAGAGCAGAAGTGAGAATTTCAAGGGCATAATTCATTTATCAGTTTTGTCCTCTGCTGCTGGGGTTACCATTCGGATTATGACATCCAATGATTTTTGTGCACAGAAATACCAGGTGGACTTGGAACATTTTGCCCAGTAGGACCAAGTGGACTTGGCAATGCATCAACTGGTACTTATCAGAGTGGCATTTGAATGAATGTGTGCAGGGCCGCCATCAGGGGATGACAACCATGATGGCTATATATATGTGCAGTGCAGCCACGAGCCCCCGGCTCCCTGTATTTGCAGAGGGGGCCCATCAGTCTGCAGCAGTACTTTACAGCTCTTCCCTCTCTAACTCCCGCGAGATGTGCCGCCGTCAGAGCGTTGCCACGAGTTACCATGGCAACGCTCCATGCACATCACGCTCACAGGAGTTAGAGAGAGGGAAGAGCTGTAATGTACAGCTGCAGACTGCTGGGCCCCCTCTGCAAATACAGGGAGCCGTGGACCCCACCATGCCACCTGACCACCAGGGATGCAATCTCCCCACTCCCCGGACCAGGTAAGAAGCAGGGAGGGGGGAATAACAGATTTTACATTTACATTATTACATTACATGCATACACTAGTAAACACACACACACACTCTGCATTCACTACACTGACACACACTCTGCATTCATTACACTGACACACACACTGCATTCACTACACTAACACACACTCTGCATTCATTACACTGACACACACTCTGCATTCACTACACTGACACACACTCTGCATTAACTATACACACAGCATCCACTACACAAACATCCTGTATTCACAGTACACACACTACATCCATCACACAAACACTCTGCATTCACTATACGGAGACACTGTGTCTAATACACACACTACATCCACTACAGACACTGCATCCACTAAACACATTGCATCTAGTACACACAAACACTACATCCACTACACAAACACACACTACATCCACTACTCAAACACACTCTGTGTTCACTATACACACTGCATCCGCTACACAAACACACACTCTGAATTCACTGCACAAACAGTATCTAATACACACAAACACTACACCCATTACACACATTCTAATTCACTTCCACTATACACACCACATTCAGTCCTGCATCATTGTCAGCGGACTAGGTAGGAGTGGGGCGGCCCGGTGGGGGGGACATGGCGGGTGAGGTGGGCGGGCCCGGGAGGGGGGGGGCCCAGACCTTGTGATTTGTCAGGGGCCCCAAAATATCTGGTAGAGGCCCTGAATGTGTGATTGGGGTGAATAGGAGGTATGGGATGACCAGGGCTATATACAGGTGATACTCGAAAAATTAGAATATCTTGCAAAAGTTCATTTATTTCAGTAATGCAACGTAAAAGGGGAAACTAATATATGAGATAGACGCATTACATGCAAAGCAAGATAGTTCAAGCCGGGATTTGTCATAAGTGTGATGATTATGGCTTACAGCTCATGAAAACCACAAATCCACAATCTCACTCAATTAGAATATTACATGCAATCAATAAAACAAGGAGTGTACATAGAACAATATCGGACCTCTGAAAAGTATAAGCAGGGATATGGACTCAGTACTTGGTTTGAGCCCCTTTTGCAGCAGTTACTGCCTCAATGCAGCGTGGCATGGAAGCTATCAGCCTTTGGCACTGCTGAGGTGTTATGGAAGACCAGGATGCATCAATAGCAGCCTTCAGCTCTTCTGCATTTTTCACTTGTATAAACTTATAGCAGCTGTTGTATCAATGCCATTAATGTATTGGGCAGTTTCATTCCTCCTATCTAATAGTTGGCATTGATCTTAAACTATTTATCTCACAAACCTCCTGCAGGGTAGGAGATTTTGGGATAACATAATTGAACCTCAAATAACGTAAAATGTGCTATTTCCCCCTATTTTATAATTATTTTATTAAGAGACTATAACTGTAGGTTTTGAACAAGTGCTAAGAACAAACATTTTCTAACGTGTAACCCACTGCAGCAAGGTAGACAGGGTTTTTTACTAAATGGAGTATTGTTGGGAATTCAGACCAAATTTTACATTTAAAGCCAAAATAGCCGATTTGTAAACATCCTCCAAGTGAACTATGCTTCCAGTTCTGCGATTTGTGTCTAGAATTTTAGATACAAAAACAATTCTCACGTTAGTAAATAACCCTAAAAGTGCTATTTTTTTTATTTTTTTTTGCAGAATGACAGAGGGTAATGCAGATTGTAGAGAAATGTATTTATACTTTGGGGTATAATTCTAGTGTATTGGAAACTGATCTGCAAAATATTTCCAAAAATAACGGACTTGGAAAAATTGAAATCAATAACAGTCCCAGCTTTGCTATTTTAGTCTCAATGTTACAATTCAATGTTTAGGAAATAAACCCTTTGGTTTCCAGGGTAAGGAGAATCTTATCATGCAGCACAGATATTTATTTATTACACAAATTCACACGCAAGCAAGCATGAACGTACTAACAAGACCGAAATGCAGATCACCACTTAAACCACAGACAGAGCAACAACATATATTTCATCAAAAAAACCATGAGTGATGTGGTGGTATTGGTGGGAGTGGGGGGTATTTAAATTGACATTTTAAATCTAGCAGAATATACACAAAACTGATCATCCCTATACTGACTGTCTGAGCCAAACAAATTATCCCCATACTGACTGTCTGAGTAAAACAGATTATCCCCATACTGACTGTCTGAGTAAAACAGATTATCCCCATACTGACTGTCTGAGTAAAACAGATTATCCCCATACTGACTGTCTGAGCCAAACAGATTATCCCCATAATGACTGTCTGAGTCAAACAGATTATCCCCCATACTGACTGTCTGAGCCAAACAGATTATCCCCATACTGACTGTCTGAGCCAAACAGATTATCCCCATTCTGACTGTCTGAGCCAAACAGATTATCCCCGTTCTGACTGTCTGAGCCAAACAGATTATCCCCATAATGACTGTCTGAGTCAAACAGATTATCCCCCATACTGACTGTCTGAGCCAAACAGATTATCCCCATTCTGACTGTCTGAGCCAAACAGATTATCCCCGTTCTGACTGTCTGAGCCAAACAGATTATCCCCATTCTGACTGTCTGAGCCAAACAGATTATCCCCATTCTGACTGTCTGAGCCAAACAGATTATCCCCATACTGACTGTCTCGGACAGATTATCTTCAAACTGACTGTCTAAGACTGAGTATCCCCATACTGACTGTCTCAGAATGATAATCTTCAAATTTACTGTCTCATACTGAGTATCCCCCATACTGACTCTCTAAATCAAACAAATTATCCCCATACTGACTGTCTCAGATTGATTATCCCCATACTGATTGTCTCAGACTATTTATCCTTCTATTGACTGTTTCAGATTTATGATCTCCATACTGACTGTCCCTGTCAAAGTGATTATTCCATGATAGAGCCTCAGTCACGTTACCCCATTGTTGATAACATTAATAATAAGGACATGTGACCCACATAGGTCCAGTAGAAACACTTCCTATACATCCCATATACTGAGTCAAATACTTCCATTGGCTTGGTTGCTCAAACAAACAAACAAATAAACCCTATTTCTATACCTACAGTGCTTTTCTTTGCACTCACTAAATCATTTGCCCCGTGACTTCGGTTGTCGTCATTACCTTTTAGAAAATATACACTACTCACCTGTCCAATACTACAGAATAGTAACTGTACCTGTCCAATCAGACTGTCCAATACTACAGAATACTACAAAATGTACTACCTCTTTTGGATTCCACTACCACCTGTACGCTGATAACACCCAGATATATCTCTCCTCCCCGGACCTCTCCCCTAACGTCCTTCAACGTGTCACTGCTTGCCTTTCTTCCATCTCTGACATCTCTCTAAAACGGAGCTACTTGTCTTTCCTCCTCCTAATACTGATTCTCCTCTTTCGCTCTCCCTTCAAGTTGGTAGTATCCACAGAATTCCATCCTTGCAAGCGCGCGGTCTTGGTGTCATACTTGATTCTGGCCTCACATTTGAACCTCACATCCAGTATGTTGCCAATCCTGCAGATTCCATCTTAAAAACATAGCCGGCATGCGCCCCTTTCTTACGCAAGATGCTACCGAGGAGCTTGTCCATGCTCTAGTAATTTCCTGCATGGATTATTGTAACCCTCTCCTGATTGGTCTTCCCAAAAGCAGTATTGCCCAGCTACAGTCTGTAATGAATGCCGCCGCAAGCCTGATTTTCCTCTCTAGTCGGTCCTCTCACACCTCACCCCTCTGTCAGTCCTTACATTGGCTTCCTGTATCCTACAGGAGTCAATTCAAAGTGCTAATCCACACCTGTAAAGCAATGACCAATTCTAGCCCCTCCAATATTTTTTCACTGATCCGCAGGTATGTCCCTTCTCTGTCTCTCCGCTCTGCCCATGACCTTCTTCTGTCTGCTGCTCATACCTGTATGGCCAACTCACGCTTGCAGGTGGCTCCTTTCCTTTGGAATAGCCTGCCTACGACCATCAAGCTCTCCCCTAGTCTTCGATCATTTAAAAAGTGCCTCAAAATCCATCTCTTTAGGAAAGCGTATGGCCTCCCCGAGTAACCTCTACCTCACATACCTGTCTCTTGCTCTCTCCTAAAGGCAGCACTCTACTCTCTCCTCCAGCTCTGCTTCACTCCCACCTTATTTGATTGCTATTTCCTGGCCTAATGTGTTTTATACCCCATCTCCTATAGACTGTAAGCTCGTTTGAGCAGTGTCCTCTTCAACCTATCGTTCCTGTACGTTTTCTTGTAATTGTCCTATTTATAGTTACATCCCCCCTCTCATAATATTGTAAAGCGCTACGGAATCTGTTGGTGCTATATAAATGGCGATAATAATAATAGTAACTGTAAATGTCCAATACTACATGACAGAAACAATACCGGTCCAATCAGACTGTCCAATGCTACAAGACATGACACTATTCTGTAGCATTGGATAGTCTAATTGGACAGGTACAGTCACTGGATTGTAGTATTGGATAGGTGCAGTTACTATTCTGTAGTATTGGACAGTCTGATTGGACAGGTACAGTCACTATGCTTGTAGTATTGAACAGTCTGATTGGACAGGTACAGTTAGACTGTCCAATACTACAATCCAGTGACTGTACCTGTCTAATTAGACTGTCCAATACTTCAATTCAGTGACCGTATCAACAAGAGCTAAGGGTGCAAAATGTTCCAGGTAGGTCAATCCACCCATTATAGTCATACAATTTTTCCACTAAAAGTCAACACTATAAATACCTGTAGGAACTATTTATTCTTGTCTCTCTCCCGTATAAACTTGTTGAGTTAATTAGCATAAGGCTGTAAGCATTAAATTAAAACTGATGTATTGCAATCACTTTAATCTCCTATTATTCTTCTTTAGTGTTAGTTTAAAGCTGACGTGTTCGCTTACTGGAAGCCTGAGGTTCTGAATGGCACGTTGATTGCAGATACACATAGATCAGAAATTGGAGCATTTGTTGTGGTTACTGTATCAGGTAGCCAAATTAAGAGCCTGTTAGATATGCGGGTAAAATACTATGATGAGCCCTGGGTTTCATGCCACTGCAAACATAAAGGACATACTCTCCAAGCTTTCTGTCACCAACCTTTATAAGCTATAAAGCTTTTAATATTTTGAATATATTTTTTTTAAATGATTTCATAATTTTAAACTAAACTTTTTGAAAACATTTTTTTTTCAAAATGTTAAAATATCAGCATATAAAAATATACATAACAGGGGGGCGGAACCTGAGCCTCATGCTGACCAGATGTGTACAGGGCGAGCTCCCATTTGACTCACCGATTCCGGGGCTCATCTTCACTGGGTGGGGGTTATCCTGGTACCTGCTGGACGGACCTAACCATAGCAGAGAACTCCTGCAACTAACTATGCTACCCAAGATGGCAGAGAGGCCTTCCCTGACGGCCCAGAGCCTGACACTAACTAGTGCTTAGGAAAACAGCATCGCTGGGTGCCCCCTGCTGAGATTGGATACAATCTTCCAGGACTTTTGGGCCTTGCTGGAAATGCGTTTTGTGACAAATTCGCTGCATCATCAAAAGCAAGTCTGGGGACAGAATCCATTACCCAGCAGACCACCTCAGGGTGACACACGCCGATGGAATCCTGCTCGCCTCCAAGAGCACACATCTAAGCAGCAGAACTACCAGGGCTCAACCCCTCCCCATCTCCCACGAAGGCGGAGGCCCCCACGCCTCCGGTCATGGCGGCAGCAAGCCATTCCATCATTCACGGCGGCAAGAGTCAGCACTCCAAAGCCCGCAGCAGCGGAGAATCGCACTCCCCCTACTGACCCAGCGGAGATTCACTTTCACACTCTATCCACCGCAGCAGCGGGGAAACATAAGGCACCTGTGGACACTAGAAATCCGGACTCACAGTGTAAACTCTCGAGCTCATAAGACAGAGCTGCCGACTATTGCCCAAATCTGGAGAGGAATGCGAAGCCCTACACCGACAACGCCAAGCTGCACCCTCTTACGGCCTACCGTATCCCCCACTAGGTAGGAGTGGGATGACGCCTCGGCCTCAGCAGAAAAAGGGCCTACTACCTGAGAGGGCGACCCAGGGAGAGTCCCAGAGACAATCTCCTTATATTTTGTTTCTTCCTGTTTACTTTGCCCAGCGATAGCACGTAAACCTTTTATTATTATTTCTTACAGACCGTATAGAGCAGTCATCCTGACTTCAGGTTCAACACCAGTAATATGTGTTGCCAGGCTAGCTAGATTTTAATTAGACCTGTTGGTCTTTAATACTATTGTTTTCACATTTAAAAACACCCTCCTGCCATTATATCTAGCTGTAGTAACACCTCTAGCTTACTCCCCCTTGAAGTGGGCATACTGTCTGCCACCTAAGATTTGAACCCCCTAGTTGATAAAAGGAGACCATGTTGCCGGCAACCACTACCGTTTACTCTTGAATTCTCACGCTACGTAAGGCGGTGGCAACGCAATTAACTAGGCACCAGCAGTCCTTCCTCTTTTAATTCACCCATGTTGATCTTTCAGGTCAGAAAGCAATATCACTTGGTGAGTTCTCCTCAAGTTTTAGACTAATAGCCTGTATTTAATGTTTTTTACATGTCTGCCTAGCATGATTATCGTATACTATAAAACGGTGCTGATTTCTTACATTGCCATAAAATTGTTATATCCTGTTTCCTGAAGAGCTTACTCTTAGCTATTGTGGCGTTGCAAGCCTGCATGTTTTTTCACTGCACAACAATAAAAAAAAATAATTACAAAAATATATATAACATTTATAGGCAAAAACATCTAAATATTAATATATTTTATGTCAAAATATGAAATAATTGTAAACATTTATCTTAAAACATGAAATCATTTGAAAATCTTATCCAAAAATGTCAAATTGAAGCCATAATTAATAAAATTGTGGAATGCTATAGCACACTTGGGTGAAAGGTTCAGAGATCTCATTCTGAAATATGTCCCCAGGTATCGTCAAGGACTTCAAAAGATGCCCATCAAATTGTCAGTGTGTATCAAAGTGTCAGGGTCATACCGCGGCATTACAGAACCTTCTAAAATATGGCTAAGGCAGTGAAAACTAATTAAACCATTGGTGTCATTCCACTGGATTTATTTGTAGTATTTTGAAAACAGTAGTGTTTTTAAAAACAAGATTGAAACATTTAAGTAAAAAAATAACTGATTTGGAAAAATGATCTAAGTCTAGTCACAGCTTGGCTGTTTGTGGCTGAATTTTGAAATTTAGTTGTCGATGCTTAAATTTTGGGTTTGGTGGGCAATTCCCAGATCACATTAAAAATAAGAGCATAATAAACTAACTTGCTCTTCTCCCTTCAAAGTGTACATCTGCATATAGAAACCTAAAAGGATAATCCAAGCACCATGACCACTTCAGTGATTTGAAGTGGTTATGGTGCTCAGAGTTTGTATGCA